TCTTTTCACTTGAAGCACATCAGGTCATTTGCGATGCACTTCTGGTCAATGGTGCAGTGTCACAGTTCCTGTACACAGCTTGTAATGCAGTAGTTACTCTCTATGGTTAAATCACTTTGATTCTACTTTAACACAATTTCTATTCATGCTGTTGCTAATGTCCCTCAGACAAAAGCAAGCGCAATGATTCAGTTTACTTCTCTAATTTGTGTTTTTATCAGATCTAATTCTCATCAATGTAATTACTTCACATCAAAAGTGTCAGGACAGACGTCAATTAAGTCCAAGACAATATAGAATTCAAATGAACATTTCTGGTCTCAAAAAATACTGATTCAACTAAAGATTCAAGTGATAGACAATTAAAAATATGTGTTTACATTGGAGTAAACTTTTAAAATGCTTTTTTCTCATGTTCTGCTTTTTCATGTATCTATATGTAAATGTGAATGTGTGTGTGTAGATGTATGTGTGTGTGAATTTTGGGGTTGCCTCCAGACTCCTCGGACCACCTGTAGGTCTCAAAGGTCACACTGTGGTGATGTAAACCAACTGGACACACTTCCAGATTGCAAAACAACTCACCCACCATTGCCTACAGAAAACCCCACTTTGTGGCCCCGGTCTCACTGCCACCTACGACCATCGGTCTGTAGTGGGGGAGGGGCACACGGAGGTAGCTATGTCGCCTTTACGATCTGCGGCTGGTTGGATGGTGTCTACTCTGGGCCACTGTTCTGATCCCTCAGTGTCCACTCCTGCTGTCCAGTGGCCCTGTACAGTGTGTGCCCTTGGTTCTGGAAAACAACCTTATAGTCAAATTAAAAACAACAGAGATTGTGAATGAGATTGTTTTTCTCCCTAAAGTCAAAACAATTTTGGAGCACTCTTGGCTTTCCCACATGCGCTATGTAAATAAAAGATTACTTATTATCTTACTAATGATGACATTTTTAAAACCAGAAACTCTCTCTTAATAAAAAACAAGACTCAAATCTCTTGAACCTTCAAACTTTAAAATATGTATTATGTACTTTTGTACTGTGTTTAATTATCTTGCACATTTTAGAGCCAGGCTCCTCTGCTGTGGCATCAGCACCAGGAGGAAGGTCAGGCGTGTAGTCAAAACAAAAACATCACCGCTTGCAATGGGTGAATTGGGTAGTTTAACTTAATAATATAATACTTTTACAGCTAATCTAATTCCCTCTTTCTTTTTAGACAAAGTCTATGATCAATAATCACTTTTAACACAGATTCTAATTTAAATGTTTGAAAAACGGCTTTTGTAACTAAACTAAAAACATGAAAACAAACACAACTCACAAACAGTTAAGAAATAAGCAGCAGATTTAAAAGAATGGAATCTAGAAATATGTTAGGTCTAAAAAGAATTGCACAGCTTTAGCACTAATATTTGGGTTTCAAAAAACATATATTCAAAACTTATTCACTAATGGTGTTTAAAAACGTTTAACTGTGTCTAACACAATGTTCAAATGGCAAATTTAGAAAATTTAACGGAATAACAACTATGAAAAGCCAAAATCCTAAAAGCAGTAGCTTTGCTCTGATTCAGAGCCAGAGTAGCAAAGGAGGGGGCCGTTTCCCTGACAACGGCAGCAGATAGAGCGGCGCACACACACACAGGCAGAAAGTAGTGTTTTAGCAAAAATGCCAAAACAGAAAGAAGAACTTTCAAGATTACTTTGTTAAGCAAATATAACTGATGTTGTTCTTTAAACTTTTGTCATCCAAGTCTAGAAATGGCCACTTTCTACACTTGTGACAAAAGGCACTCTTACTTTAACGTTTACGCTTCTATTTTATCGAGGTAGCAAACTAGTTTAAACTCAAAATCTCTTTCTAAAAAACAAAAAACAACTGTTGGATACAACCCTCTCATAGCTTAACTGTAGATATAACTCGGCAAAAAATGTAAATAACTCACGAAAGCTCTCATAGCTCAACTTTAGATACAACTCTGCATTCTCCGGTGAACTCTGTTCACTCCAAAAAACAAAAACTCCCTTTTTCTGTATGTAATTTAAACCGTGATCACTGAAATATTGTTGCTTATGTACTTTTGTCATTTATCAGCCTGAAATTCGTCAATTTCAAAGCTTTTGTAACAAAGGCCTCCTTAACACGTTTCCCTTTCTTTTAATTTTACACCATGGTTTCACTTAGGATCCTACACTTTATCTTTTCTCAAAGGGACTCTAACCCCGAAAACGTTTTCTCAAAGGGACTCTAACCCTGAAGCTTCTTCTCAAAGGGACTCTAACCCCGAGACTTTTTCTCAAAGGGACTCTAACCCCGAGACTTCTTCTCAAAGGGACTCTAACCCCGAGACTTTTCCTCAAAGGGACTCTAACCCCGAGACTTCTTCTCAAAGGGACTCTAACCCCGAGACTTTTTCTCAAAGGGACTCTAACCCCGAGACTTCTTCTCAAAGGGACTCTAACCCCGAGACTTCTTCTCAAAGGGACTCTAACCCCGAGACTTCTTCTCAAAGGGACTCTAACCCCGAGACTTCTTCTCAAAGGGACTCTAACCCCGAGACTTTTCCTCAAAGGGACTCTAACCCCGAGACTTCTTCTCAAAGGGACTCTAACCCCGAGACTTCTTCTCAAAGGGACTCTAACCCCGAGACTTCTTCTCAAAGGGACTCTAACCCCGAGACTTTTCCTCAAAGGGACTCTAACCCCGAGACTTCTTCTCAAAGGGACTCTAACCCCGAGACTTCTTCTCAAAGGGACTCTAACCCCGAGACTTTTCCTCAAAGGGACTCTAACCCCGAGACTTCTTCTCAAAGGGACTCTAACCCCGAGACTTCTTCTCAAAGGGACTCTAACCCCGAGACTTCTTCTCAAAGGGACTCTAACCCCGAGACTTCTTCTCAAATACAATTTAGAGAGTTTGACAGACCCCAAAAACAGACCAAAATGTAGCTAGTATCCAATTATACAGACTTTACATATAAAAAGGTGTCTGCTTACCTTATTCTTGTCAAACCGGTTCCAAGGACTGTCCGAGAGGTCTGCCAACCTCTTTTCCGCGTCGGAATATTCAATTTAAAAAACAAAAGTGACAGAAGCGACAAGAAGCATCCAGGAGCAGCTCTTCCAGCCTGCTGGAATCTCCGCTCCCAGACACAGCATGCCGGTCTCTCATGCCGAGGAAAAGAAACAGAGGAAATTCCCTCAAAACAATCCAGAGAATGGCGCACACTGAGCCGCGCATTCTCCACCAAATCTGTTAGGATTTAGCAGACAGAGACGGATCGTGGTGTGCCAAACTCTGGAAGTTTATTTAGGTTTCTCTCAAGTTCCACTGGTTTACTCTGTTTCTTTCTCTCAGACAGAATAAAGGCAGTACACAGTTTATAGTCATTGTCACGTCACACATCGAAAGACATACGTGTCACAAAGAGACAGTCACATCATAGTCATAACATGGAGTCCTTGTAGAGTCCTGCACGTAGGCCATATTGCCATCTAATACTAACAGCACTAATAGAATTTCATATAAAGTATAACATTAGTCAGCAGTTTAAACAGATTTCAACAGCAATATATGTAATAGATAGCGCAGTTGGTAGAGCATTGGCTTTTGGGCCGGAAGGTCGTGGTTTTAAGCCCACCTCGGGACCTACTCCAACTGCTCCCACAAATGTCTGCTGTCGTTGCGTCCTTCGGAAGACACTTAACCTCGCATTGCCAGAAGCTCCCGCTGAAAGACCAAGGCTGTGGTACCGCTGATGTAGAGGATCAGAAGGACTGGTGCTTTGAGACTTGGGTGGCAGCTCTCATTGCCACCCCCCTGACCCAGAAATGGACTAATAGAGGGGTAATGAATGAAATCAACTTGTACACTTAATTTTTCAGATTGTCCATCCATCCATTTTCTTCCCTTTAATCCATTTCTGGGTCAGGGGGGTGGCAGTCAGAGATGCCACCCAAGTCTCATAGCACCAGCCTCTCAATGACCCTCTGCAGGTGGTGAGTCCACAGGAGGACGGCTGCTCTCTGAGTGTGAGCATAGCCTTGATCTTTCAGTGGGGGCTTTTTGGGCAAAGTGGGGTTAAGTGTCTTGCCCAAGGACACAACGATAGCAGTCATCAGTGGGAGTCGGTGGAGAAGGTGTAGAGGTGGGAAATGAACCCACGACCTTCTGGCCTTAAGGCCAATGCTCTACCAACTGAGCTACTGTCGCCCCATCGTCAATCTTTTTCAGATTGTATTATTTATTATTATTGTAAGCGCACTTTGTCACTAGTAACAAATACAGTATGTGATGATAAATAATGACTATAGGCTTATAGCATTATCCCAGGGCCGCTTTAGTTTATAAAACAGGGACAATGTACAAAAACCATTAGTCTTTACAAAAGAAGAGATGGTTTGCACCAGATTTAGCTGCTGCTATTTTCCATCTGTAGTCCCTGGGCAGGTGAGCTTAAAGTAGCTCTCTGCCTTTTGCATCCTGGGAAAGTAGCTCTCTGGATGAAAAAGGTTGGAGACACCTCCTATAGAATATAACTCATTACACAAACTTATGACTTCAGCAGAAAGAAAAGGAATATACCATTAATTTCAATAACCTACTTAGTAAAAGAATCGACACTACATCAGACTGATAAAACACTTTATTCATCTACACATTTACAGTTTCCCATTAAATCAAACAAACTAGAACAGTAGAAGAGTCGTTTTTCAAATGGCCTGTGATAAGACAGTGGATTGTAGAATGTTCTTTATTGTGGCTATGACATCTATTGAAAATGTTATTATTGAATTTGATAAGAGCAGCTTTAACAACATAGACATTTATTTAAACACTGACGAAAAACATTAAAAATCTACATATTTTCAGTATAAAAGAGAGCTGCAGATTTGATTAACACTTTGTTGATCAGTTCAGTCCATTTATGGTTTCCAGTTTTGGTCTGGGTATTAATGTTGTTCAGAAGAATCCAGTTTTGCTTTAGGTCTGGTTCAATAGGACAGGTTGATGAGGAGAGCGTCCTTTTCCTTTTTGTCGTCTGGACTCCACTTGATCAGTGGAGAACTGAGATCAATGAGCTGAGGGGAAAAAATGCATTAGGCAGTGTTGGGCAAGTTACTTAAAAAACTTTATTAATTATGTATTTCATGTTACTGTTATTTGTAGTATTGTAGAGTAATAAATTATCCAAAATAACTTTCTCCAGCTAAATGCGGAAAAACTGAAATCAATATCTTTGGTCCCCAGAAACAAAGTGAGACAGTCATTTATCACCGTCAGTCTCTCTCCCATAAACCTTTAAATAAGGTCAGAAATCTGGGGGTAATAATGGACGTAAACTTCAATAGCTACATCGGATTGGTAACATCAGCAGTTTTTTACCATCTAAAAATATTGCCAAAATTAAAAATATTGTGTCCAAAGTAGATCTGGAGATTCATATCCATGCTTTTGTCTCCAGTAGGTTAGACTACTGCAATGGCTTGTTTACAGGTCTCTCCAAACATGCAGTAAAACAGCTGCAGTACATTCAAAAGGCTGGAGCTCGAGTCCTGACTAGAACCAGGAAGTATGATCACATTAGTCCAGTCCTCAGGTCTCTGCACTGGCTTCCTGTGGCTCAGAGAATAGACACAAGCAGCTCTACTCGTGTCCTAGTCTCTCCATGGCCTCGCACCAAAGTACATCCATGGCTAGCACCATGTTAGTCCCATATGAACCGGCTCGGACTTTGAGGACCAGCCTTCCGCTGGGGTCCAGAGTCACAACTATACATGGGGAGGCAGTTTCAGATTTATGCAGCCAAAGTCTTCCTGAGGATGCGAGACTGGCTTCCTCTCTGGCGATGTTCCAATCCAGGTTAAAGACAGTTCTTTTTGCGTGTATATACAACTGAAGAATTTTATTTTGAATGCACATTTATTAATTATTATTATAATATTTTGTGTGATTTTAATTCTGTTTTTAATGGTGATTTTGGTGTTTGTTTTACGTGATGATTTGTGCCTTGTGTGGTGTGGACTTTGAGGCGCTTTGTGTAGGAAAAGCGCTCTATAAAAATAATTCTAAAGATTGATATTACACAACAATTAGGCTCCTGTGGACTCACCACCTGCAGGAGGATCAGAAGGGCTGGTGCTATGTGTACTGGGTGCAGCTCTGACTGCTACCCCCCAGACCCAGAAATGGATTAAAGGGAAGATAAAAATTGATTACACTACAATATCTGAGTCTCTGAATTGTAACGCATTGCACTACTTCTGCATTACTTTTAAAAGATGCACTGTGTAGTTCTTACTCCGGTCTAGCGTTGAGATCATATATCGCAGTTCAGCGTACTACAGAAGCCTTTGATTGACCGTGCTCCTCAACTCACCTGCCAAGGAGAGAATCCTTTCTCCAAACGATCCTTTATCTAAATGACCGGATCTCTCCATATGTCTGGCTCAGTCATGGCTCAGAACTGGGTCCCAGCAGCTTTCTGCTTCATTTATTAAACTTGATGGAAGTACATCATTCTTAGCCGCACATAGCCACTACTCGCCCATATAGTTTCCGCGCAAGTGTCTGTCTCTCTCACAAACCGGACTCTAGCGCGGCTCATATCTCTGAATATTGACTCTTTTTGGACGCTTTAAAGATCAACACAGAGCTTAGAATCTTATCTGTCACATAGTCAGCATGTCTTTTTGCCAAACGCCAACCGCTGAGCGAAGGGGCGGAGACAAAAGACTGGGTTAAAAGGCTCCAGGACCAAGAATATTTACAACAATATACATCATGCTTCGCAGGCGCTTTTTGTGGTCCTTGTGAGCGACCTGGCACTTGCGGGCCCCGGGTTGGTAACCCCTGTTCTGTCGGTAACTATTGGCACTTTTTCCCCCTCTGCTGATCTCGCTGTAGCATAATATAAACAAAACCTTTTCAGGTTAAAATGCACTGTAACACACGTTACTGACCTTTGCACATATAAATATTACCCAGTTTTGTTTGTGTAATGCCTAACATTACTGGGTTACAGAAAAAATACATTGCACTAGGGGTGTGCGATATATTCGATAATTATGAAATATAAAGATAGTCCCCGAAGCTCAATATGAATTTTGACATGTTAATGTTTTTATTTCACTTTCAAAAAATCATGAAAGCTTGTCCACTGCGCAGAACCGGGAGGATCATGTGAAGCAAGATGATGCTTTGCATAATACTCGTGTGTGGCACTCATGCACAAGGAGCACGGCCGCGTTCTGACCAATCAGCGGCTGAAGATCAGAGTGGAGATGGACGCAAATGAGCAGAGTTTATTGCACTATGGTGTGGATTTATTGAAAGATAAGGTAACCCTGGAGGAGCTGCAGAGTTCCACAGCAGAGACCGGAGTATCTGTACATAGGACGACAATAAGCCAAAACCTGGCTTATTGAGCAAAACCTGTACCACTCTGTGCGTGATTTGAGGCTAGGACGGAGGTTCACCTTCCAGCAGGACAATGACGCCAAACACACTGCTAAAGCAACACTTCAGCGGTTTAAGGGGAAACATGTAAATGTGTTGGAATGGCCTAGTCAAAGCCCAGACCTCAATCCAATAGAAAATCTGTGGTCAGATTTAGGGATGTAAATCGGCGACCGGTTAACCGGTGGTTGACCGTCACAGCGTTAACCGGTCAAAGCTGTCGGTTAAAAAAGAGAAAAAGGGGAGAGGGGAGGTCTCTTAATAACGCTATTTTAAGCCCTATTTGCACGGTGTGACGAGCGGGTCCATATCTGGCTGTGTGCGCCCATGTATTATAAACTCCGGGACGACTCTCACGCCGCACGAGCCACATATGCACACACGCCCTCACACACACACACACACACGCGCACACACACATACACACACACACACACACACTTTCCCCCTCTCCATACGTAACATCCACACGCATCATCTCTCCCCTCTGTCACCGTCAAAGTTGCACACTGGCGCGGGTCAGAACTACATTGGAGCTTACATTTACACACACACACATATACATACATACACACATACACATATACACACATACACACACATACCGGCCTGTCGCGCTCCTCTGTGTCACGGAGCCCAAAGGATCCTCAAATACGCGGCTCCAGTCAAACCACATGGACCATGTTTGTGTTTATGGTCCTCGGGATCAGCTCCACACACATCACTTGTATTTAAACTTTTGTGAAGACCTGTGAGACGTGGCTCGTCACTCGCTGCTCTGACCATGTGAACGAGCCGTCGTTTGCTGCTAGAAAGTTTTGGTATTAACCCGCAGCACAGCAGAATGGGAAGATTAAAAAAGCAGTTCTCTGTGCGCAAAGGTGCCGGAGCTGTTGTGGGTTTTGGCGCCGCTGTCTCAACTCTGATCCAGTAGAACGCAGAGCTGCACTTATGAAAAGTACGCGGCTCGAAATGGCTGTTATTTCAAAGAACGTGGACTATTTTAAACTACGCGGTTAACCGGTTTCAACCGGTTAATGAGGCTCGGTGGTCGGTCATGAAAATTCATAGTTTTTTACATCCCTAGTCAGATTTAAAGATTGCTGTTCACAAGCGCACTTGAAGGAGCTGGAGCAGTTTTGCAAGAAGGAATGGGCAAACATCCCAGTGGCTCATAGAGACTTATCCAAAGCGACTTGGAGCTGCGATTGCCGCAAAAGGTGGCTCTACAAAGTATTGACTTTAGGGGGGTGAATAGTTATGCACATTCACCTTTTCCGTTATTTTGTCCTATTTGTTGTTTGCTTCACAATAAAAAATAAAAAAAAGACTACATCTTCAAAGTTGTGGGCATTTTCTGTAAATTAACTGATGCAAATCCTCAAACAATCCATGTTAATTCCAGGTTGTGAGGCAACAAAACACAAAATGCCAAGGGGGGTATAATATATACACTGTATATATTATACACAGAATCGTACCTCTGAGGCGGAAGTCTTGGTCCGAATCAGGTTCGGAGTGTTGCTCAGATCAATGAGCAATTTCTCCTGAGGCTGAAGAGCTGGAGTCGGGAGGTCCAAAAGCAGAATCTGACAGAAAACTTAAGATTAGTGTTTTAAAAACCAAACCAAGCTTGTGAATGGCGGAATCAACTCCCCATCCACTTCACGAGGGTGTATACAGTCTCCAAGACTGAGATGAAAGATTCCTCTTTGATTTAACTTTGATAGGATATGCAAGAATAAAAACAAAAAGTCCTCACATTATTTTTTTAAAAATAGTATCAATACTTAATATATATGACTACATTACGCATCTCCATTCCATTATCATGAAATAAAGTATTTTTTCACTTACATTTATTAATTTATTTATGCCATAAATTGGCATATGGTATATTTCTGACCAATATTTTGTGATATAATCGTTATTGTGAGCTTTGTATTGCATATTGTATCGTATTGTGTGGTACCCTGAGGTTCCCACCCCTACTTTCCAATGGTATGTGGAGATATGAAAACACCTTGCTGATAGGAGTATGGTAACTTGAGCACCATCCTCTTCCTCTCTCGTTCTTTTTCTGTGATTGTAGCGTATGACTTCACCTGGAGTCTGTCGCTATTCACACGCCGCCTCATTGTCAGTTTCATGGCACAATGATGGGACCTTCGAACTTGGCATGATGATGTTCAGTCCTGGCTCTACAGCCTCAGCCTGTCCGTCCATTAGAGCGGATCCCTCTGATAAGTTTGAGATTCCCTCACAGATGCAAGAAGGTCTAAAGACGGTGACGACCAAGGGCATTTATTTTAATCCGCTGTACCAATGACTCAGATGTGTGTTCTAAATGCTTGACTCTCTAATTTACTGTTAGCTATTTGATACTGTTTCTGTGTCACCCTCAGAGACAACTGCTTGTTATATTGGACAACACAAAAATACATTGATTTAATGTGAAGCACCCGTTTGATTAAAATCACAGTAAAGGCTGTATATAAGGGATACTTTACTTTCCTAGCTTTGCCTTTTCCTTGTATTTCTAGTTTCTTCCCTGTCAATTGGAACACATGGGCCTAATGGCGTATTCACACCAAACGCGCCAAAACGTCCATATTATATTATATTATATTGCACATTTATTAACGGCAATATATTTTTGAAATTTAGGAGCTTCCCTATTCCTGGGGTTGCAACCACGTGACCAAAAGGGGGCGTGGCAAGGGGCCGTAGGACAGGAAGTATTTCTCTCATATAGTTAGGGCAATGCGGGAAAACGCACACACAACTTTTCACTGCTTAGTATCACTCTTATTATGAGCGAAAACTATTTTTAATGCAGCGTATGTTGTGTAGTTTGAATTAGCCACATTTTTCAAGAATGAGGATGATAAAGCATATATTATACAGTGGAGCTCATCACTCTGGGATCAACAAAACCACGTCTGAAATGACAGTTTTGATCAATAATACAATAAATAGGGCACAAATGTTAATTTTAACAACATTTGAGGCGAGAAATATGACCCTTTATTGGAATTTTAGTGATTTGTTGAGCTGGTAATTATCAAAAATTGATGAACAATGACTCTTAGATCACAATGACTAGATTGTACAGCCTGCTTTTAGCTTAGTTATACACGTGTACACGTTGGTTTGAGACAACCAATGGCCTTAAAAAATATACTGTTCCATCAGTTCTTTCTCTCTGTTCCCTTGGTTAATACAACCGTATACCACACAAAAAACTGCATTCCATCTATGGAAGTCAGCGAAGTGAAGACTGTGGGCTGTCAGCTATGTCTGCGGCCGCAGATGCTACACAGGCTAATGCTAACGCAGCTCTTCTGTTCCGTCCATTATTAGGCCTTTTGCTAAAAATCAACACCCATTAGATAAATACATAGAGACTCCATAAGTTCTCCACAGAACACCACAGAAAAATAGCATTTTGTCTCTGAATCAGATTTTTTTTTTTACATTGTTCTTAATTAATGGCGAGATTCCTGTTCCAGATTCATCTTGTATGTGAAATGCGCCATTGCTTCACTCGAGCGACCCGGTCTGTTCATTGGTTTGCGCCCTGCGTAAAGCTTGAAAAGTTCAGCATTTCTCAACTTTGGCAGCAAGGGATCTTGATAGATTTTGGCATCATTTAGTGCACGTCACTTGGCGCAGATGGCGATCTGAACATTGTGTCAAAATTAAAAACAAATATACCAAGATTAAGTTTAAGGTATGTTCTCTTGCAACTCTGACTCGTCCCTTAGTTTCGAGACAAGAGGTGGGTGATCAATATTTTATATCATGTATATATTGAAACAATGTTCATATTTCACCTCTCTTTCTCTTGCTAGTTTCCCTTCTCTGTTCTGTGCTCGCCCCCATCTCCTTGTTTTTGTTTAACTGTATATGTATTGTATAGCAGAGAGTGGAATATGAAAGAAGCGCGAGGTGATCTAGCATAACAGAGGCCGTGGAATTTCATATAGCGCTCGATCTGGCGTCTATTGCCGTTGTTGACGTTCAATAAAAACGTTGGAATTTTAGTAGGGCTGGGACTCGATTAATAAATAATAATCTAATTAATTAGAGGGTTAGTAATTCAATAATCGCAATTAATCACATTTTAACCGCATATACCAGGGCTGAGGACGGGGGACACGGGGGTTGTAAACTTATGTCTTCTCCCTGAATCTCTACTATGACTGTAAAAGTGCTGCTACAGAAGTACTGCAGGGACGTGCAGTCAGGGGAGGCAGGGGAGGCAGAGCCTCACCTGCCATTATTGGAAACTAATAATTATTTTAGTTTAAATATATAATTTATATCCACTGTCCTATGCTTTTAATGTATATTCGGCACGGTTCCCATCAGTTTTGATCATTTCTGAAGTCAAAATCGCCGAAATCCCGTTATTCCTATTCAAAGAGACGAGGTGAGGCAGCGCTCCTGCGTGCCTCACCTCAGACCGCTCCCTCACAGTGTGTGTGTGTGTGTCTGAGTGCACTCAGCTCGTGCAGTTGATATATCACCGTTTGTTTCAAATATCCTGCTTTAAAAACATGTTTTAAACTCCTCTTAGTGTTTAGTAGTGTATTGCACGTATGTGTGTACAATTTATATTTAGTTTAAGTCTTTTGATCGTAGATGAACACACAAGGAAAAAGCTTGGCGTGAGGCAGGCGGTATCTGTGCCTCACCGCTAGGGGTGATAGTGAGCATAAAGTTCATACCAGAGTTGCTAACAAACAATCAGCCCAAAATGCTATTTCTTTTGCTGGAAAATGGATGATTTGAATGAAGATTTTTTTTCTCAATTGGACTTTCAAACAAAGAAAGAATTAATATAGACTGGGAGACCACCACTGGACTTACGAGGTTAGTCCGGCTGCGGGGGAGGAGTTTGTTAATCTGTGTTTTATGTTGAACATTGACAGATACCGGCAAAGTAGTGCTTTTCCGAAAAACACTGATTCAAACACTGCTCAAGAGTTCTGCAACTTGTTTAAATTATTGTTTATGTTCCTCGCGTCTCTCTCTCCTCGCGTCTCTCTCTCCTCGCGTCTCCGTCTCTCTGCTCCTCTCTGTCTCTCTCTGCTCCTCGCGTCTCCGTCTCTCTGCTCCTCTCTGTCTCTCTCTCTCCTCTCTCCTCGCGTCTCTCTCTCCTCGCGTCTCTCGCACCTGCGCTTCTTAAAGATGTTGTTTGATGCGGAGCAGAGTCAGCAGCTAGATTTGTTGTGAGATTATTAAAAGAAGCTGGTTCTCTTATCTTTACAGTATATAAAGTTTGTGGATGTCATTGCATTGGTGATTAAATGCTATTTTATTTGAATAATGATTGTAAATCTGACTTTTAAAGTCAGTGCCTCCCCAATCACAAACCTCACCGCACGTCCCTGAAGTACTGGCGTCAGCATCAAAGCTCCGCCCACTTCTGTGTTTTTTCCCCCCAACGCAGGACAGGACGTCAGAGGACGCACATGTTTGGATTGTTATGAATGTGATTGAAAACGCAGATGTTTGGTTATGTATGGATGCTAGTTTTATAAACGTAGGGGGGGAATATTCGGTTTTTAAAAAACCCGGCTACGTGTGGACATGTCCGTGAGGAACGTTCCGCGGTGCAAAAATAAATACGATGAAAATGCGTTTTAGCGCGCTAATTTTTGTGTAATTAATTTATCTTAATTAATGCGTTAAAGTCCCATCCCTAAATTTTACATATTTGTTTATGCAGTTTTTTGGGGGGTTGTATATTCTATAGAAAAATTGTGACATATTGTATATAAAGATATATCTTGATATATATTTTGCTGTCAGTTTTTCACACATCGCTTCTAAAACATGGTGTCAAAGTAAGTCCATTAACTGTTGGATGTTTTAATCCAGTACAGTTTGGCCTAAAACCCGAGAATTAGAGTAATAACAGATTCAATTTCATGGCTCACCTCTTGCATTTTAATTACTTCTATTTTGGGTTCCTCTTTTGTCGTTTCTGATTTGCTTTGACAAAGTGCATCCGGTGAGGCTGTGGTCTCCATTTGGTCGGGTGTAGTGATTGTGGGTGGCACTTGCACAGGCTCCTCCTCCTCCAGGTTGAGAGGCTGAATCACCGGCAGCTCCACAGACTCTGGGCTGTCGCTGGGAGGTAAGCTGCAATCACACATTTTGATACCTTTTAATTCAATTTAAAATGCACCAGCGCGTCCCTCTGAATATTGCTTCCACAATTAAAACGTGCTCAAATTTTTCAGAGGATGAAAACAATTAAAATGTAACACCTGCCCCTGGCAGCAGAAGTGGGTAAATACAACCAGTAGTTTGAGGAATATGATATGAAGAAGTCTTAAGCTGTGTTCAGACCGGATCATGCGTTGCGGAGAGTTTCAATGCAAAGTCAATAGTGACGGCCGTCAATGCAAGGGACTGCATTGACGTCGCGGCACGCACGTTTACCCTGCACGGAAGACGCAGTGGGTACAGCGTCTAGATGCATGCAGTGAAAACAAGAGATGTGAACATATTTTTTCACCTTGTGTTGACATTGCACTGTGGCCGTAAAGAAGTTCTGTTAACGTGTTTGCTGATTCGCCCTGCATTTCAGGACGTCTGACTAAACTCATGCAGCTGATACTTGGTGAACGGGTGAACGAGCGTCCATGCATCGGCGGTCTGAAAACACCTCTAGAAATTGTCATAGGCCACAAAAAAGTCAATCCAAGATACCACCCTTACCTATGGTCAAGAGCAATTATTGCAATGACCGAAAGGACAAGATCACGGATAGAAGCTATTGAAATTAGATTCCTGCGCAGAGTGGCTGGGCGCTCCCTTAGAGGTGAGGAGCTCAGTCATACAGTAGGAGCCCGGAGTAGAGCTGCTGCTTTTCCATGTTGAAGTGACTCGGGCATCTGTTGTAAATGCCTGCTGGGAGACTCCCAGAGGAGGCGTTTCGGGCATGTCCCACCGGGAGGAGACCAGGGGAAGATCCACATCCGGAGGTGTCATAAAGCTTTAATCTAGGCCCAGTTTTCAGCAGTTTGACTTCATAGTGGCTGGATTCATTTTTGAGATTATTCATGGGTTTAACTTGCTCAGTTTTATCGGGTCAGATCCACGAATATGATTGCAATTTGTATCATTTCCTGAATGAAACCAGAACAGCAGCTGTGTGTCCTCAGATGTTTTTATAAGCACTTCGGTCTGGACACACTCTGCTTGAGAAAGGAGTAGACCGAACAAAAAAATAAAAAAATAAAAAGACCATAGTACTTTACTACACAGGTCTGTGATTAGCTTTACCACTTAAATTTAAAAGGCTGAACTCTTGAATAAAAATACAGAATTACTACACAAATAGAATATTTCTATAAAACAACAGTATTCACAATCTGATAATCAGGAGAATATTTGCAGATGAAGCAGCACTCACTACAAACATGTTTTTACACCGTGTGTGGAATCTGTGTAAAATGATCTTTCTCTCCAGAGAAAACATCTGGATTCATTCTGCTGTGACTTTTGTGCAGTTTTACCTGTTGGGGGCGCAGTGAGTAGGCACGGCTTTAATTGGTCGAATTTGGCTCTGGGGAGTGGATTGAGAGAGTACTGATGGTCTGGACCTAGAAATATAGGCAAGGAAAGCTTATGTGTATAGCACAATTCATTGATACATAGGGCAACTGAAAGTGCAATGAAATTATTTACGATTATTACATTTTGCAGAAATGATGGTAATGGTTGCTATGTTATACCTTATTGTAAAGCTAATGTTCTCAAGAAAATAACTACCATTTAATTCAATCTGAACTCAACCCGTAAGTAGAACCATTTTCAACCCCTTAATCCGTTTCTGGGGCGGGTGATGGCAATCAGACCTGCCAACCAATTCAGAGCACCAGCCCCCCATTGATCCTCCTGCAGGTAATGAGTCCTGTGTCAGTGACTGCATAGCCTTGATCTTTCAGCTGGGATTCAGGCAAAATGGGGTTATGAGTCTTGCCAAGGACTTGTAGGGGGCTCTACCAACTGAGACACTGTCATAGAACTTAAACAACTGAATATAAACACTTACCATGGGCCTTAAGCTGAATATCATAAGTATGTGGTCAAGTTTTGTTTTACAAAACAAAACAAAAAAAATTCTAAAATATATATATTTATACATAAAATCAATATTTAACAGTTTCACTGTGTGCCAATATCCCTGCGCCTTTATTTACAATTAAGGCTTGTGCTGTAATGGTGACCGACCTAATAGGAGTGGGTAGAGCTGAGGGTCTGCGGGCCTTCAGCGGCACTGCACTTCCGCTACCACCGGATGGCGTCACAGTGCCGAGAACAGACCTTTGAGGAACACTGGAAAGAAAGATGTTAGTTATAGGTGAAAATATCAGAAAAGAAATACTGACATTCAAAGTAATAACACATTTACCAATCGCCGTTTTTCACAGAAACCAGCCGCTTCGGTTTCAACATTTTTGAGGGGTTTGGAGATGAGGACTCTGGAATGGAAAATAATGACATCTTATAAAACAGATTTCAGGAGTTAATTTGTTTAAATAGATTTGTCTGTAACAGAAAATTCCAATCAGTACGCAATAGGTTTGAATGAGAGCCCATATAGTTAACGTTGTGGTGGAGGGCAGCTGAAGAATCTATGGCAATGTCAAAAATCATTGTCTAGTCTTGTCTAGTGGCAGGCCGTAAGCCTAGTGTATACTCGCGCGGAGCTTACGGAGGTGACGTGACGTCACTTGCGCAACGCGTTGGTCACCGCAAGGCCCTTACGTTGCCTGCCGCGCAGCATCAACATTTTCTAACTACGTAAGGGTCGCCGCAAGGAATCTCCGCTGTGATTGGTCTGTGTGTGTGTATTGGAAGGAAGCACGGAGCGGCTGCAGGAGCATGGACGAGGGACTATGATGGACCCCTAATGTAAAAGCTTCTGCTTCTGGGAGTTCCATCTTCACAATGTAACGCATGTACTTTTAGGGACTGTGTGAATTGTGAATAAACTATAAACTATGGAGCAGACTGCTTTACGCTTCGAAGAAACCAAAGAAAAAGTAGTTTGGGCTCATGGCTGAGCCTGATATACGCAGAGACTGTGGACTAGAGTTCTGTTGCATATCTAACATATATATAACTTATAAACTGTGCAGTCGTTTCTTTTGCACTGTTCCTGTCTTTGTTTGAATCGTAGTTTATCACGTCTGTTCCATTTCTCCTGCACTTATAAATTGTTCATGTTTGCCTCAGATATTTACCACTTTTTGTATGCTGTTTGTGATTAATACAATTTAATAATAACTATGTTTCCAACGAACTGTGTCTTTATTCACAAAATCAGTTAAATGAGTTAAGAAACAAATGAGTCCATAGAACTATCACATAAACCTACAGTAGAAACACATGTAATGATCTCAAACAGCTTTGTTTATGTTTTTGTTCTGAAGAGAAAATAGCATAAATAGCGTAAATGAGACCGCTTCTCAAGCAACTCCTGTGAGATCGCCATCGTGTGGTTGGTTGTGCGATTACAACATTCTCCGCAAGGAGTATAAAATAAATTGTGCTTGCGGAAGTCCACCACAACCGCTAACGTAAGCAGCGCCACGCAAGTATACACTAGGCTTTAGTTTCAGACGCTAGATTTGATAAAGCCAAAGCAAATGGAGGGACGGTTGGTATACATTAAAGATGGTGTACCTAACGTTGTGATAAATAAGGTTGTTTGTCCAACAAAAAGTCTTGTGTAGTAAAATGTAAACAAATCAGACCATAACATGCCATCTTCATCGTAAAAGAAAATGTGATCTTTTGCATACTTTTGCAATTGGTGCCCTGTAAGTCACCAATTGTGAGTCACTATTTGAAAAAACTGATCTACAATGTGACGTGATGTTTAAAACACATACAATTTTATATAACGCTTTGTTGGACACTCAGACACTTCACATGTCATCCTTTCATTCCACACATGTTGGTGATAAAATACTCCTGTAGTCACAGCTGCCCTGGGGTACAATGACAGAAGTGAGGCAACCAGTATGTGCCATCGGCCCCTCTGCCCACCACCAAGCTTTCACGCACACACCAGAGTCATTGTAGGCAATGAGGGTGAAGTGTCTTGCATAAGGACACAACAACAGTCTTTACCGCCAAAACCGCCCCATTGTGGCACCTGATATTGATCTGTTATGCAGTTAAATGATTTATGTTTTATTTTTTACAAGTACCACTCGAGAGCAGGCGCCAATCCAACTCCAAAAGCACCACCACACTCACCTCTTAGCGTTGCGTTGGGCGCGGGAGGCACTAGGGCTTGTGTTTTGGTCTTCACTCCACTCTGGGCCCTGACAGCGGAGGGCACAGAGCTGGTCCGGTCTGTGCCCTTCCTCACTGGGGTCTGTGTGGGGGACTCTGATCTCTTCAGGGCTAACGGGTTGGAGGGTTTTCGGCTCTGAAGGCTCAGGGACCTGCGACCAGCTGCAGCCAGCGGCGGATTGGAGGGCTGTGGGGCCACAGAACGACCCTTCTGTGTGGCTCTGGTCATGCTGCACTGGGAGCTCGAGTTAGATTTACCTGAGAAATGAAGAGTTTCAGATCACAAAGCCGCAGGTGAAAGACATCCAAATCATTTTGATATCCCAATTTGAATATTAGCCAGACAGTGATTTTTGAAGTATTTTGCTTATTTAGCTCCATCCACACCAACATCAAACTTTTGGCACACATTACATCACCCCTTCTGTCTTTATGCTCCTGTCTCAAACTTGGTACACGCTATGAGGAATCCTTAAAATATTACAGCCAAACCACGGGGATCCAAGATGCCACCTTATTCAAATGAATGGCTTGTGCTCAGTAGCGCATGGGACTTCATGGAGATCGGGAGATTAGCTGAACTCGCCTATATTTGGGCATCGTCTGGTCCTCCCGGTTCTGCGCAGTGGATTAGCGCAACGCATGATGGGAGATATCTCCCATCATGCGTCACGCCAAACGTGCGTGTGTGGCTTTCATGCACGCGCACAGAGGCGCTCTGCCGCGCTCTGACATATCAGAGTTGATCATCAGAGCAGCGGAAGAGCGGCGCCAGAGCGGGAAGGAAGGGAGCAGAGTTTGTGGCAGTAAAGTGTGGATTTAAAGAAACCCGAAGGATCTAAGAAGAAAGAAAGTTCAGGATGACAAGGGACACTAAAATCCCCACAAAATCTGATCTTTCTGAAAGCTGAAGGTTCTGTCAGCTGAGGTCGAGCTGTTTTAATTTACATTGAGTTCTATGGGACTTTTTTCTGGGTAGCCCTCGTGAATTTAGTCTGCAGTACCACGGGCGCCCCCTGTGCCCATGGGTGGGACAGCTATAAGCTAGTTATACCCTATCCAGTTATTATAGATCCATGATTACAGCTGAGGTACCCAACTTTTTACAAGAATAAAAAAAGTTTGTCCCATTAAATAAGATAAATAAAATGTGAATCAGACTACAATAAACTGTCTTCATCCTATTAGGAAACATGTTATACATACTATGAAAGGGAGGCCCAACTGAGAGCTGGGAACTAATAAGATTTGATTAACTTTTCTCTTGGGTTGAAAATGTATTACCCCAGCTTTAAGTAATTTTCAAGAAAATTTCATCAATTTTATCAGTCATTTTGGGCCTTTTAAAAAACAAAAGTGTGGAAGCGAATAATCAATTCTTATCTTTTATACATGTTTCATACATTTCTACTCAAGAAAATATTTCACTTTCTAAAAGGAAGCAACATTCTAAAAGATTAAGAGAGATCCTTTATTTGTCCCACAGTGGAAAAATATGAAATGACAAAGTCACATCATTGTGTTTAAGGGCCAAACATAATCCATCATATTTCTTAATGGTTTATAATGATGTAACACATGCCGTCTTGCACTTTGAGCTACATCATTGCGTGTGATAAATAATTCACCTTTGTTTGCTGGAGAGAGGGAGATGCTGGAGTTGAAGCTGGACACAGAGGATGAAGACGAGGACGTGTTCCTAAGTCTGCTGTCTGACGGAGGCTTCACTCCAGAGCGAGTCTGGACCGACTTAAGGAAACAAAAGAACATATGTTGTGAATATATTGTGCAAATGTATATTGGCAATTAAACAAAATCAACATGGTGCTTTCCAAAAGAAAATGATACACACAACCAGGAATATTTATTGTAATTTAATCATAATAATCAAACTTTGAAAACATCTTGCAAAATACAAGGTTCTAAAATGAAATCTCTCATCCCAGACCAGAAAATAGACAAATAAAACTAAAAAGATAAAATAATGTCCATTGGCTGATGGAAACAATAGTTTTTTTGCACAGTACTTTCTTTAAGGTCAGAATATTTCCTGTCAGGCGCAAACGTTGTTTGTTTGTATGGTGACATGCATCTACTGACCAGGAAGCCAGATAATACACTTCAACTGAGTAGTCTTGGCTTTAAACTATTACCGGTAGGTCAAATTGTGGGAAACACTGATTTATCCCCCCCTCCCCACTAGTGCTACTTTTATCATTTGTAATTATCAATATCCAGATACTGCTTTGGATGCACAATAAACAAACCTTTAGTGTTAAAAACAAAACAAAAAGGTCCACCGTGTTTGTGTTGTTGCTATGAGACAATACCTTGGAGGGCGGGGCCAGTGATCGTTTGCTCACAGTGCTCGAGTTCAGAGACGAGTCACTGACATCCGACGCCACGCTCGCAGAGTCCGAGAGGAGGTCCTCACATGAACCGGTCCTGCTCGAGTTTGGACTGCGCCGCCAACTGCTTGACAACTTCAAGATAAGAAGAGACAGTTATGTTCAAAGAAAAAAAGACATAAGGACAATTTGCATTTTTATTTATCAATTGAGTTTTTCTATTTGTTTTGTTGTTTCTGTTTGTTTGTTAGTGGTCATATAAAGGCTTTCTCTCCGTGGAAACATGTGGATTAGAATTTAACAAAAGCCAAAGAGGACACAGAACTTCTACAGCCCTACAGTCCCTCCCGTCGACTCCAATCTGCAGACTCAAATCTCCTCACTCCCACTGTCAAATTCAAGCACCGAATCTTGGGGGGCCGAGCATTCCCCCCTTCACCTCAAAAACTCTGATCTCTTAGTTTCAGCATTGCACTCTTCTTTCCTGCTTTCAGATTTTTAGTTATCTGCGTCTGTCTGAATGTGTACGTGTGTGTCCTGAATTGTGAAGCGTCTTTTAGTTTTTGAAAAGCGCTATATAAAACCGATTTATTATTATTATTTTAAGTTGCAATGCCAATGCATGTTGGCAAATTCCACATTACAAACTATGAGTCAAATACTTACTTTACTGACTTCAGTGATTAAAAATAATAGATTCCAAATAGTTTTCCACCCCCGTCAAATATTGTAAAGTCAAAACGTTATAATCATCGAGTAAATAATCTTATAACAATTGAAAGTTTTTTTCAGAATAACCGAATGCAACATGCGATAGACATAATGTATCTGAGTGTGTTCACAGTTAAGTGTCAATTGAAGTATCTCGACTTTAAAAGGTTATAACTTAAAAACTAAAATTACTATCATAGATTGGAAAAAAGATTTCAAACACAGACACATCAAAGAGATAGTGTGGATAAAATCAAAAGGAAAGATTGTCAAATATATTTTTGGTGACATTTTAAACGACAAAATCAGCCTCTTTTTTGACCATTCTACTGTGACGCCAGTTACATAGAAAATAAAATGTCCTCAGTCTGAAAAAGCGGCAGATGAAATCCCACAATATTTACATGGTTAACACAACATCAGTAAATCACTTGATATGAAAAGGAATCGTTAAAAAATTAAAATTAATTAATTAATTAAATGACCCCTGAAAAATGTATAACGGACGTGATGGTTTCCGTCCTCTTTTCTCTAACATTTAAACTTGAGAAAGAAAAAATGTAAACAATGAATGTGTCACTATGTAATCTGCCGGTCGATGAAGTTATGCATCAGTGTGCTTCATCCCGCTCAGCAGCATATCATGAAAGGCACAGGACCTGTTATCCTAATTCATCCTCAGCTCTTAAAACCTGTAAGAATGTCGCTTTCACCCTTACTTTTCCGGGAGGCTGCAGTCTGGTCTTCACTTGATTCTTGGCACTGAAGGATCGTGAGGCTGAGGGCGCCGCAGGTCGACTGGGTAAAACCACTCCTACTCCGATCCCAGATCTGCTTCTGAGCGCAGGTTTGGTCTGAGTCCTTGCACCCGTTGCGGGACTGGAGACACTTTTCAAAACTCCAGATGCTAAATGCTGCATCACTTGTGATTTTCTGGTGGGCTTGATGCTTGGTTTAATTCCTACACCCGTTTTTGGGCTACTTCCTCTCATAATGCGGTTTTGAATAGCAGGAGGCAGCTGTTTCAAAGGGCTGTCTTGTACACAAAAAGTCTCTCGCTTTATGCTTAAAACACTAGGAGGGTCACAGAGCATGCTAAGTTTGGCCTCCGGATCATGGACAAATTCATTCTTTTGTAAAACTGCACAATTTGGGTTTAAGTTTTCAGATTCAGACTGCTCCCGACCCTGTAGTTCACTGGCCAGTTTTTGTGCTTCTTCACAGATGGCTTCTAGTTGGTCTCCAGACAGAGGGCTCCAGCTCGTCTTGATGCAGCGGTTTCCAAGACGAGACGCAAGGCTCACGGACACGCAACGTTCGCTGTGGCTGACGGGACCAACAAACACCTCGTCCTCAATGTCTTCACCTGTAGAACTGTGGAGCAGATATGAGAATGGGTCATAATGGAGTTTAAAGGAGCTATACCTGTTTCTGCAAGGTTTGAATGTTTAGCACCGCCCCTCAACTCGCTCACAGGCTTCTCATTTCCCCTACGCTCTCCTGCCACGGAGCCCCAGTTTTATTTGCAATCTGATACAAATGCAAACATTAGCATGAGCGCAACTTCTTGTAAACTGTACAACAATCACTGATGAAATGGAACAAAAGCAACGCACTGCTAACAAAATATATAACTGAAAGATTACCGCTAGTTTCGCATCCGAATGTAGTCCGAGCATAGATAGTCCGAGGCAGTCCCCCAGGTCTCTCCCATTGATTTTAAGTCTCTCCAGAGGATACGATGAGAGCTAACTATGATTTCTTCTTTGATCGTTTTTTTTGCTTTAGTTCCCTCTTCTCTTCCTCACTATTGCGTTGTTTGGGCTGTTTTGCTGTGTCTGCAGTTACAGCAAGAGGAGTTATAGCCAATTCTGCTATCATGCTACTGTGTTTACCAGCGCTGTAGAAGCTAGTGGACGCGGCCTGTTCGTAACAGCGCCGCTCCTCATTCTGTGAGTGGAGGAGAGGGGCCGTCACGTTAAGTCTCTACTCAGCACTTTTTATGACATGAATTCATACACAAGCTGAATCAATGAGCTCAAGTTTTCAATTAAATTACGGATTATAATACAACTTGTATGTAGTAATAAGCATTATGTGTCATTAAGCAAGTCATTTTGTCACACATCCCTGTGACCTTTATGAGCTGGCCCATGCTTATAGCACAAAAACCTGTGAGGAAGCTGTTATTTTAGAAAAAGGAATCCTATTTGTAATTGCTTCCCAGTCTTATTCAAATGTGCATCAGGTTCATAATGCCTAAACGCATGCAAATCATTACTATTAATGGCATTTTTGTATGGAATGGATGCACGGGTTTCTGCTGCTGGACATCTGAGCTGAGGAGCTCCTTCAGTGGAAGACTGAGACACCCTCAGTGCAAGGAGCGATACCGCAGGGCCTTTATCCCCACCGCTGTCAAACTGTACAATAAGTCTCTTTAAGTCACTTGCATTAGGACTGAAAAAAATCTGCACTACTTATTGACACCGTTTCTTGATTGCCACTTTTGATTGTACATAATATATCCTGCATTTAACATGTCGATCTTGAGTGTTTCTATCCATGCCAAAAGTGACATGTACATTTCTCCTGTGTGAGATCAATAAAGTCTATCTTATCTTATATAAGATCAATATAAGTAAAGCCTCCACCACCTTTTGTTATTATGCTCTTCCTCAGGAAGATGACTTCAAGTGTGTCTTAAAGACACAAACGGCATATATCCATTGTGTGTGTGTAAAGATGTTTTCTGCCATGTAATATTTGTGAATGATTAGTTCTCAAACATTTTACCTGATAAAATAAATGAATTCTAAAGAAGAATGCTGGGCAGCTGTGGCTGGCTACAGTAGTAGTTCGACACCACTGGTCTGGTGTCATTTTGAGCCTACTACAAATAGACAAACTTTGTCTAACACTGATCATTTCTTCTATTCATCATTCACTCACCTGGCTGGCGACAGTGACACGTCGAAGTCAAACTTTTCATCCGTCAAAAAGAACACATCTGTGTGAAGAAAGGCCTCAAAATTAGAAATTAAAGTTGCAATTGTTTTTTCTCTATCCATCCATTTTCTTCCGCTTCATCCGTTGCCGGGTTGCAGGGGCAGCAGTCTAAGCAGAGACGCCCAGACTTCCCTATCCACACACACCTCCTCCAGCTCGTCCGGGGGGACCCCAAGGCGTTCCCAGGCCAGCTGAGAGACACAGTCTCTCCTGCGTGTCCTTGGTCTTCCCTGGGGAACTCCTCCCAGGGGGACGTGCCCGGAACACCTACCCAGGGAGGCGTCCAGGAGGCATCCGGAACAGATGCCTGAGCCACCTCAACTGGTTCCTCTCAAGCAGTGGCTCTACTACGAGCTCCTCCCGTGCGACTGAGCTCCTCACCCTATCTCTAAGGGAGTGCCCAGCCACTCTGCAGAAGAAACTCAATTTAACCGCTTATATCCACAATCTTGGGCTTTCGGTCATTACCTAAAGACCAATGACCATAGGTGAGGGAGGGAACGAAGATTGACCGGCAAAATATGACCTTTGGCTTTCGGCTCAGCTCCCTCTTTACCACGACGGTCCGATACAGCGACCACATCACTGCGCACGCTGCACCGATCCGCCTGTCAATCTCAGGCTCCATCCTTCCCTCACTCTAGAACATTCTATCCATCCATCCATTTTCTTCCGCTTTATCCGTTGCCGGGTCGCGGGGGCAGCAGTCTAAGCAGAGACGCCCAGACTTCCCTATCCACACACACTTCCTCCAGCTCGTCCGGGGGGACTCCAAGGCGTTCCCAGGCCAGCTGAGAGACATAGTCTCTCCAGCGTGTCCTGGGTCTTCCGCGGGGCCTCCTCCCGGTGGGACGTGCCCGGAACACCTCCCCAGGGAGGCGTCCAGAAGGCATCCGGAACAGATGCCCGAGCCACCTCAACTGGTTTCTCTCGACGTGGAGAAGCAGCGGCTCTACTCCGAGCTCCTCCCGTGTGACTGAGCTCCTCACCCTATCTCTAAGGGAGCGCCCAGCCACTCTGCGGAGAAAGCTCATTTCGACCGCTTGTATCCGCGATCTCGTTCTTTCGGTCATTACCCAAAGCTCATGACCATAGGTGAGGGAGGGAACGAAGATTGACCGGTAAATCGAAAGCTTCGACGTTCGGCTCAGCTCCTTCTTCACCACGACGGTCCGATACAGCGACCGCATCACTGCGCACGCTGCACCGATCCGCCTGTCAATCTCAGGCTCCATCCTTCCCTCACTCGTGAACAAGACCCCGAGATACTTGAACTCCTCCACTTGAGGAAGGACCTCTCCACCCACCTGGAGAGGGCAAGGCACTTCCAGCTCGTCCGGGGGAACCCCAAGGCGTTCCCAGGCCAGCTGAGAGACATAGTCTCTGGACGCTCCACTCGAGAACAAGACAGAGATATTTTTGTCTAGTTGAAATGTACCTACCGCTGTTTGCTCCACGCTCCATCTTAAAACAGCCACTCTTCTGATCGGATCCAGAGCAGACAAGGAACTGAAACGGCAACACGGGAGAAATAAAGCACAGTAAGACTGCCAAATTACTAAACAAAAATTTAAAAAAAATCAAGGTCGCAAATTATTCATTCTAATCTTCCTTGTTAAATGTAAAGCTTTTGAGGTCTTGTATTTGTCACATTCAAAACATTTGATCAAAAGAGTTGGTATTCAGGCGGTATACAGAGTTCGGAAAGTGGCTATGTTTTGAAGTTAGCTTAGTTTAACTCAGAGGAGTATGATACAAACAGCATGCTAGCTCCATAATTTAGCTATCTAGCTTTATCGAACAGAAATAACGGCTTTTATAACGTGACAAATGCAGAGTAACACCCTCGCGGTATCAGAGTATTATTTGGATAGAAAAATACATACCTGGGAGAGTTATGTTTTTGTAACTTACTTTTTTGTTCCTCAGAAAGAATAAAACACGGCTCCCGATTCAAATGTGTTGCAGTTTGTCACGTGCCTCCGAGGCGCGTGGTCATTGGCTGGAGCTGTTGATTCAAATAATTGGAAACAGCGCCGTCCACTGGTGAGACAGGGAAGTACAGCACCTCAAAAACTAATCCATGCACCTTATCAAATGTTTCAGGCAAAACATTACTAATAAAAATAATATGTTGTTCCCTTGGCTATCTGCAAACTCACACACTGGTAACCTCTGTGTAGAACTACTAGAATGATTACCATTAAAATGTCAAATTATTAGTGTTTCAGAGAAAAATATGTTTAAACATATTCTAAAAACCTGCTCGGTATAAGTTTTTAAGAATCTCATGGTGGAATTTCATATTATAAGCTATATACCTGCCTCAAGTTTCTTATTTCACTTTCTGGTTCAGTTACTCTATACCTACTCACAATACTGATTTACAGTATAATACATGTATATTTTAGCGATGACACTATCAACAACAAAAATTCAACATTGATATAAACTTTACTCATTGCTGGCGTCTGTATGAGGTTAATGATGGCCAATAGAAGGAACTTCCAAAAAATTATGTAGGAAAACAAAAGGAGATTTTATTTTTCAACATTTCTTTGAGAAAATGCTTCTTCCCATAGAGTTGGCCTCAGCCCTCAATCTAAAAGAGAATTCTACAATATGATTGCAACCTATTCATTATACATAAGGTGTGTATAGTGGTTCTAATAAATGAGTAGACTTTAAATTTCAACAAATTTTATTCATTTAACACAATAAAAACATATATGATTATTCCATTGGCAAAAGCTATAATAGAACAGTCAAAATATATACTCATCAAGATATAAACATTACTCACCACTTTTTCACTTATTTTTTTTCAATCATTTTTTGGAAAGTGTCACTAAACGCAATGTAAACTGGTGGTCAAAACAGCTAAACTAGACAAATATTCTGAATGCAGTCCGTGAAAGACATTGAGGAGTTAGAGGGAGGTCTCGAGGCTGTGGAGGGGGCTCCCAGGGCAGCGCTGGAGGGTGGAGTTCCTGGACTCCGACAGCAGCTGTGGCCCCGTGATTATGCGTTCGGGGGCCGTGTTGTTGTTGTTGTTGGCCCCGTGTGGGAGTTGCGGAGGGCCGTGCACAGAGTTCCGGTTGGTGGGCGGCTCATCCTCATCCACCTCGTCAATGAGGGGGATCTGCGTCTCCGAGTCGTTGATTCGGAACTCAGGGTGCGTCATGAAGTTATGTATGGAGCTGCGTGACTCTGGTGTCTCCAGACCCTCGTACGGAGACACGCTGTCCCTGAAGGCATTCACCACACGGATCTAACACAGAGAGAGCAAGATTAATCAAAACTATGTGTACATTCTCAGACATTTTCTGAGTAGTTTTAGAGGAGGGGTATCAAAGTTATTTTGCAGGGGCAGATGCAAAATAATGTTTTGCTAACATGGTTGGTAAGGACAACTGGAGTTTCCAGTGCGAATGAAAGCATCTGATTGGTCAATCCTTGTGCTTCAATCAGAATTTACAAAGACAATATCAACATGAAACCATAATGAGCGCTGAACCACAGACAATAAGTTAAGTCTAATATAAGGCCTAAAGAACTTCCCTTTCCCAAAACATCCATCCAAAATAATTTGATTATTTTGTAATAGAGATTCACACAGAAGCATGAGGCTGAAGATTTTTCAACAATCAATCATCAATAAATAGAAGATAATTGCACCAATAATCTTCCCTTATCTGCAGTTACATTTGGTCAAAACCTTTTATTGTATAGTGAACCGTATTGTATTGTTTAGAAATATTGTGTATCAAATTCTACTGAATTGTAGCAGCTCTATGTTTTCACTGCTTGAGTGTAATCGTGGAGACCTACAACAAACCTGTTTGTTTAGGTTTGAGACCTGCCCCAGATTTAAAAAGCTGTGCATACACTGTAAAATGCAGCAGCAGAGCCATCGCGTTGAGGGGAAGGAGCAGGACTGAGGGCTACGGGAAAATAGTTCCTCTGAACTAATCCCTGTGGTGCACACAAACCACAGAAGTTTTCTTTTGACTTTAAACAAAGGTACTGTCATGTTATACTAGCGGTTATTTGATGTTTTATATGATGGAGTATACACACGGCGCACAAGAAGCATGCTGTACTAATGGAGAGTGCATGCGTGACCCGCCCCTGAAGAGTGTTGCAATAGTGACCTGTGTCTGAATGCGGCTGAGTCCTCGACACCACAGCACACGGCTCTTCTTCATCTCCATTTCCGCATGGTCGATCTCAAAGTCGTCCTCCTGCGGCTCCAGCTCCTCCTCTGGGATCTCGTCTCTCTGAGTGTTGTGTCCCGCCGGCTTCAGGCACGTGAGCATCCGTGTGGGGACACTGGTCACCACCTGCGGGCGCCACACACACAGACACTTGAGTTTCAACTTCCTCATGCAAAACCTTAAAGATAATTTAACCATTCAAAATATGAGGAAATAGTCCTGTTTTGTTGTCAGTCTGAAGCCTTGGACGAATTAAGTAAAATGGGGGCATAATTCTTTAATTCATTTACCATTTAAAGTAGTTAATAGAATGGTCCATACAAGGGTAATTCATTATAAGAACACAATTCTACTTGAAAAATTAGAATATTTTTCTCTTCAATTATCTTAAAATGTGTGTGTGTGTATAACTGTATTCATACCTGTCCCCAGAGAAGGCTGCTGAAGCCGAAGAACACACACCAGAGCCACTGTTCAGCGCTGAGAGGAACACAACTGAACGGCTTCCCCCCAAACTGAACAATGATGATCTGCAGCACAGAAAACTACTCACACACTGGGAGACAGTTGAAGGACAATAGCATGCATCCTCGCCATAGGAGTTTAGAAAAATCCAAATCTTGAAGGCCTGACAGAGACCAACCAGCAAAGTGGTCATTGGTATCCACAGCACAGTTTGGCCCAAAAAGGACACTTCACTTTCTGAAGACAAAGGACTCACCCAATTGGTCAGAAGCAGTGGTCCTCACACATCAGTACTAAATGATCCGTTTGGTTGTAGGTTTTCACTCCAACAAAGCACACCGAAGCACACCAGACACCACCCATATCTTCAAATCTTCAGGTTGAGACTGAACTAACTTGAGAAAATGCAGCCACACGGCTCATGTAGGACTGGTGTGTGAGGACCACTGGTCTAAACTCTTATATCACACTGATAGTGTTCGAATGATGTTGGCCTTTGGTTTCAAATACTTCTGCTGTTTTAATTGTAATCTTTATTTCTCATATTAATTGTAAAAAACAGTGTTAAAACAAAGTCTATGTGCAAATAAATAAAAAATAAAAAAGTATATGTAACTTAATTACTTTGATTGTGACTGATTTGATATATTACAAATGTTCTTAAAAGTTTAAAACCACCACAGACACCAAACTCTGCAGCCCTGAAGAATCTAGCTGGTTAGTAGCAAAACATTGGCTTCTAAACATGAATCATGCAGCTTAATTCCAATTATTACTTTCTGGAATGAGTTGCATTACTAAAATACTTCAAAAAGTATTTTAGTATTTCTGTTTTTTACCACAGATCATAATTTGAATCATAATTATAAACTTCAATCATAATTATAAACATTTGTATCTGTTGCCAGACCCTTGTAGTTCCGCCATGCTCCACCAGAGGTGTCGGTGGCTGAACACGTCATTCAAGATAACAGACAAGTGGTTTATCCAATCACATACAAGGATTTTTTAAAGCCCCAACCTTCTGAAATTCATCCGCTATGAAGGAGACCCAGACCCTTGTGTGAAGCTCAGAACTACAAGGGTGTGGCGAGATGAACTTAGAGACAATAACTTTCTGCTGTCACCTGCACTCCCAGTGTTCCCACGACAATGCTGCAGAAGATGGGATTTCTGTGGACGCCGTCGAACACGTTCCTCTCTCCGTGGATCTTTCGGGCGTTGAGTTCATTGAATATTTGCATCAGGACGAAAGTGTTGAAGACGATAGTGTAGTGTTCAGATGGAGGCGAGTTCAGAGGAGAGTTTCTGCCACTGTCGATGTCAAACATGTGCTCACCTGAGAGAGAGATGTGGAACTTACATTTTGAAACAGAAGTCTCACCATGCAACACACTCAGATGATTGTGGTGGACATCCTCCCTAGTCTTAATACAGACTTTTAGCAACTGGACAAACTTTTGAACAAAAATAAAATAATAATAATTCAAAGACACATTGTTGCTTTAAGAAATCGTTATTAATTTAGGTCATTGTTAACTAGGTCCAATTCGAGCCAATACTACTGTTTTAGGAATTCAACCCAAAATCAAATCATTAACAGCACTCACCTAAATCTGAACTAATAATAATGATACGTAATAATTGCATTTATAGAAAGTATTTTGGGAAACTCAAACTTCATGTGACATTGTTCATTCACTCGAAATAAATGTTTTCTTATCTTATCGCAACTACAGCTGACCTGGGGTAGACTCATGGAGGCAAGGCTGCCAATCTATAACCATGGCCCCGATCTACCACCACAATCATTCACAGACACACATACACACGCACACACTCACATGCACACGCACACACGCACACACACACACACACACACACACCAGACTCATACCAGGCAGTGTGTCTTACCTAAACAAAATAAAGACAGACACACATCTATAATATAATAAAAACTCCAAACACTGCTTTCTGACTTTATAAAAGAGTGTGGCTGACCGACAAAGAGGAGGCTGAAGATGATGCAGAGCTGGTAGACGGCGTGTCCAAAGATGTTCTTCATCATGGTGCGTGAGATAAGTGGTTTCTTGCGCCCGTAGGGGTTGCGGCGCAGGAGCGACTCGGTGGGCGGCTCCGTGGCCAAAGCCAGCGACGCAAACGTGTCCATGATGAGGTTCACCCACAGCATCTGCACGGCCTTCAGCGGAGAGTCCTAACAAACAACAGCTCGTCATTAGAGCAAGCTAAGAATTTGGAAATCTCAAAGACTGCAAACATCATACAATTCATTAAGATTGTATTTTTCTTTATATGGTAAAATGACAGTATTGCGACATCATAAATAAGTAATACATGTTGTTTGTTAATTCTGATTCTAAGACTGGCTTCATTTTATTAGTATCTGTTTTATCTTTTGCATACTCAGACAAGAAAAATATCTCTTTTTCACTTTTTTAACTGAAAAAGCTGATTTGAGAGTGAAAATTTGTGATTACTTTAAAGTCAACTGCAATACTCTTTAGCAGTTTTTCTATGAAGCAATATCTTGTCCATTAACATTTACACTCACCCAAGGAGACCTGAAATGAACACAAGTGCACAATTAAACAAAAAGATTTTTCTTATAACAGCAGGACACCAAGGCGGATTGTATTTTTATTGTATTAATTATCCTACACTGTCAAGAATTTAGGAGTTTAATTGCTAATGGTACAAAATAAGATTTAAATCAATTCTGTTTTCAGTTGGGGAGTCTAGACCTTCTCCCTGAATGCATCAGTCCAATCTGACGATGAAGAGTGTGGGAAGGGTCTTTAGCCACTTCCCTGCCTAATTTCTCAACAGTCTCTTCCACTTTCTTCTACACTGAAAAAGGTGGAATGCTAACTATTTTACCTGCTCCTTTTGTCAGTGTGAAGATCTGTGATTTCAACCTGACTGACGGGTAGTTTGCAGACGGGCTGTCCATGGCTGTACCTGGGTGATGCAGGCTCCTGTGAAGGCTACGGTCACAGCCACTACGTTCACGGTGAGCTGGAACTGGAGGAACTTGGAGATGGAGTCGTATACATTTCGCCCCCACATCACGGCCTTCACGATGCTGCTGAAGTTGTCGTCGGTCAGGATAATGTCAGACGCTTCTTTGGCAACGTCTGTCCCCGCGATGCCCTGAACACAGAATAAAACATGTTACAGTTGGCTTTTAACACCAATTGAGTTTTACCGTTTACTCTTTACATGTATGTGTATGTAATTTGTTGTATTTTGTTGTTTTTTTGTGTGCCTTTACAAATAAAGCTGACACTGACATTGACATTGGAGGAGCAAGGCTATTTTTATCACACCTAGAGTTTTTAATGTGTTCACCCAAAGTATTGCCAACCTTCCGAAGAATCAGATATAAAACAGGACTAAATAGAAACAGAACTAAACAGGACTAAATAGAACCAGAAATTGACCTTTACTTGCTTTAAAGTATTGCGTTACTACATGTATATAGATTCACACATGACTTTGTAAACACGCTTCGCTCATTCATATGCATTTGAATGGCCCATTCCACTAGCACGTTAACATGTTATCACAAAACATGTTATGTTTACATAAAATTGTCTGAGTGCTCCTTTTATTCCTATCCTACCTAATTTCAACTACGGCTAAAGGGAATCAATAAAGTATCTATCTATCTAAACAAGTAGGTTAACAAAAGCGTTACCATAGCAAAGCCCACATCGGCCTTCTTAAGGGCGGGGCCGTCGTTGGTTCCGTCTCCTGTCACTGCTACAACCTGCCTCTGCTCCAGGACTGTGCTGTCGATGATTCCTGTTAGCGCCAAAACAGACAAGTGCGAACTTCAAAGATCAAAACTTGAGATTGTTCCCAAATAAAACATGGTGTGAGATCAGAGCTGCACAATTACAACACAGTGTTTCTGGCAGACCTATTGTACTTGATATAATGTATGATAAAACAGCAATGTGATCAATAGGTACAATGAAACCATCCCATTATGTAAAGATGGAATCAAAGTAGGAAGTTTGTAGTTGGAACTTTAAAGCTACCTTCAAACTACAAACATAGAAATTAGTAATAAAATAAATGTAATGTGTTACAATTCAAGTTTCAATTTAAAAAACATAGGGCCACCCTGACTCACTAACAGGGCTACGTATGAAGTATGCAAAAAGATGTTTCCAAGAATTTTGAGACAGCTTGATGTGGTCTTGCTACACAACTCTTTCACTTGGGACTAACAACATGTAATATTTAATTTAAAAAAAGTCAGGTAGTTTAGCAAATCTCAGGCTTCAATAAATAAATCTTTCTCAATTTCTCAAAATACAATATGTTATATATATATAATTATATTTGCCTACGTGATTGGATTGTCTAAAAAAAGTGATTGGCTGTGAGGTTGAATGGCTTACAAAATTCAATCTCCAATCTAAAATTGGCTGCACATGATTTAAACAGGGTCTGAATGAGCAGCAATCACCCCGAACAGAACCTGATGCATGATGGGAAGAGCTTTACCTTTGACTAGAGTATGTTTGTCGGTGGGCGAGGAGCGAGCCAGGACTCTGAGTCGGGGCCAGATCTTGTCTATCCGCTCCTGTTCGATCTGTGGCACGAGAAGACGTTGAAATAAACAATAAATATCCCTGTCACATCCTACAAGAGCTTTGAGGTGTTTTAAAACAGAAAAATATCATTACCTCTCCGAGCTCGTTCCGGATTCGTCGGTTGAACTCTTTTCCTTCCAGACACAGGAAGTCTTCTCCTGGATGAAGGATGCCGCACTTGGTGGCGATGGCTCGAGCCGTGTTGATGTTGTCTCCAGTGACCATCCGCACAGTGATACCGGCCTGCTGGCATTTCCTAATGGCATCAGGCACCTGCAGCGCACATACTGAATTAGTCCATCCAGTTTATAATTATATAAACTGGATTATAATTTTATAATATATAATTTCTACTTTTATCTTTTTCTGGCAGCCTATTATTTTTACACTGATAAAACTGCAGTTTGTGTAGGAAAGGTAGAAAAAATAGAGCAGAACATAGAACTGATGAAGAGGAGTTCTTAAATTTAACATCATTTACAGCGAACACATTTTTGAAGACTTATAGGATTCATCCCAAAAAAATCAAAGTATGTTCTTGTTATTTATATATTGTCTGTACATTGGAGTTTTGGCCCAGTTTGGTCAGTAACATGCCTCTGGTGGTGTCATCATTTACAACCAGGAATTAAAATGTTATGAAAAATATGTATATGCAAATATTATTATAGATCCATGCCCATAGGGAGGAAATTTGGGAAATCTTTGGCTTATTCTTATATAACAATTTTGACACTGTTTTGTAAAAAGTAAACTGTCAAATGCACTTTATAGGACTCTCAGTAGGAGCCAAATGTTAATTTTTAAATCACAATTTCTTTATCCTCCCATTTCTATAATGGAAAGAAGCAAGGTCTATACCTCTGAATCTTACATTTAGGATAGGCTGGACATGAATATAAAATTCAAATATTTATTTTCTTTTGATCAAAGACATCACAATATCAACACAGAAAAAAGGAGCGTCTAAGTTTGAGCTGAGAATTCCTAATATGGGCTAGGATGAAGTTAATGCAGACAATCTATGTTTTGATGCTGTGACTTTCAGAACTTTGCATAAAACATGCTCTGTGTCTACATTTGTCTATAATTTCGTATATTATACAAGTAAGTTTGGTGAATCAGAATCAGAATCAGAATCAGAATAATTTTTATTGCCACGTAAGTAACAGGAGGTCACAGACTAGGAAATTGCTTTGGCTCAGTGCAACAGTCAAAAAGAGATAATAAAAATAAGAATAAAAAATGGGTGGGTATGTGTGTGTATTCCTTCTTCCTTTTTTGTTTCCTGTATGCCTTTTAATGTTATTAATGTACTTGTGTTTATAAACTAAACTAAAACTTAAATTATAAAGTTAAAGAGTTGGTACCTCCGGTCGGACGGGGTCTTCAATGCCAACCACGCAGATGCAGGTGAGTCCCGTCAGGATATGGGCCTCATCGTCCCAGTCAGGTTCTCCCTCTGAGGCGGAGAACTCTTTGTAGGCCAAGCAGATGGTCCTCAGGCCTTCAGACGCCATGGGCTCAATCACACTGTTCACAATCGCATCTCTGTCGCGCTGATGGAAGGTCTTCACCTCTCCCCCAGAGGACAAGGTCCTACAGCACCTGGACAGACAGAAGTGGCAAATTATAGTGCAACCACACAATGTTGTATGTGATAGCCAGAAATCACAATCGTCATCATAAAGAAGATTATGTTTAACCGCATTTAAAAGATAAATTTCCCAGGAAAGCAAAATAGTCAGTTTAAAGTACTCTAAAAAGCATAACTGAACACATTTTGATCTACCAAAGCATACCGCAATATCCAATCCCATAATCAACAAAAGTAACGATTTGATCAAATGTAAAGAAGTAAATGTACAAAAATGAGCTATAATCAAACCATTGACAAAATGGGGTTATTGTGTTGCTCACTTTCCTCTCTTGCAATTCTAGAAAATATACATATTCCCCAAAAAATTCTGTAAGCCTCTAAAAATGTCCTATTAAATATTGCGTGTTGAACAAAAATCTACACCCTGTTTTTTGTTGCATAAAAAAGCCTTTGAAAACCTAATAAAAAGAAGAAACTTTTTTTTTTTGCTGAGCATGAGGAGTTTTAGTCCGTCACTGACGTGTTTCTGTAGGACTTACTTCTTCAGGAGGATTTCTGAGGCGCCCTTGCTGAACATGGTGTAGCCACCGTTGTGGTTGCGCAGCACAGTGCTCATGGACTTCCTCACAGAGTTGAACGTGTACACTTTGAACAGCGTCTCCTCCGGATACTGGTTGCGGATGGTTTGGTAATCGCGGCGCAGGTCTATGGCAAACCCCAGGAGGGCACACTCTGTTTTGTTTCCTACTTGCCGAGGCAGTCCTCCCTCTTTCTCAGCAGGCTGTGGGAGCATCACACTTCATCTTTATCATGCTATTTATTTCCTAGTTTGATAACATTATGGAAAGGTTAAAATGGGAACATTTTGTGCTTCATAATATCTAAGTGTATGTGATTGGTGGCTTGAGTAAATTGTATGTTTTTTTCACCCCTTGCTTGTTAGCATTTCATTAGTATACAATTGTACACTACACTAACACTTTTGTTAAATATATTAATACATGTTGGTCTATGACCAAAAACAATTTGTCGTAATTGTGAATGGTTAAATGTATTTAGTGATTGATCCATGTCACAGGTCATAATATCCACACACTAGTTAATCATGTGAGCATGTGGGGCTAGTCTAGAAGTTAAAGACAATATTCTTCAATGCAGTGGCGGAGCCAGAGGGGTAGCCAGGGTGGCCACTGCCACCTCTAAAAATATCCTTGCCACCCCCAGTGCCCCCCTCGGAAGACGGCAATGTAATAATGTTAATCTTGAGAATCTTCCGCACTTTTTCCGCCAAAAGCTAAAAATTCCCACGGTTTCCCCCGTCTGTGAACGCACCCTGACTCCGTGTGGAGCGTTAATATAATACATCCATGGTGTGGAGCCAGTGCTGTATGCTAATGCTTTGGGTTGTTGGACTCAGGTGTGCCCAAGTCGTGATGAAAACAAAGAGGTAAGTTAGCGATGCAGAGCCAACGTTTACATTTGACACAAAGTATTGACACACGTACTGCAGCGCATTACTTGTTCAGTTTGTAGAACCTTTAGTGTGTGTATGTGTGTGTGTGTGTGTGTGCGTGTGCGTGCGTGCCTGTATGCGCGCCTGTGTGCGTGTGTCAGCGTGCCAGTGTGTGTGCGTGCCTGTGTGTGCGCCAGTGTGGGTCTGCGTGCCTGTGTACCTGTGCTGTGTGCTGTGTGTGTGCGTATGCGTGCCTGTATGCGTGCCTGTCGTGCTGTGTGTGTGTGCGTGCCTGTGTGTGCCAGTGTGGGTCTGCGTGCCTGTGTACGTGTGTGCGTGCCCGTGTGCTGTGTGTGTGTGCGTGCGGGTGTGCATGCGTGTGTATTTTCCATTATTAATTGCCCATCGTATCATCGCCCTCTTCCCTTTAGTGTAAACATGAAAAGAAAAGGAGGAAACATTGCCTACAGGCCTTTTTTTGTAAAGAAAAGGCCTGTAGATCAGGATGATGAAACCTGAAGGTCAGACTCAGAGGCAGTATGTTTTGAGATGATGAGGAATTTGTTGTGTTGTATTAAAATATAGCTTATATAATTGAGTTTCAGAGAATGAGAGGGTGTCGCAGACAGGTGCAGGATTGTCTATTCGCAGAAGGCGTTTTTTCACACACAAAAAAAGAAAAAAAATAGCTAAGATTATGGATGGAGTGCAGTCGCTTAACCCCAAAATATTTTTGAAAGAAGAGCCCCTGTTTTCATTTGGCAGAACCTTTGAGTCAGATATAGAGGACCTTAAGCATGAGGTACGTCAAACTAGGCGGCTTCTTGGGAGGAAAAATGGATTAGAGAGTCCCTATTGGACTTCCTTGTCCTTTTGGAACGTTTGGAAAGTGTTTCATGAGCTTTTGAGGCTTGCAAAGATCTTTTTAATACCTCAGTACTGCGTCTTGTGAAATAAGTTTCTCTGCCCTAAAACTTATTAAAAACCATCTCAGAACTACCATGGCAGATGATTGAGTCATCTTGGTATCCTCAGTGTATCCTCAGTGTAGAGTCAAGGAGGGCTCAGGGCTGAATATGGATGAGTTTGTCAACATCTTTGCTGCTTTACACCAGAACCGCAGGAATTTGCTACATTCGTTAAAAGAAAAATGTAATGCAATGTTTGAATGTTATTTTGCACTTTTTTGTTCAGACTACTGTTTAAATACACTTTTTTGCTTTGTAGTTTCCAAGTGTGCTCTCAGTTCACTTTATATTAAAAATAATGACAAGATTAAGATTAAAATGTATTGTTTAGCCAGTTTTTGTGTGAAATAACATTTCGGAATAGTATAAATGTGGACCCCTTAAAAAAACCCTTGCCACCCCCTGGCCACCCTCTGTTTAAAAGTCTGGCTCCGCCACTGCTTCAATGTGCATGGCGCCGTAAAGATGGCGCCGTGGCAAGAACTCTGGTGTGTGTCGTCTGGTGCACACTGGGGTAGTCTTGCACAGTTTTTCCAATGTGGTTTTACTGCAAATGGCAAATAAATGAATCTGAATCTGATGTATTCTATGTATCGTGACTGAAAGCTGCGTCACAGTGCTCGTCTTGAGCGGGGAAAATGCGCTTCACATTTTGGATTTGTTTGTACATTTTGGACTTTATGCACAGTCCGATGAGCTGCACAACCCCCTGCGCAAGCTACTTTGCTTGCTATTCCGCACCATGGGGGTCACAGACACCCACGGTGCCACCCTCCAGGGGAGTGCGCCGTTGCAGGGCATTCATGCAAACTTGAGTCTGATGTTGGAGAGGTGTATCTAGCAACAACAGCAAATCAGAGTTTGCTGTTGGCTTGTGTCTGGTTGATGTATTTGGGCCTAAATTCACAATCTGTTTTTTTTCCTGTTCTGTCACCATTTGCACTTTGCTAATGCCTTGATCTGCGTTTTTAAATCTTATACCATGATCTTGGTGGTGTAGGCGCAGTTGACCCCGATGCCTTTGATGAGGAGCTCCATGGAGTTGTGAGGGATTGAATCGGGAGGCGGGACACTCCTGAAGTACTGCCCAGCAATGTAGCACTGCACCACAGTCATGCGGTTCATGGTCAGCGTTCCTGTTTTGTCCGAGCAGATTGCCGTAGCGTTCCCCATGGTCTCACACGCATCTAAGTGTCTCACCAGGTTATTGTCCTTCATCATTTTCTATAACCAGAGATAAGAGTTAGTTTGAACGTATTATAACAACAAAAACAAGAAAGAAAAAATAAAGAAACCAAATCTGGAGCTAAATTTGTGAGTAGCAACGGCTGAGCAACCAAAGAGCCAATCGGATGCATCCCTGGTCGGTTTCTGTGCATGGTAATCACTAGCTAAAGCCGAATCCGGGGAAGAAAGTACACTGATTAGTCAGTTGTTAAGGCTCAATTTTGGATTTACAAAGACAATATCGAAAAAAAACACCAGGATCATGTAGAGCAATGTAGAGCAATTGATAATGGACGTTTAAGTAACAAAATGGTAACAAAGGGGTGACAGTTTAGTCTTTTAAAACTGGATTTGAACCAGACTCCAAAGCCTTTCTTAACCATGGAAGGTATAGGGACTCACAGTGTATTTCTGTTTCAGTCAGAAATACAAGCGTGGATCCAGAGGGCAAAGATGGCAACCCAATTCTTTTGAGCAGTACTTTGACAACCAACCACTCCCACTATGAGCACTTCACTATTAAGGTAAAGATACACTAACTAGACATGAGCCAACAGCCAACCAGAACAATTTATTGCCAACTCTGTACAACTCCTGCAGACGCCCCAACTGTCGGGTTGGTGTATCTCGGCCTTAAAGTGGTTCTCACCCCCGCTCCTCGGAGCTTATGTTACTCACATTTCCTGTTCAAATCTTCCTCTAAATGGGCGTAGCCTGGAGGACTAAAGGGGGCGTGAACGAGACTGGGCCGTTTACATTGCTCTGGGCGGGGGCGGCTGACGTCAGGTCTTGCTTCAGACGTCAGGCCTTGCTGGCACGCCAGTGTTGGCGCCAGATTCAAAATTCAAATGTAGTAATACAGGTCGCCAGCAGATGGCGCCTCACAGACGGTTTTAGGCAGAAAGTTTAACTTTCAACTAATTTGCACCAAAGTGACAAAATTAGGACCAGGATATGTAGACAACACTATTGGACACTCATTTATACCGTTTATGTATAGTGGATTTGAGGGTGAGTTGTCCTTTAAGTCTTCATCGTCCATCTAAATTATAATTCATTTTATTTCATGGCGGCTTTCAAGACACCCAAGGACGTCTTACAATAGATTAAATACCTCAAACACGATATAAAAAATACAATATACATTTAAAGTATTATAAAGAATAAGTCAAGTAAAAAAGGTATTACAGGTTCACAGTCTATGCTCACCTTGACAGAGTAGGCCAGAGAGATGGTGACGGCGAGCGGCAGCCCCTCCGGCACAGCCACCACAAGGACTGTCACTCCGATGATGAAGAACTTGACAAGGAATTGTATATAGATGGGCACACACTCATTGTTCCACGGTACGAGCTGAACCGCAAACGTGTCAATGACGAACCGAACAATGAGGATGATTACCGTGAGGACAGACATGAACAGACCTAAGAGAACAAGAGACGCATCAGTAATAATAACAATAATTTTAGGAACCCAATAATGCCGACAGCTGGTGTACCTAACATTACCCCAAACTTTGTTTGTGCCAAGAGAAAGAATCTTGTAAAACTGATATATAGTGAACAAATCAGATGTGTTCAAGCAAGAGGAAGACAGCATGGTCTGACATGGTGTTATTTGTGAAGAAATAAAGTTAGGTACCCCAGCTTTAATAAACTGTGTAAGTAATTCTACCCCTACTGTACGTACATAATCATTATTTTACTGTATTAAACGTAGTCAAAGGACTGCACCTGCTTTGCCAATCTGCACAGCCAGTCGGGTGAGCTTCCCCTGCAGAACAGACTTCTCCTTTTTGTGTGGGTTGTGTTTTTTCTCCGGTTCTTCCCCTTTGAGCGGCTGCATCTCCACATTTGCACCAGCCTTCTGCTTGTCTGCACAGTGGATACGAATCATGACCCACACAGAAATATGTCTTATTAGCACATAAAAACAGTACACATTCTCTCACCAAAGTAGACATTATGGTCCAAAAAGTATTGTACTTTTTTGTAGTTGTAGTTTCTTAGCGTGTGAGATACTGATGATTCAGCACAAGTATTTTATCTCATTTTTAAAAATCCTCTGATCCGCTGCTTTTTCTTTACTTTTGTTGTGATGAAGATCAATATAGAGATCGAATCGCTCGGATGGCAATCTCAAAGATACAACCTGGTGTATTTACAGGACTGCTGTTCATTAGTACACACCGTCCCATCAAAAAAAAAGAAAAGAAATACTCAATAAACGATCATTTTTGCGACAATAATATCGCAAAACATCTTCTTTGCACCCCAATGCCGTAAATTTCAATTTGCCATTCAACTTAAATATGTAATTCCAAGGGCTGTCTTAAAATCTTGTTTTCATACTATTAAGAGTATTATTTCAGTATAGAACTGAACGGGGAGGTTTGAATCAATTGAAAAAAACATTTCCAGAATCAAAGGTATTGTGTCTAAACCTGACTTAGAAAGACTTATCCATGCTTTTGTCTCCAGTAGGTTAGACTACTGCAATGGCCTGCTCACAGGTCTGTCCAAACAGGCTGTAAAACAGCTGCAGTACATTCAAAATGCAGCAGCTCGAGTCCTGACCAGAACTAGGAAGTACGACCACATTAGTCCAGTTCTTAGGTCTCTGCAATGGCTTCCTGTGGCTCAGAGAATAGACTTTAAAGCAGCTCTACTCGTGTATAAGTCTCTTCATGGCCTCGCACCACAGTATATTCGAGAAATGTTAGCGCCATATGAGTCGGCTAGGACGCTGAGGAGCACAGGGACTGGCCTCCTGCTGGTGCCTAGGGTCAGGACTGGACATGGGGAGGCGGCATTTCAAATTTATGCAGCCAGAATTTGGAACAGTCTCCCTGAGCTTGTGAGACAGGCCTTGACCCTGGCAATGTTTAAGTCCAGGCTGAAAATTGTCTTATTCAGGTATGCATATGACTAATCTGAAGTATTTATTTTTTAAATGTTCGTAACTTTTAACTTTTTATTACAATATTTTTTACATGCATATACACTGTTTTACGTTTTTTTTTTTTGCTTGTGAAGCACTTTGGGTTACACTGTATGAATTGTGCTTTATAAATAAATTTGATTGATTGATTTGATTGATAAAAACTAATTCTAGCACATTTCAAAATGTCTGCTATTTTGACTCAATATGTAGTTTTAAGACAATAAAAGGCAAACTATGAATAGTGTGTATAATTTCCTTGATACTTGACACTCTCTGCATTCACCCTTAGTTAAACTGCCTCACAATCTATTGTGAATGCCAATGGAAAGTTTAGAATTATCCAACACGAATTATGTTGACTAGTAACATATTACATGTAACAGTAAGTAAGTAAGTCATCTTTATTTATATACCGCCTTTTCACTGCACATCGGAGTCTCAAAGCGGTTTACAATTGTTATTTTTGGGAGTGGGGCCAGTACAGGAGGCACATGCTAGAACTATTGTACATATTTTTAGTGGTAGGGGAAACCGGAGCACCCGGAGGAAACCTACACAGACACGGGGAGAACATGCAAACTCCACTCAGAAAGGCCCTGGTCCAACCAGGATTCGAACCCAGGACCTTCTTGCTGAGAGGCGAGAGTGCTATCCACTCAGCCACCGTGCCGCCCGTAACAGTGATCACTGTATATCCATGCCAAATGTGATATGTGAATTTCTCCTGTGTGAGATCAATAAAGTCCATCTTATCTTATCTTTAACCCTTTTAGAAAATTCTAAAAGGGTAAAACAAATCCTAGACTTCATTTTTTACACAACATATATTCAAACGAGTGTAGTTTTTTAGATTCAGATTCAGATTCATTTTATTTGCCATTTGCAGTAAAAACACCACATTGGAATACAAAGTCACCAGTGTGCACAGACAAATACAGACATAAAACAACATTAAAAGACAAAAATAAAACAAATAAAAAACAGTAAACAAATGTCACTGTGAAATGGATCGACTAAAACAGTTTCAAAACAAGTGCAAATCATTAAAGAAGAAGAAGAAGAAACTTTATTTATATAGCACCTTTCACAGATAAAATCACAAAGTGCTTCACAGGGGCACAACAATAAAAGTTACAGAGCAATCTTAAAACAAATTAATTAAAACAATCACAGCCTTTTCAACTAAAAGCTCGTCCAAACAGCCATGTCTTCAGCTGTTTTTTAAAGGAATCGACAGTGTCGGTCACACGTAGCGACAGAGGAAGGGCATTCCACAGTTTAGGAGCAACAACTTCAAAGGACAGGTCACCTCTGGTTTTAAAGTGGGTCCTTGGGACAGCAAGGAGGTTCTGACCCAAAGACCTAAGGTTGCGACCGGAGGAGTAAGGGCACAGCAGGTCAGACACGTATTTGGGAGCCTGACCATTCAGCGCTCTAAAAGTCAATACTAAAATTTTGAAATCAATTCGAAATTTGATGGGAAGCCAGTGCAGAGAGGATAAAATAGGAGTAATGTGTGACCGTCTGCTAGAGCCTGTTAAAAGCCGCGCAGCAGCATTTTGAACCATTTGAAGACGATTCAAAGCAGATTTGTTAAAACAAGTAAAAAGGGAGTTACAATAATCTAAACGAGACGAGATAAAAGCATGAATCACCAATTCTAGATCAGATTTGGATAAAATTAGCCTCAACTTGGCAATGTTTCTCAAATGGAAAAAACAGTTTTTGGCCAAGTGTCTCGAGTGGCGGTCAAGGGACAGAGACTGGTCAAACCTAAAGTGCTCTGTTCACACTGATAACAGCTTGTGGATAAAAACTGTTAGCGTAACGAGATGTCCTGCATCTCAGAGAGCGATATCTTCTGCCAGAGGGAAGAAGCTGGAACATGGCTTTCCCAGGGTGGCCAGAAGAGTCATTGACAATCCTAAGAGCTTTGTTTAAAAGTCTGGATTTATAAAGAACCTCCAGAACAGGAAGCTCACAGCCCACGGTCCTCTTTGCAGAGCGGAGCACCTTGTTTAAAGCTCTCTTTTCTTTATCTGTGATGTTTCCAAACAACACAGACACAGAACCAACAAGTAAACTCTCAATGGTGCAGCGATAAAAGTTAAGCAGAATCTTAGAGTTAGTGGTAAATTCTCTAAGGTTCCGCAGAAAGTAGAGACGCTGACGAGGTTTCTTAACGACTCGGTCAGTGTTTTTAACCCATTTCAGGTCGTTAGACAGAGTTAAACCCAGAAACTTGCTCCTCTACGATCTGCACCTGGGAGTTGTCGATTACGACAGGCAAATGAGAACTATTGCGACTGAAGTCGTAGACCAGTTCACATGTTTTCGATGCGTTCAACTGGAGGTTGTTAGTTTTACTCCACTAAACCACATTTTGTATCTCTACTCTATAAGAGGATTCATCATTGTTACTGATGAGACCGATGATGGTGGTGTCATCAGCGTATTTGATGATCAAGTTTGAGTCAGAGGAGGACACACAATCGTGAGTGTACAAAGTAAAAAGCAAAGGACTCAAAATACATCCCTGAGGAGAACCAGTGCTCACAGAAACAACATCAGAAAAATAGTCATTGATTTTCACTCTCTGAGATCTGTCAGTTAAAAAGCTAAAAATCCATTTACACATGGCTTTGTGTAAGCCCTCAGTCGTACAGGGATTAGTCAAAGCAAAGGAAGGTTTCTCACCCATCATCTGTACTTCTTAGCAAGTTTTCCCAACGTTTCGTCCTCAACCTGGGGACTTCTTCAGGGAACATTCCCTGAAGAAGTCCCCAGGTTGAGGACGAAACGTTGGGAAAACTTGCTAAGAAGTACAGATGATGGGTGAGAAACCTTCCTTTGCATTTACACATGGCAACACTTAAACCGAGAGACATGAGCTTTTCAATCAGTTTACCTGGGACAAGGCAGTTAAAAGCAGAGCTATAATCAATGAAAAGCATTCTCGCGACAGATTTACTAGTGTCCAAGTGACTGTAGACTGTAAGCAAACTGGAGCGGGTCAACACTCACAGGGATCTGGCTCTTAATGAAGTCCAGCACAAGCCGCTCAAAAGCGGCTTGTGCTTTTACATATTCAGAACACAGCACTGAGAACATGTAATAGAGCAAATAACATTCATTTTAATAAAGATATTTAGAATTCTGTAACTAAAAGAATGCGATGGAAAAAAACTGATGGAAGCTTATTTACTAGGAAACAAATGTATCATATTTTTCACACATGACAAGACCCTACTCCTTGATGGAAATCCCAAAAGTGGATATGTGAGTAAATAAAAAAAATAAAAAGCAATAACAATAACAATATTCTATAGTGGCATCTCTTTAATCAATATTATTGATACCAATGAATGGTTGAAAAGTCCTGCGTGTGATCCTTGCTCAGTAACAAGGTTAGGAGTGTATGGCGGCCGCAGCAGTGAAGCAGCTGTTGAGCTTAGCTTCATAATCTTCTTGTTCCTAATCAGAGCACCTGCTGCTCACTCACTCACAGGTGAAGCCTTCAGCATCTGATCAGAGGCCACAAGAAACAGGCCTTTTGTCATTCATGAAAACTGTAAAACTGTTGTAAATTGAAGGAGGGAAGTATTCAATTTGTACGTGGATCAAGTGGGTGGCTGATGCCCTGAGTTAAAAGGGCATCAGATGAGAGAGGCTTTGAAAGACAGTGAAAACGTGCAGGCTTGGATTTCAGGCTGATTAAAAAGTCTGTTGTCATAGAGAGCGACAGCCTCTATTCAAAACCATTCAAAACAAAATATCATATTTTATTGAATTCATAAATTCAATTTCAGGTGCTGATATAAGAAGAAGGTCCTTTATTCAACCCACAATGGGGAAATTTCAGTTTGATGCACACACATACACATCAAGGCAAGCAGCAAACATCACTTCCACACTCCTTATAGGCAAAGTGGGATAAGTGTCTTGCCCAAGGTCACAATGACAGCAGACATCAGACATTCATGGTGGGCTCAAACCCATGACCTACAGGCTAAAAGGCCAATGACCAACCAACTGAGCCACTGTCACCTATGGGATTTTTGAAAAAGAATATGGCTAAATGTTTTCCCCTGATAATTATTTGATAGTGATTAGATTCCCAAACCTTAAGAAAACATGTGAACGTGTGCCTTTTTACTGGCCATCATGCATATGTTTTGGAATATCTTCACCACTTTTAGATAATTGGATGAGAAAATAATCAAACCTTAGTTGATATTTACTGACTGGTGATAGTTTTTGTTCTATGTGGATTACCTCAGGACTTACAGAAAAATTAGCTCAAACAAGAAATCTGACTTTTGAGAGTTACCATAGTTACCAAGACAGATTTTTCAGCTGCTGCCCTCCACCACAATGTGAAACTATAGGCTCTATGAAATGGTGTGGTGTCACATGAAACGGGAAGCTCCATGAACACGTTAACATGAAAAGGTTTAGTGAACATGTGATATCATCTACATGTAAAACATCTATGATCACATTGAGGCAAACTGTTTCATCATGCACATGCAGATAGATCCACTAAAATGGCACACTCTGGCAAGGCAAGGCAAGTTTATTTATATAGCACAATTCATACACAAGGCAATTCAAAGTGCTGAACAAAACAAGAAAGCATTAAAATCATAAATTATCACAGAACATTAAAAAGAAAGATAAAAATATAAAATCCCTCAGTTGTATGCACAGTTAAACAGAACTGCACCTGGATTGATGAATACACCAAATATGTGTAACATGAAGGACTTTCCGAGTATTTTATCACTAGTCATTCCTAATCTAAGACTAATCCTAATCTAAAAAAATATATAATCTAAAAAAAAGTAACATTTTCAGATGTTGGCTGCTTACCTTTTTTAGACTTGTCCTCCTTTTTGCCTTCAGAAAAGAAAGTGAAAACATTAAAAATACAATAACGTTATATATAACACCACTGAAAATATGTCAAACTTCTCCTGTCATTTTGTTTTTGTATCTGTTACTATGGCAAAACACTTTTTACATGCCAGCAGTTAGCATTTGGTACCTTTATTTTACCTTCTCAAAAACTATTACTTCTGCCTAAGATTATAGGCAATATGATTCCTATTTCTGGCCTTGGTCTAAAGCAGTGGTTCCCAAAGTGGGGGTCCCGACCCCCCGGGGGGTCGCGGGAACCCCTGGGGGGGTCGCAAGATGATTTCCACACAAAAAAAAAGATTTTTTTTCCTCAAAAAAAAAAAGATTTTTTTTTGAGCAAATATAAAGCCCTTAAATATTTATTTAGCATTTATATATATTATTATATATATTTTATAATATGTTTATAAAATATATTTTAATAACGTTAGTAATTTTGTCCCAGTCATTGCAGCGTCAATCAAAATCATCACGTAACACAGCTCACATCATGCGCAGCGACAAAGCGTGTCCTGCTGTTGTTTGCTAAAACTAAAGGTGTTTGGAGGCTACAAATAAATAATACCTGCTTTAAAATGAAACGTGGTTAATATCCACAACAGAAAAACCCGGAGGGGGAGAAAAGTCACTTCTATCAGGGGCTGATGGTGCGAAGAGAGGGAGAGAGGGCAGAGGAGGGAGAGAGGGCAAAGGAGGGAGAGAGGGCAGAGGAGGGAGAGAGGGCAAAGGAGGGAGAGAGGGCAGAGGAGGGAGAGAGGGCAGAGGAGGGAGAGAGGGCAGCGGAGGGAGGGAGGACAGCGGTAGAACAGCGCGTTAAAGAGGCCCGGCTTTTCGGAGTCAAAGGTAAAGAGGTCCGCACATTAAAAGCGGGTGGCCGGTTTATGCCTTTACTGACAGTAACTTTGGAAAGAGAAGCCGCGGGGATGAACCGCATAAAGTAACAGCAGAAAGCGGCCGCCCGCTTTTAACGTGCTCCACTTCTGCTGAGGAGGGAGCCCACCAAGCCCATCACTGTGTCACTACATGAGTAAAAATATGCAAGCCTCCTTTTTTGGGCTGGACAGTGCAGCTCGGTAGTGGCGTGAGTCTCTAGAAAGCGTTACTCCGTATCAAGGAAATACATGCTCATTTCATGTGACGAAAGGGCTGTTGGGGGGGGGGGGGGGGGGGCAGGGCATTTATGATGGGGGTCGCGGGCTAAAAACTTTGGGAACCCCTGGTCTAAAGCACTGAGGTGTAGGGCCATTTTTCATCACCAAAACCAGCACATTTGGGTGGAAAACAAAGGAATGGGTGAAATGGGAGCCAGCATCAGCTTGGAGGGAAAAGGCTAAATGTACCCTGATACGAATTGTGTGTTTTCATACTGCAGACCCTTGTTGAAATGCCGTTTCAATCTAGGACATGTCAAACTCAGACCTGTGGTGAAATCTGGCCTGCAAGACCATTTTTTATGATTTTAAATTGTGATTATTCCAGAAACATGCAGCATTGATGGTAATGGGATATTATGGCACGTTATACTTTATTATACAAATGTTAAATTACCATGTAATTAGAAGCTACGTTAGGCCAAACATTTATAATGCTCTATTTACCCATCAATCTTCAAATCATCTTTTTTAAAATTTGGCTCAGTTGTTATTGTTGTTATTGAATCCAAACTACTAGATTCTAACAAAGTAATACTAGACCTACTAAAACACAAAAATGTGTAAAAAGAAATAATGATAATAAAAGCAAACCATTTTTATACTTTTGGCCTCAACCAGCTCTGATGTTTTTAAACAAAAATGAGTTTGACACCCCTGACACAGGACAACAGTGCAAAGGTTGGTGTGTTGTTTAAACCTGAGTGGATGTTTCACTACAGTGAAGAAGTGCCAAGATATAAGGCTCAACACATATTTCAAAAGGACCCCAGGGATTCCAATTCTAATGGACCACAGAAAGCTTATCATGCCCGTGTGTTGCGGTTTAACTTAACTTACTCTTTTTGTCTTTTTTACTCATCTTCTTGTTCTTCTTGCTTTTGTCATTGTCGTTGCTGTCCTTTTCGGCCTTGACCTCCTCCTCCTCGGCCCCCAGCAGCATAAAGATCATCCCGGTCTGAGAGTTCACCCCCACAGCCGTCACCACCATCTTCCCAGAGCCCTCCATCACGTGAGTGCCTGAGGAAAACAAAAACAATTCACGCGAATCGATGCAATGCAGCCTAAATAGTCACTTATCTAATTTGGTCGTGAATCCTTATAAGACAAATATAGGTAGTATGTGATAAATTCATGATAATTGCGAAGCTTGTAATTGTGTACTGTTTGGGATGATTGTGTAATAACTCAGCAGAGTTAGAACATTCTGGCCACTTAGTTCAAAAAAAAAAACAAGCTGTATTAAAATCACATATTTTAGCTATGGGCACAATAGTATGGAATGCAGTTGAGTGTTAGATAGATAGATAGATAGATATTTTATTGATCCAGCGTAGGAGAAATGTGGGCGTCTTGCAGCAGACACACATCCATTCATACAATCAATAAATACATTACTCTAAAAGTTACTAACAATAGTAATAAAGTTTCGCTCAAAACATTTGTTGTAGGAATAAAAGATCCTCATTTAAGAAGGATCCCTTTAAGTGTTTGTTCATTTAAGGGATGGAAGTTCAACTTGTAAGTGTGATTGGGGCTTCTTTCTACACAAATGGCAAGCACATTACAGTCACATCGCGCTGATAATAATCATATTCACCACATTGATAATCTTAAGAATGAGACCTCTGATGTAAGAAGGTCCATTTGCAGCTTCAGCCCCCTTTCAAACACAACATGTTCTTGTGTGGATCTCCCCAATAAATGCTTCAAGGAATCCATTATATTTTACTGCAGATAAATAAGCAATATAGTGTACTCTGTTCACTGTCCTCACAGGCAGACTGTTATACCAATGGTTTGTCAAAAGTACACAATTCTTATAAGTATTATTATGGCCTGTAGGGTCGCATTGATGCATATTGGAGATTTATTTCTTCATTACTATTTAACAAAGAGTTAGGAAAATAAGCCGTAATATTGTTTCATAAATGATGGCGTGAACATGGCAAGATCTAATCTGCTTTATACAGACATCTTTAGTGAGAGCTACACAAATGCGTTGTGAGCAACAGCGGTAAAAGAAATGTGTTTCGTTGATTTTCCAGTTGATTTTCCAAACTGACTGAAGACTGGTGACCTGACCTGAGAGCATGATGGGGTCTTTATCAAACGTCTTCTTCACGTGGTCAGACTCTCCGGTCAAAGAACTCTCGTCGATCTTCAGGTCGTTTCCCTGGAGCAGAATCCCGTCAGCAGGAATAAGGTCGCCTGAACACCGAGAAGAAGGCCAATATAAACATTTTGACATTTGAGCGATCAATAAATGTGTCCACTCTCTATGAGCTGTGCATGTACCAGGATGCACTCACTCATTTCAATATCCTAAAAACACGCATTAAAATACATCTGTTTACATTGTTATATAATTGTATGGACGTGTATTAAACAAACGTGACTCTGTCTGTGATGTCTGCTGTCGTTGTGTCCTTGGGCAAGACGCTTAACCCCACTTTGCCTGAAGCCCCCACTGGAAGATCAAGGCTCCTGTGGACTCACCACCTGCAGGAGGATCAGTGAGGGACTTGTGCTATGTGTACTGGGTGCAGCTCTGATTACCACTCCCCCAACCCAGAAATGAATTAAGGGGAAGAAATTGGATGGATGGATGGGTGTATTAAACAAAATACAAAACTATAACTGGTTGATGATTAGATTTCCACCAAGAGCCACAGTTTTATGCAATGTTGCAAACATATTATTTATGCCAGATGCATTATTCATAATCTCCTTCTCTTAGTTAGTGAAGTGAGTAACAGCAGCTTGTATGATGAATGCTTTTCCTCTAAATGGGGAGGCAGTGCTCTCCAACTGTCACTGAACTCATGTGGAAGTCCTGCATCAACAACACAGAGGGTTTGGAACAACCTCTACAAACAGTTCCTTAAAAGAACAACGGAAGATGGTTTGGAGGATCTGGATTCTGGATCCAGCAATCGTTTTGAAAGGAATGGACACAGACCTTAGCAGAGGTCTGTGCTAATATAGTTACTATAGATATATACTATGTATTGTTGGATTTATAATTTTACTTTGTAATTGTAAATCAAGACATAGCAGAAAAAATAACTGATACCTATATCAATGTCATACATTGGGTAAAATTCCAATGTCACAAAAGTAAACAGGCACTATTATTTAAATAAATAAAAACATCACTTCACAAACTGCAGCTCGATTGTTCTAAAAGGATAATATTTTGTGTTAATGTGACATCACACCATTCCAAAGAGCCTTGGAGAATTTTAAGGTACACTTTATTTATCCCCATAGGGCATTTGACCCATCCTGGAATTATACTCTGTTAGGAGCAGTGGTTGCCGTCGTACAGTGTTGAAGGATTTCACTAGTTTTTAGTGGAGGAAGGCAGCTGAAAATACTTTCCTGATGACTATGGTAAGTCAAGCCTGGTACTATCTAAAGTCAGATTTCTAGCCTTAGTTTAGAGATAATTTCTCTTTGATACCTAGCCCAATCCACATGAAACAAGAACTGTCATAAAGGTTGGACAGTAGAAAGTAGAAAGGAATTTCCATCAGAATTTCATGTCAGGTTTGTGAATTGAATCACTATCAAATAATCATCTGGGAAAACATTTGGTCATTTTATTTCATTTTTTTGTTGTATTGGCACCTGCCCTTCTACTGAAATAGAATGCTTGAGCATGAACCTATTGATATACTGTAACTATAACTACTTCAACTCTTCTCACCATATTTGATTTGTAGAATGTCTCCGACCACGATCTCGGATATCTTGATCTGCGTGACCTGCGCGGCTCGGACAACAGTGAATTTTTGCTCCTGCTCGATGCGGCTCTGAAGGCCTCTGAACTGCTTCTCTTTGCTCCAGTCATTGAAGGCCGTTACTAAGACGACGCACACCACGGATAGCAAGATGGCCGCTCCCTCGATCCAGCCGGCCTCCGACTCGCCCTCGTCCTCCACACCGCCGGCTGCACTGCCACAACCTTCAAAAGACAAGGAAAATTAGTTCAGGGACAGTTTATTGTAATAGAGTGACAAGATATAAAGGCATATTTATAACACATTTACAACATGGTTTAAACATTATACCGAGAAATAGAATGAAAGGCGGTTACAATACAAGAATAAGAAGGGTAACAACTAGTGAAACTGCACATTGACATTTTTGAATATCCTTTGCAAACATTCAAATATCTTAGTCATCAAATCAACCGCAGGACTTGATTAACATTAAAAGTGCTCCAATATTGTTCAGGGCAACTAAACATTCTCTACCACCAAATGTACAAAACTTATATCATGATAGAGATACATGAGAGATACAAAAATTTAAACTACTTCCATGTGCATCTCGGTGCATGAAGCTACTCTCTGGAACAGGATTTAAAAACACTGACATAAAAAAAGAAGTACTGAAGAAGTAAGGGGAGAATAGTGATGCCTTCAGACCAGAGCAAATAGTGGGAGAGGGGTGTGGGGTCGGAGAGTGTTTTGGCCTGTGTCTCGTCTGAGTGTGTATGTGTGTGTGTGCTTTGTCTTTACCATACTATATTGTATTGCGTCACATGTATTGCATATATTTTTTGATGTTGTGTTGAGTAAATAATGTATAGTCTATAATGACTGCAGAATAAATCATATGTAGATGTCTCTATATGTAGATCGCTATGTGTAATACTATCTCTATGTAGAGTTACTCCAGGGGTATCACTTGAGCTTTGTTTTGGTCAAATATAGAAAAAAAAAACATATTCACTGACTTTTCCGTATCTTAACTAATCAAAAATCCAAACCATGATTAATTACAGCCCTATTTGCAATTGTTTTTAGCCTAATCTGACATACATGAGTTGTACTTGCATGAATAGAAAAAGAAAAACAGTTACAGAATGAGACACGTACTTAGCCGTTCGGATCCAGGCGGATGGTAAAATGAAAGGCCTAGAGAGATTGCAGCTGCCCCGACGAGGATGATGAGTGTGACGTCCTGCAGCGCCTCCCACACTAACTGTAAAAAAGTTTTGGGTTTCTTTGGAGGTATTGTGTTCGGACCGAACTCCTGCTTTCTCCTCTCAATGTCATCGACGGTTCCATCTAAACCTGAATCAGAAAACACAATCAGATCAGATTAATGGACTGTGCAATCGAGTAGTTGTTGTTTGAGATCTCTAAAAAGAGTTATATAATATCTATTTGTTCAGAACTATCCTGTTTAGTGTCATGCCCAATGCCGGTCCCAATGCTTTGTCTTTTGCTATCCAATATGAGTAATAGTGAAGAACCTGGAACCAGATTTTTTCCCCCAAAAAAATCACTGCTAACTTATCACAAAATTGGTCTGCTATTTCCAGTAATGACGGAACAACCTCATATGACAATCTGGGTTTGTATTATGAATTGGAGGCCCCAAGAAGGGCATCGGCTGAACCAATATCCTCAAACCGATACTTAACCCAACACATTTTCCACGATCGACACCTGTGCATCCCCACTCCTGACTGAGCTAAAGACATGGACCTTTTCAAATAATGTGAAAGACTGAGGAGCAGGTTGAGGAGCAGCTATACTCTTTCTGTCTGACTGAGCTCCTCACTCAAACTTTGACCAGACTTATCTTTATTATTGACTTCTCTCACTCATGTGGTTGTGTTATTGCACATTAGCTAACATATGAACAGGCATGTCGTTGTGATGGAGGATGTGGCTGAGACGGAGACATGCCGAGCTGACACAGTGTGATGGGTTTTCAGTGGATTTCAAGCTGCTGCTGACATTTCACTGCTCATTGTCGGCAGGGGGTGATGAACTGAAGGCGCTGTTTATAGAGCGCAAACAAGATGGTCAGAAAAGATGAATAAATGATAAAGAGAAAAATGTCAAAGGCCTGGATCTGGACACTTGAGTCAAGAAGGCCAGAGAGGTTGAATCAGGACATTCCGGTTTCAGTTTTAAAGCAGTGCTTTCATTCAAAGAGATGTTTTAGTGTTATTATTAGAAATACAAGCAAATAAGCCTGCAGTCATCTTGATATAGAAGTTCGCTGTGACACAATTATGGCCTTCTATCACTTTAGAATTTATCTACTATATTTTGTTATGAAAAATAAGCTACAAGCATCTTCTCTCTCAAATCCTACAACAGATTTCATGGAAGGTGTGATAGCAGCAGGGCTCTTTTAATGCATGTGTAAGATAAACCAAGAAGTAAAACAGTAGCCTACTACAAGCTACGTGTTTCTTGACTGATCTGACTTTAGAGGACGACTCCAGGCTCCGACTGAAGCCTGCAGAGATCACACCACAGAACCAGACCCTCTATATTTAGAGTTCTGTCCTCTCCATAAGGAGCGTTTGCCCTTATCAAGAGGAACAACACCGCTTTTTACAGGAGATCAGACATAAACATACAGATAAAACACAACGAACATTCAAACGACATTCAAGGCCATAATCACAGCACTCTTATCCACAACAGCTTAATTATTTTATGTGATGAGTGTGTCTGGAGCAGGAGGTTTTTTATTGTCTCCTGTTTTGATTTTTCTTGGAGTCTGTAGCATTACAAAATAAATTGATAAAAGCTGTGTGTCAGTATAAATCGATCATTGTGTTTTTTCATACAGATAAAACACAAGATGTTTGGTTGTGAGCAGGTGGACTACCTTCAGTGGGCGAGGTGCGGAGACGTGAACACAGCCCGTTCATGTCGCCATACAATTGTTCAACTTTCTCTTTGCCCTCGATGCCTCGGAGCTCCATGAGGGAGCTGAGCTCCTTCAGGCTGCAGGAGCCGGGCTCCGTGTGCTGGTTGGCCTCATAGGTCTTAGACCGCTGGCCTCTCTTGGACCCACGATGGGAGAACGGCATCTTTACTTGGATATCTTCCACTACGCACTGACTGCTTCTAAGAGAGGTGGCTCTGCAGAAAATCTGAAACAAGGGTTTTAGTTAGTTAGTGTCAGAAATAGAAACACAGATTCAGTTAAACATACACAAAATGCACCGATGATGACTTGGAAACCCATTCAAAACCTGTTACCACTTCCATAAGGTCTCTAAAGGTACTTTCAATTTGAGATTTCTAGAGTCAAGAGAAGTTAAATATCCCTCATATTAAAGTAATCGAAATCCTGGATGTGTCTCATTTAGGGCTGTAACAAGTTAACTGATTGATTATTGAATAGTCAATTATTTAGTAATCAATTAAATGCTTTTTGAAGCTGTAATTACTATAAAATGACATGAAATGAAATAATTTCTCATCAAACATCCTATTATATTACATCTAGTAGACTATGATGTTCTAGTAGAAGATGTTCAAACCACATCTTGATTGGCATTATTTTAGCTTTGTTTTGGTCAAATATATTTTTAAAAATCCCATATTTGGCGTATGTGAAAAACTAATCATTGATTCATTGAAGTAAGCAGTAACTAACAAAATAATTGTTACTTACTGCTCTAAACTCCCAACCACAACAGGAGTTTTAACCTAATTTATGCATTGCATACATGCTCCATGTAAAAATGATGGTGTGTTATCTGCAAAGATAGAGAGGCTGAGACTTGATATACTGTCATCAGTCATATAATACCATCCTCATCCGTGAGGGGCCTTTATTTTGTCCCAAAGGCTGTGACTTGTGTGCCTTCAGCTATAATCTATGTCAATCAGTCACAAACCTAATCTGAAGAGAGCAGCCGCTGCGGGAGTAACCAACCAGATCCATGGACACAAGTCATGCACAAGCATCACTGACTCCACAACAGCAACAGGACTCATATTCCCTTGGCGTTAGTACAGAGAGCACAACAATAACACAATAAAGAGACCAAAAATAGACTGATATGATAATCATATTTTCAAGTCTATTCTTGCATAGTCTAATAAACGATAAAAGTGGTTCTGAACTGAATATTTTCACTGAATTATGCACACATTACGGATCAAATCAATTCCATTGTTGAAACAAGCATTGAGAAAAGAGGAGGGCATACTTACAAACTTCCCCCATAGCTCTGTTAGCAGGTGGTATTAGTGGCAGTCCGATTACAGCACGCAGCGTCGGAAAGAGATCCACAGAAACAGCCCATAACAACTGCAACACAATGTCTCTAACCTGCTACACTCCAGGAGGAAAAAGCCCAAAAGCAAGCACCTGTTTCATTCAGCGTGACTTTGTACGGGAGAAAAAGCTGCCACAAAGAAGCTCCATGGGACGAAGAAACAAGAGCGGGCTGGATGCTTATCTGAGGAAAGCCTGAGTTAATCTAATTAGACAATCTGTGGTTCAGCGCGTGCCCAGGGACTGCTCCTCCTGCTGCTCTACTACACAAACCAGTGTGCGCACCGGTGCACACCCAGGCTGGGCTCAAAGCTTGCGAGACCCAGCTCCTCCCGTGGACGCTGCTGTCGGCAAAACCCATTATTATTACTTTGCAATGGAGAGGGCATATGACAGGATTACTGATACATTTAAAGGAGACATATTGCACCAAATTGACTTGACTTAATTTTACAACAATAAAGTATTAAAATATCATTCCCTTATCAAAAAGAGACCTGGAGTTTAGTTTAGATCCATCCACACAAATATCAGGAACTTCTGACACAAACATATGCTCCTTCTCTCAAAAAGCTCCGGTCTCAGTCCTGTAATAGTATGATGTCATTGTATCACTATGACATCACACTCAGAGCAGTTAATTTAGTTTTGGCAATTTGGAAATGTCTATTTTGAGAAACCAATTAAAGGAGTTACGGACGGAAAGCATTTGTTGACCCCCTTGACTTGTTCCACCATATGCTTTTTACTTAAGATATGATTTCACTTTCTAAAACATGAAATGAAAAAGGGAAAAGTGGCGGGTATATCATATTTTGGAATTAAGTTTTACTTCCTATTTGGGACATTGGCTATACATGTAACATATTGTAACCCCAAAGCAAACAGGTACTCACAACTGATTTAAAGGTGCAATATGTAACATTTTCATGTCAAGTAATCATTACATGGCCCTACTCCATCAAAAGGCATTATTAAACCATGCTCTTTTCGAATACTTCTTTAACTGATAACAGAAGTTCAGCTGAGGTATTTCAATTTCAGAATTAGTTTTACAGCCTCTAAATCTTTTTATTGTTTTCATTTCGATGTCCCGTCCTCCACCGTTTCACCAATCAGAAAGTCAGTGATCCGGATTGACGCAGAACTCCCTGCATTGAGCTAATCTCACTGATAAAGTAACATGTGACTCGTAATGATTCTAAAATCATTAATGACAAAAGGATTTCTATCAGGGCCTTTGTGAAAAAAGTGTTGGTTATAGATATGTTTTTGACAAAACTCTTGGCTATTCAGCTATTATGGTCCCAGCTGGACTCGTCTGCATAACTGGCAACCTGAGTCAGGGAAAGTGCAGTACCACATTTGGCCAGATTTGTACATATTGCTCCTTTAAATAATCTAAATAAAATAGAAGATGCAAAAGCAACAAATGCCCTAGTTGTTGTAGCCTGGCCTTAGCCATCCGTGCACTCCGCTCAATCATCATTCCACTGCATGTAATTTGTACTATGGTGTGGTACGACCAGGCTATAGTTGTTGCAAGGTCACTGATGGACTGAGGAGATGAAAGAAGCCTTTCGTGGGTTTGGTGCATTAAAATCTCTACAAATGTCGACTTTGGGCTAAAACAATGCAAGTGTTCTTAGCCCTAGTTCACTAGGGTCCACTTTAACTAACACCCTAACAAAACAAAGAAGAGTAAAAAATCATTAATCATGTGTGCTTCATGTCACCTCAGGTTTACACAGAAATCAATTCTCTTTCCTGGATCTAAGCTAATTAACTTCAAACTTGTTTGCTAAGGCATTGGGTCACTTCATTAAGTGGGGGCAAAAGAAAATCAGCCAGGATTATATTAGATACTTGGGAAAATCAAATTTATCTCTAATAAAAAGAAAACTTAGACTGGCAGGAGTCTCATCTTATTAATGTGGACTGAGCAGATATACTGAACTCCAAAATATCAAAATGTGTATTTATGTACAGTACTTGCAGGACAATTAAGCGCTCCTGTAAATAAACCGCACCATGTAAATGTTGTTTTGTAGTTTAAAAAAATCATGGTAAATCAAATATGTCTAAAATTTGGTTATTTTGTTAGTTACATGAATTTGAATGGTTAAAAAACATGCCTTATTTTTTCAAATTTTCATATGTGTCCAGTTTCTCAAGTGGAATCAAATTATGACTTCAATTTCACATTTAGTTGCCGCTATTCTGCAGTTTTGTTCTTTACCTATTTTAAAACTAAACACCACTGCTATGCAATATTCCCCATGGTCTAAAAAGGAAAATGGTTTTAAAGAGACAAATTATATATAGCAGATGTCAGCAAGGCCCCTGAGACAAGCATTAACAATCAATCAATCAATCAATCTTTATTTATAGGGCGCTTTTTCCTGCACAGGGCCATGGAGAGACATATGTACACCAGGAGAGCTGCAATAAATAACAATGTGTTTAAAGTCTATTCTCTGGGCCACGGGAAGCCAGTGCAGAGACCTGAGGACCGGACTAATGTGGTACACCAGGAGAGCTGCTTTACTTCCTGGTTCTAGTCAGGACTCGGGCTGCAGCATTTTGAATATACTGCAACTGTCTTACTGCATGTTTGGAGATACCTGTGAGCAGGCCATTGCAGTAATCCAGCCTACTGGAAACAAAAGAATGGATAAGAATCTCCAAGTCTGCCCTGGACACAATATTTTTAATTTTGGCAATATTTTTCAGATGATAAAAAGCTGCTGATGTTAGCGATCCAATGTGGCTATTGAAGTTTAAGTCAGAGTCCATTATTACTCCCAGATTTCTGACCTTATTTAAGGGCCTTAGGGAGAGAGACTGAAGGTGACAAATGACGGTCTCTCTTTGTTTCTCGGGACCAAAGACAATCATTTCGGTTTTGTCCGCATTTAGCTGGAGAAAATTGCATTGCATCCACTCACTGATCCGCTGGATACAGCGAAGGAGTGAGTCCACCGGCCCATGCTCTCCTGCAGTCAGTGAGACATAGATCTGAGTGTCATCAGCGTAATTGTGGTAGGACACTTTCATACTTTGAATTAACTGACCTAATGGCAGCATGTAAATATTGAACAGGAGAGGTCCCAGAATCGACCCCTGTGGCACTCCGCAGGTCAGGGCCATATTATCTGAGACATAGTTTCTAATCTCCACACAATACTTCCTTTCTTCTAGATAGGACCTAAACCAGCTTAGGGCGGTACCAGCAACACCAACCCAGTCCTCCAGTCTCTGCATGAGAATCTCATGGTCAACGGTGTCGAAAGCGGCACTCAGATCTAACATGACTAAAACAGAGACTTTTCCTGCATCAGTGTTAAGCCGAATATCATTTGTTACCTTGACTAGAGCGGTCTCAGTACTGTGGTGTGGTCTAAAGCCAGACTGAAACATGTCAAATGAGTCATTAGATATTAAAAATTCAGTAAGTTGTTGGTAGGCAACTTTTTCATGAATTTTTCCCATTTCCCATTAACAACTACATGAGCTCACAGTGACCTCCGCTGACAGACTATGTTGAATAAAACAGTCGATCCATGCAGGAGGCTGAAGCAGCGTGACGGGGAAGATTAAGAGCAGCGTCGTAGGATTAAAAACACACGTGCACACACACACACACACACACACACACACACACTCACAGTGATATCATTATCTACTACTTTTACCAACACTCACCTTTGCACTGCTGCCAAACCAGAGCAGATTCGATGCTGTGGTCAGATGGCAATGAAAAAAATAATTTTAAGGATCAGGACTCTGCTTTTGAACATTCTTACCTCGATTTTATGCAAAAGTAAGTTCTCATGTTGTTGATAGAGAACAGGTACTCCTAAAGCTTCAACTCCTGTCTTTCCAAAGTTTTCCAAAGGATACTGCAAATATTAGAGAGTAGTAGAGTAGATTTAGAGTAGATATAGTTATTTTGATTTAAGAGATTTTTTTTTTTTTTTTACATCACAGTAAATGTACAATTTAAATACCTAAATTAAGTAGGATGGAATTGTTAAGACCCTCAGCAATAGACTGTATACTGGATACATGCTAATGTAGATACTTGAAGTTAAAATACTGTACATCTATCCATCCATACAAATATTGTAATTGCAATATGTTGTGTATACTTCTATTTCAGAGTTTTCAGGATTTCTATTGTGTACGACTGATTTTTGTTTTTTATGGTTAAGCAAAAAAAAGTGGTTACTTCAGCCTTCAGTCTCCAAAATTGTTAATTTATATGATGATGTGCTTCTTATATTTTGGCAGATTAATTTTTTCGTCCAGCAGATGGCGCCAAAGTGTCAGAATGTCAGAATCCAAGATGAGGATGACTTCCGCAAACATAGATCACGTGAGAGGATCACCCGTAAACGTCACTCGTCAACATGGCGGACTGGAACAGAAGTAAGTTTCCCCGTGACACGTATTCACTTTCATATAACTAACAATTGACAATCTTTTTATTATAACTAGGTGTGTATTCCCGAGAGTCTGGTGGGAATCTGCTGTAGCTATTAGAAATAAGGAAATGCGACCGTAATATTGAATTTACAGTACACAATCACAAACCAAACTCGTAAAGCTAGCAGCTATGAGTGAAATAATGTATGTAGTTTTGTAAAGTAATATGTATACAATATCCGACTGACAGCTAAAGAAATTAACTCGCTTCCAACCTTAGCATTCAGCATTTATGATCCTTCAGCATTTATGTGTGGATGCTCTGTGGTATCTCTAATGATAGTGGGCGTTAATGTTAAATTCTAATTCATTGCAGAGGACAGGATCAACATCACCGCGGTGAAGTTAGTTTGAAGTTGGATATCCGACAGACATTCTACGGTCATCCCCCCTCGGTACACCTCTCCTTCTCTCTGGGTTCAGAGCGACTCGAAAGCCGCTCCATGCACCCCTACTACACACAGTACGGTAAACACGCGGAGACATGTACGCTGGTCTAATATTTACATATAAAAAATCATTAAAAATACTTACAACATTTTAATGATAAAAAAGAGGTGTACCCCCTGCAGCTAGTGGATGACTATGATCCTGACCTGATTTGGAGTCAATAGGTCACATGACCTGGAAGCTATTGAGCTAAAATGCTAATATTTGCCTTTAAAAATTAATAAAAAATTCTTTAAAAAAACTTAAATGACAAAAAAGAGGAGTACCCCCTGCAGCTAGTGAAGGACTATGATCCTGACTTGATTTGGAGTCAATAGGTTACATGGCCTGGAAGCTATTGAGCTAAAATGCTAATATTTGCCTTTACAAATTCATTAAAAAGTCTTAAAAAAAACTTAAATGACAAAAAAGAGGTGTACCCCCTGCAGCTAGTGGAGGATTATGATCCTAAACTGATTTGGAGTCAATAGATCACTTGACTTGGAAATATTTACATGTTAAATAAATATTTAGAGATTGAAAATGAAAAAAGTACTTGTACTATGCAGCTAGTGGAGTAACATGATGCAACACTAGTAGGGCTACCATGAGATGACTTTATTTTTTCATCATGAAAATATATTGAACATAGCCCTGTCCCTTGTTTCTCTTCTTCACTGGCATAACACACATGCCCAGCTCTTTTCCATTGCATCCTCCAAGTCCTTGCTTTCCAACGATACACAAGAATCATGGAACCACCTGTCACAGTCATCACACTGTATCTGTTCAATTGAAAACAAAAATAAGTAGTAGTTTTTTTCAGTTGTCATAAAAGAAATCTTATTTGTACAATGGAGCTGAAGGGTCATCTAATTTTTTCTTTTATTTTCAGAGGCTATGAGAGTAAAGTCAGAATATTACAATATTACAAGATTAATCAAAATCGAAATATTATGAGATTAATCTCAAAATATTATGTGGTCCGGTTCGGAGACCACAGCCATGGGTTCTGGTTAGGAGGCCACAGCCAGGGACCGGAAGGGGTCTGGTTCGGGGACCACAGGATTTAATCTCTGCTGTTTGCGGACAATGTTAAGTAAGTAAAATAAGTAAGTAATCTTTATTTATATACCGCCTTTCACAGACCAGAGTCAAAAAGCGGTTTACAAACATGTCGTCCTGTTGGCTTCAACAAACCAGGACATGCAACATGCACAGGGACGGTTTGCAACCAAGTGTGAAGCGGCTGGGATGAGAATCAGCACCTCAAAATCTGAGGCCATGGTGCTCGACCGGAAAAAGGTGCATTGCCCTCTGCAGGTGGGTGGGGAGGTCCTTCATTTTGTTTGTTTTTAAAGCTTTGAATGGACTGGCCCCGCCTTACATCTCGGACCTCATCCAAATTCACCACCCGCCCCGCGCGCTGAGGTCCGAGGGCCGGCTCCAGCTCGTGGTACCTAAGACCAGACTTAAAACCCCGGGGGACAGGGCCTTCTCTGTGGCTAGACCAAAGCTGTGGAACGCCCTGCCCCCCCACGTCAAAACAGCTCCCTCGTTGGAATGTCTGAAGAAGGGGAAGAAAATTGATGGATGGATAATGTCAAATTATTATGAGATCCATTTCGAAATATTATGAGTGCCTGGGCCCCATAAGAGACCTGCTTGTGACCCTGGGGAGAGACTTGCGGAGCGCAGGAGAGAACTGCAGACAGAGCAGGTCCAGCCTCTGAGCACCTTGGTACTCGTAATGTTTTTAGCCAATTGCTTCAGTATGTTTTTATAAAAAAAAACATATATTATTCTACATTTACCTGTTTATTGAGGAGCAGAAGAGGATCCAGCACAAGGTCCAGTGGAGTATCAGGAGGGCCAAGAAGGACTTTGGGAAAAAGCTGGAGCAAAAGCTGGCCCAGGGAAACGCCTGCGACATGTGGAGAGGACTAAAGAACATCTCCGGCTTTGGGCAGAGTGCCAGTGGGACAGCGGATGGAAACCAGCACCGGGCGGATGAATTTAACCAATATTTCAACCAGTTTGATTCTTCCCCCCTCCCCATCTTCCCCCCTCCCTCCCCCACCTCTTCACACGTGCCCAGCCCGGTGGACACTGCCTTCGGCTGCCCCGGGCCGTCCTGCCCCCACACCCCCAGCCCCCACCTCTGACAGTACACCCCCCCCCCCCCCCCCCCGCCCCCACCCTCTCCATCACACCGGACCAGGTGAGGAGTCAGCTCCAGAGACTGACTCAGAGGAAATCCAGACCAGCTCTCTGAGGTCCTCTCTGAGGTCCTCAGCTACATGTACAACCTGAGCCTCAGCCTAGAGAAGGTCCCTGTCCTGTGGGAGACCTCCTGTGTGATCCAGGTTCCTAAAACAGCGCACGCCAAGGAACCGGCTCACTACAGACCAGTCGCACTCACCTCCCACTGACCTCCCACCTGATGAAGACCATGGAGCGGCTCATCCTCACCCACCTCCGCTCTGTGGTCAGCCCCACACTGGACCCGCTGCAGTTCACCTACAGGCCCAACATCGGAGTACTGCATGGACCATCAACTACCTCACCGCATGGACCATCAACTACCTCACTGCATGGACCATCGACTACCTCACTGCATGGACCATCGACTACCTCACTGCATGGACCATCGACTACCTCTCAGACCGACCACAGTACGTGCGGCTGCGCAGCTGTGAGTCTGAGGTGGTAGTCTGCAGCACTGGGGCCCCTCAGGGCACTGTCCTCTCACCGTTTCTCTTCACCATCTACACTTCAGACTTCACATACGACACACACAGCTGTCACCTGCAGAAGTTCTCCGACGACTCCGCCATCGTGGGCTGTGTGTCTGAGGGGAACGAACTGGAATATGGGTCGGTTATCAAGGACTTTGTCGACTGGTGTGAGCGCAACCACTTGTGCTTGAACACCAGTAAGACCAAGGAGATGGTACCTGTGCTAACACCAGTAAGACCAAGGAGATGGTAATCGACTTCAGGAGAAAACCACTTTCCCACACGCTGCTGAACATCCAGGGGGAGGACATTGAGCTGGTGGACAGCTTCAAGTACCTGGGTGTTCACATTAACAATAAACTGGACTGGTCCCATACCACCAACGCTCTGCACAAGAAGGGCCAAAGTCGCTTCTCCTTCTGAGGAGGCTGCGGTCCTTCTGAGGAGGCTGAGGTCCTTCTGAGGAGGCTGAGGTCCTTCTGAGGAGGCTGAGGTCCTTCTGAGGAGGCTGAGGTCCTTCTGAGGAGGCTGAGGTCCTTCGGAGTGAGCAGGCCTCTGCTCAGGACCTTTTATGACTCTGTGGTAGGCTCTGCCATACACTACGCTGCCGTGTGCTGGGCCCCGGGCAGCACAGAACGGGACAGCCCCCTGGACTCTGTGGAGGAGGTGAGGGACAGGAGGGTGCTAGTCAAGCTCCTCCAGCAGACTGTTCCAGAGACGGGGCCGTAGTGATGGACGTAAAGCGCTTTGGGTGACCTTGGTCTGTAAAATGCGCTATATAAATAAACATTACTTACTCACTTACATATGCCTCAGCTTGAGTGTGTGTCCTGGCTTTGGTAATGGAGGAGTCTGCTGCAAGAACCGGGATGGTTCTTTGGATAAAAGCAGTTATGAGTAATAAGAAGGCCCAAGACCATGAAGACATGAAAAAAACCAGTGAAAGAACCTAAAAATTGATCCTGAAACACACGGGAAGCCAATGCAACAAATTTAAAACCGATGTAATAAAACTGTACTGTATTAAAAGTCAGGATCATAGTCCTCCCCTAACTGTAGGGGGTACACCTCTTCTTTTGTCATTTAAGTTTTTTTAAGTATTTTTAATGAATTTTTAAAGGCAAATATTAGCATTTTAGCTCAATAGCTTCCAGGTCATGTGATCAATTGACTCCAAATCAGGTCAGGATCATAGTCCTGCCCTAGCTGCAAAGGGTACACCTCTTATTTTGTCATTTACATTTTTTTAAGTATTTTTAATGAATTTTTATATGTAAATATTAGCATTTTAGCTCAATAGCTGCCAGGTCATGTGACCTATTGACTCCAAATCGGTTTAGGATCATAGCCCTCCACTAGCTGCAGGGGGTACACCTCTTCTTTTCTCATTTAAGTTTTTGTAAGTATTTTTAATGATTTTATAAAGGCAAATATTAGCATTTTAGCTCAATAGCTTCCAGGTCATGTGACCTATTGACTCCAAATCAGTTTAGGATCATAGCCCTCCACTAGCTGCAGGGGGTACACCTCTTCTTTTCTCATTTAAGTTTTTGTAAGTATTTTTAATGATTTTATAAAGGCAAATATTAGCATTTTAGCTCAATAGCTTCCAGGTCATGTGACCTATTGACTCCAAATCAGGTCAGGATCATAGTCATCCACTAGATACAGGGGGTACACCTCTTTTTTATCATTAAAATGTTGTAAGTATTTTTAATGATTTTTTATATGTAAATATTAGACCAGCGTACATGTCTTCGCGTGTTTACCGTACTGTGTGTAGTAGGGGTGCACTTAAATGTTGCGGCGAATGTCTGTCGGATATCCAACTTCAAACTAACTTCACCGCGGTATCAAAATCATTCAAATACAATGCACATATCAACCCGCATTATTATTAACTAATGTTCAGCTATAATGCAACCACTAATATCATATTTAAAAGCTGCTCAGACGTTCATTTCGTCAGGACTTCTTGGTTTATTACATTGCAACAATTTTCTCTTGAATATTACCCTATCATCTCTTTCATGATTTCTGAAATACGTAACGTGAGCCATTACGTTTCACCTTACTATAACTAGCTATCTGTGTTCGTTTCACGTTTGGCTGTTTGATTAAAACATGTAACCCACAGCTCCATGTTCTTTTTTTTTTTTTTTTTTACCAAAACATGCATTTTTGCCGAAGCTACATTTCTAAAATGTTAATGTGACTTGTAGTAGTTTAACGCTTCATAGGTATGGTAAAGTATGCTTCAGGATATGGTAATGCTTTAATGGTAAGGGTTATATCGTTGCAGTAACCCCTGTCATGGCTACATACCTTTACTGTCTTAACAATTACAAATGCTAGCAAATAATAACTAACTATAATAAACAAACATCTAAATATATCATAAATCACGTATAAGTTATCATATTAAACTAACAGTTAATGATATAAACTTTTAGCTGAGGCTCGACAGCTTCCTTCCCACATGTGGTTGACGTGATCGCTTACAACCATTTCACTTATTTCATCTTCATAAATATGTACCATGTGTACATTTAACCATGTATTGATCACGTTTAGCTTAATTTTTTTACTTATTCAATACATTTACTTTACTTACCACCAAGAAAGTTTTTGTGGTTGTATCTGACTCTGGAGGCTGCTGTGACGGAGACCCCAGGCCCGTGACGTCATCGGACAAAACAAGCATTCAGACATACATTCAGTCATACATACATTTAGATGTGGTTTTATATTCAAAGAGTATTTGAAAGGAATTTCACTTTTTGAGTAAAAAGTAAAACGTTTTTCTTTTTTTTTATTCTATTGGACATTTATGAACACATAATTTCCACACAATATTATTTTTTCTCATTCAGATTGGCCCAAACATGTAAAAAGCTCCAGAATTCTATCACTAAAAATTTGTCCATGTAGTCTTTTTAAGTGTGCAACTTTGCGTAACCTTTAATTCACAATGAAGTTAGATTGCTCATCTTTAAATAAAATTTGAATCCTGTGTATCTGGAACGCCATTTGAAATCACAAACTTGAGCTGTTTCTAACAATTATTTTGACCATGTATTCTCTAAATTTGACTGAGAAAAGGCTGATGAGAAGTTGTTGATTATGTATCAACAATTGGAAACATGTATGCAATTTTTCACTCTGTAATTTCTGCTCTGTTTGAGATATATGATCATATCTTTAATTACATGTAAAATGTAAAAACGTAGGCCCTTTTTTTCAGGTCACAGCTCTGTGGAGGACATGCTGGATGCCGAGAACAAACGGATGACAGAAAACCTGGCTGCTAAAGTATCCAGACTAAAATCTGTAAGGAAAAAGTGTTTTATTTAATGAACAAATGCAGTAATTTATTATTAATTGTGATCTTGTCTGTGGCAGTTGGCTTATGACATCGACCAGGATGTGGAAGATCAAAATGAGTATTTAGATGGCATGGTAAGAACGTCCAAGTGTGGTTAATTATGCTTCTAGTTGTGAACGCAACCACAAAATTGTACACTGGTCCCAAGTCGCTTGAATCAATACTTCATTTGAAAACCTTTCCTGACATTTGTGTGAAGCCAGGTCCCTGTAGAGAAAGTGCTCCGCAATTCTGCTACTTTAGGCCAAAAGGGCTAAAGGGCTACCTCTTTAGTTTCTGTAGAACTAATGGTATCAAAAATATAAAATAAGAGATCCAAATTTGTCCCACAGTTGGGAAATTTGAGTTTTGTATCACAGGTTACAAAACAGTAGGAATGAGGAGCAAATATATATAAAAAAAATATATATATATATATATATATAAAATACTATATAAATATAGAATAACTCTATTCTTGAACAATGAAATATAATTTGTATCATTTTATAAGCTCAAGTACTTGTAAGTAAATAACGTTCTTAACTTAACACTGAATATTTGGTGTTAAAAAGTGAAGTATGTATACTCTCTAATGCAAAGGATATAAGCTCTGTGAGTTCAAATGTTCACATGATGAGACTGTTTACGTTAGCAGCAGAGTAAAAGTGACAGTGGAAACATGTGGTACCATATATTTGTATATTCTGACATTATGACACATTATTTTTTATAGATGACAAGATCTTTGGTTGGTCCACAGCTTCTGAGGACCAACCAAAGTTTTAAATCTGTTTGCGCTTTTGGTGCATATAATTCAGATTCCTAAATTAATTTCAGAACTTTGATTGAAATGTATTCACCTCAGATTGTTTACTTTATGTTACTAACAGTATATGTATATAATAACTTTGCACTATACATAGATATTATGAAAGACTGATATTGAAGCATTTACAGCTAGCTAAGAAACATAGCAGCTACTTATTCTGTATATTTTGTGTGCTCCCTGTGTGCTCTTACTACTGTCTTGTATGTGCGCTGCAATATTGAAATTTCCACACTGTGGGTTGAATAAAGGATCTCTTATCTTATATTATTGAATAACTGAGTAAGCAATGTTGTAAAATATACTCAACTTGAGCAAAACCCTGTCCTATGTACCTTTGCAGGACTCAAACTTCATGAGTGCCACTGGACTTCTAACTGGGAGCGTGAAGCGTTTTTCGACGATGGTTCGCTCGAGCCGGGACAATCGGCGCCTCCTCTGCTACATCTCCATCGGACTGGTTGTAGTGTTCTTCATACTTTATTACATAGTCATAAGAATTCAGCGCTGACCAGAACGGAACACATGAAGAAGATAAAGACATATTTATTTAAGAACAAATGCAGGAATGTGGGAAGTTTGTTCACGGATAGTGGTGCCTCTGTGCAGCCAAAGTTAGTGAAAAGGAATGATTGTGTTGTTGTTTTTAAAGCGAGAGTATCTAACTTATTCCATAAATAGTCTTTTGTCTCAACAGAAAGAGTCCTGTAAAAATCTGTGAACATTCTGTTGTTACAAAACCTTATCTTTTGTTTTCTGAGTCACTATTTGACGCTTTGGGTGGAGGTTGAGAGCTAGTCCTCTCTTTTTCACCTTATTCTGTCTGAAAAAGCTGTTATAAACCTAATGATTGAACCAAACTGTTTTAACAGCCGGACACTAGTTGGATGGAATCTATCACATAGTTATTATTTGTTGGTTTGAAAGTTAGGTACCCCAGCTTGCATGTCAAGGAAGACCAATATGTGCCTATACTGGACAAAATGTGTTTTATTTTGACAATATCATAAATACTCAACCAAATTGGAACCAAATATAGACCAGTTTTGATATTCTATAAATATTAATTGTTATGATTATAAATTGTATTAGTTTGATGTTACAAATACAATATTTGCCAAACTTAACTCTGACGGTTTATTTATTTTTTAACGTCTTTTCTGTTGCTTGTGTTTGAATTGTCCCATTCCTTTTGGTGAAAGTAAAATTGTACATTATGGTGGAAGTTATGGAAGGTTCAACACCTATTTTGTTAATCTTGGTTGTAATTCTTTGCAGCATTTGGCATCAAAATCAAAGAAGCTTGCATAAAGGGGGCTTGTAACTAGTGATCATAATGCGACTCAGGTGAAAACCGTTTGAGACCTAAAATTCTGCAACAGTTTACACAATTTTAGAAACATGCTCATGGAAGATTTTAGTATTGCTTGTGTATGGATGGAAATGTCTGGGAGGATATCCATAATCTCGTGGTGGGTGTGTTTTGTAATTAAAATGGTTTTCAATGACTTTGTTTATGCAATGCTCACAGAAAATGGAGAATAAACAATAATTTGATCTTGCTCTGATTTGTTACACAATAAATATGCAAAAGAGCCCATAGAGACCTAAGTATCACCAGCTACATCGTGTATCTTAATTATAGATGCAGCCAGTGTGGTTTACAAGTTGCAGAGTGTTAAAATTGTATGTATAATGTTACAATAAACTGTGAAACTTAGTCCATGTTATAGTTTTGTATGTTTTAGAATTATATAAACATTTCTTGTATCAGCATTCTGTAGATTATTATTTATTTAAAACCTTGTTTTATAGTAGTTTATAATGAAGCTCTAACTAACAACTGTTGTGACAAATGATAATTTAAGCAATTTCTTCAATGAATTGATATTTTCCAATTTTGACACAGAAAATACTGAAGTAAAGTAGCTTGTGGACATTCAAATAGTGTCACGTGGGTGAAAAACAAATGAGGCCCAAAAGGCAAAAACTGCAAAATGATGGATGTAATGAAAGTAATACAAATCAAGACCTACCAAAAACACAGGGAACGGACAGAACTAAAACAGACTAGGAATGACAATGACGGAACAGGGCGTGAAGGAAAACACAGGGCTAAATACAAGACTAACGAGACACAGGTGAGACAGATGAGGGCAGGGCAGGTAATCAGACAACAGGAAGTACAACCAAAGAAGACACAGGAATAACACATTTCAAAATAAAACAGGAAATAAACTTAAACCATGACAAATAGATGTTATAATAAAAGTGTAGGTCCTCCTGTTTAATTGTATATATGTATATTGTTGATTATTTGATTACTAACATAGTGTACAATGAATAAAAAACTTTGCAATTAATTAATCTGCCCTAGTATATATATTTTCATGTTCCATTACTTGCTGCAGCATTTAACCAACATAAAATCAGTAACATCAGCAGCGTTTTAGCATCTGAAAAACAATGTCAAAATCAAAAATATATTGTCTAAAGAAGACTTGGAGAGCCTTATCCATTGCCACTGTATTGGCATGTTCACTGGGCTCTTAAAACAAGCTGTATGTCCAAAATGAGCAGCCTGAGTCCTGACTAGAACCAGGAAGTATGATCACGTTAGTCCAGATCTCAGGTTTTTTCACTGTAAAGAATAGACTGCATTTCTGCTTGTGTTTATCCATGCCTCTCACCAAAGTAAATCTGTGACACGTTAGTGCCATATTAACCACCTCGGGCTCTGAGGAGCACAGGGCTGGCCTCCTACTGGTGCCCAGGGTCGGGATTAAACATTGGGAGGCAGCTTTCAGATTTATGCACTAAAATCTGGAAATCTTCCTAAAATTGTGAGACAGGTGTCTACACTTTGGCAGTATTCAAATCCAGGTTGAAGACAAAAGGTTGAAGACAGTTTTGTCTTCAACCTGGATTTGAATCCCTTGATTTTAGTGTTTTAATGTTTAATACCAAAGAACAGGTATTAAAGATATGATTTTAATCTTCATGTTTTTGATACTTCCTGTAATCTTAATGACTTTTTTAATGCTTTGTCTGAAGATTATTATTTATGTGATGATTTATGCCTCATGTGTGTTACTTTGGGTAAGAAAATAGCTCTACAAATAAAGTTTGATCGATTATTGTATCCCTGTTTTTTAATCAGTCTATTGTAATTTATATTTTGTTAAAAGAAAAACAAGTACTTCCTATGGCAGGCATGTCAAACTCAGGATTGTGCGCCAAATCTGGCCGGAAAGAAATGTTTTAGTGACCCCTAAAATTATGTTTCGATGTGAATTGAATATATTCTAACATTTTAACCCAAACTATAATTTAGTAATTTAGTAAAAGTAAAAAAGTTAAATGTGTTTTCTGTATATCTGGTCCAGTTGGTTCAGTCTAAACAATAAACACATTTTGTTCTCAGAAAAAATCAACCAGAAAATAATGGTGAATCTCATGTTACATAATCATAATCATGTCCTGAGCAAACTAACATCTATGCTGGACCATGACTGTCGCCCCCTGCAGGACACTCTCTCTGCTCTGGAGAGCAGCTTCAGTGACAGACTGATTCACCCTCGATGTGTGAAGGAGAGGTTTCGCAGGTCTTTCCTTCCTGCTGCTGTCAGACTGTACAACGAGAATGTGTAACAGGAACTGCTGAGTCTGCACAAGTGTTTCTGATAATTCACTAGTAACTTTGTCACTAGTCACTTTACCTGTTATCAGTACTACTACAGTACTACATATCTGATATTTACTGTTATCAGTACTACTGTATTATTTCATATCTGATCATTCTGCCTTTCAGCGTCACTTTACCTGTTGATATCTTACTGTATTATTCATATCCATCTGATAATTCTCCCATTCAAGTCACTTTACCTGTTGATATTATTTCTGATGTTTATTCTGCTCATATTCTCATATTCTCCGCTGCTAATGTATAATATAGACATCTGTAAATACTCCGAACCAAGTGCAATTATAGCCCAGATTTTCTTATCTTATTTTATCTTAAATTTATTGTCTATTATCTTAAAAAATACTTTGATGTGTGCAATCTGAGTGCTCTTATTTCCTTTCTCTGCTGTAATGTGCAACGATGACACTGAAATTTCTCCACTGTGAGACTAATAAAGGTTTATCTTATCTTATCTTATAAAAGTCATGTCAAAATACCTTGATAATGTAAAACAAAAAAAAACAAAAACAAAAAGATAAGAAAAGGAAATCTCCTGATGTTTCAGCCCCTGACCAGTTCATATTTATTTGTTCGGCCCCCGAGCAAAATGACACCCCTGCCCTATGTTATTCCGACGCTGGCCACTGGGTGTCGCTCTCTCACTTCGGTTCTACTCGGGTTTTTCCGGCAGTTCTCGGCTCATCACCCCAAACCCTGAACTCTCCATGCGAGCGCGTCTGTCTTTTATGCTTTGTTGATCACATCTATGATCACACCATCTTTATATTACGCTACTAGGGTTCCTAAACCTCATTTTGTTGTTTTTTTTAAGTTTATCTGCTCCGCTAGCGCACAGTGGCTGAACCCTGGCTCGTGTAGCTTCGGCATATTTCGGGCTGTCTGCTTCGGACAGACTCGGCTAATATCGTGGCGTCGGAAGAATGGAAGACGAAACGGCCTCGGCCACGAAGGCGCTCGGGCTTCACGAACCGCCCCTCACGGTAACCGGGGGGGAGGTCGGCTCGGATACGGAGTCCGAGGCTGAGGCTCGGGGACTGGCAGTGATCACGGAGCCCGGGAGCCTGCACATCGGACCCGGCTCACTGCAGAACTCAGACGAGGCGACGTTTGCAGGTCCGGAGAGCTAGCTGTTAGCATTAGTATCAAACAGTCAACACATGCAGCTTACACTTCATGGAGGCTGGAGGGCGCTGTTGCATCAAAACAAGGAGAATGAAGTTGTATCCAAATTATGAAATTCAGTGGTTCACGATCTATACTCTAGGTACCCGTGTCAAATCAATCAATCAATATATATATATATATATATATATATTTTTTTTTTTTCAAACTAGCACATAACATATTAGCTAATCATATACATGGTTTAAGATTTGGTTTATTCAGTTGTCACAAGGTTGAATAATTATTTTTATTTTTTGTTCTACTTTTTGACTATTAACCAACAATTTTATTGTAAATAATAAAACATTGTGAAATAGCGTTTAAATTAACTTGAATCTGTCAGTGCTTACAGTTATTGTGAAATGGTGATGTAATTGTAGATCAATTATATATGGTAAAATATGTCATTTGCAACAATTCTAATTGCAAAATAAGACAACAGAAAGAGGCCCCATTTAGTTAGATATTAGATACAAATAATATTTAGTTTTGACAATTCAGATTATTATTTATTGGATTGACTGACCTTATGCTTGTATAGAAAACCCTTGCCTTATGCCTTTGTGTAGCCTTAGAACCTCATAGTCCACCTTCTAGCAAGAGCAGCTTTTTCCTATTACCCTGCTTGTAAATGGAACACTCCGTCTAATTACTTCACTTGCCCTCCGAAGTTGAGCTCATTCAAGACAAAACGAAAGCCTCATTTGTTCTCCCTTTCCATGAGACTGTTTCTCCACCGATTAAATAAGGTATTTTGATTTCACGCAGTGTCTCTTGGTGTTAAGCACATTGGGTGACATTTATATTTTTCTCCTTTTAAAGCAGGATTAACTTTGGTCTAATATAGTTAACATTAAGATTTATATAATTTAAAATGTTTAATGCAGAAAATGCATTGTGCATTATCAATTTTTCTGTCATTGGTAAATCTGGGACTAAAGCATGGACAGAAGAACCTATAAACATTTTATTATAGCCCTGTTTCCATCAGCCCTACTAGGTCCTACTTTTTTGATTTTTTTAAAATCAAAAAACAATTGGGAGCATTTTCACCTGCCCTGTTTACCCCTGCTTTGCCCTGGATCTCCCCGAGCTGTGTTCTAACTGACTAACTGCTACTAGGATACGGTACCGGATATCAAAGCGTAGTGGAAACACAACCATTAAACTGAGTAGAGTAGAGTAGGGCTTGTGGAAACGGGGCCAATGTTTTGTCTCAAACTGACCAAGATACCAAATAATGTGACTTTAAATAGTCAAAATAGCTGTTAAAGTTTGATTTTGGTTCTTTGACAGAGGTGGCGCGGGTGACTGCGGTGTCCGTGTCCAGTGTCCACCCGGATGACAATGTCTTCACCACCACAACATCAGGGAGTCTTCCTGAGCATATGCTGGTGGGTTATTGCCTTTAACAGCCACAGCGAGGGGTATTTCAACACCTTTTCTACTCAACCTTATCTTTGACCAATAGGTGACCCCTCTGTAAAGTTGAATGTGATGTGGGTAACCATAAAGAGCTTGTACCCAATTTGTTTTCATGAATTGAAACACATGATATATGTCAGTGGCAGGGCAGATATGTAGTATAAAGAGCTGCTGAGATTTGATATAAGAATTATGTTTTGTTAATGTGGCTGACACTGATCTTACAATCAGAAGTGTCTTTAGGCCTATATATTTAAAGTATATTCTGGCCTGTCACAATAATGACTATATCAATTAATCATTCAGTAAGGAATGAATGGACCAATAGGGATGCAACTTTGGAAATTTTAATATTTACTTCTGTAATTAAGTTTACAATTTGAGAAGTAGGATGTATCAAGCCTTTATGTAGTACAATGTCAATAATTGGCTCACAGCAGTAAAAATCTCCCAAAAAACACAAATTTGATCATCAGAATTATAACAAAGAATTGGCTAATCGCACTTCTTATGTACTTATGTAATAATCATATTGGTTTTATGCTTAAAGATGAATTACAGAAATCTATTTTCTACGGTATTCTAATTTTATCTGTGTTTTGGGTCTCAATATTTATAAGTTGCCAGCTATTATTTTGGCAAAGACAATGAAGTCAATTACTGCTTTATTCTGCTCTCTTGGTTCACAAAGTCATTCCAACATGATCGTATTACATCTCTGTATAATTATCATCCATACATACATTATTTTGACTGTGCACGTATATTATGGCATGACAAATTTATGACAGTCATGACATCACACAAATTCAAATGAATTATATCCAATGTTTTTACAACGATTCAATGTGTTTTTCCAGAGCGGCCGCACACTGCAGCTCAGTGAGGGTCTGAACCAGAAGGCCACACTCATCGTGGTCCACACTGACAGCAGCATCGTGGAGGCGGCTGGGCTTAAATCCTCGGCTGCCATCACTTCAGGTCTTACTCTCAGTGTTCATCCAGTTACAAAAACAGAAAAGTTATGGAAATAATTTTAAAAAAGAATATCAAATTCCGTGGCATTAGATAAGAATCTCTCTATGTTTCAAAAATACTTTAGAAGTGTACAGTCCCAGAATTTATGTGATTAAAACTGGACTAACAGATGAACAACAAAACAACCTATATTGACAAACTTTTTCACATAAGCTATAAACCTCAGAATTATTTTCATTGCCATTGTAAGTAACAGGACGTGTTTAAAGTTTCTGAAATGTAAAACATGAAATGACAAAGTCAAAAATCTCATTATTGTTGTTAATGGTCAAAAATAATGCGTAAGATTTTTTTCTTGCAGAGTTTGCTCTTTTTGATTGCGATATGTGTTGCCGTTTTATTATAGTAGAGTACATATTGACATAATTAAACTGCATTTATTCTCTTGTGTGCAGTATGTTCCTCCGCTCAGACGTCCTCAACACCCCTCTCTTCACACGACAAACCCTCCGGCTCCAAATACAACTGGGACCCTTCCGTTTACAACAACGAGCTTCCGGTGCGCTGTCGAGAGACCAGTGGCATCCTCTACAAGAACCGGCTGGGTTCAGGTCAGACAAGATTTCCTGCCACAAGCTTTAAAGAAGCCCTTGTCCTCAAAAAGCAGTGCTACAAAGACTTAAAGTTATTATGACATAAACGCCATAGTTCTACCTTGACAACGAGACACCCCCGACTGCTTTACTTAATCTGTTTTATGGACCGACCAGAAAGAGTTCCTACAGAAAGAGTCTTGTTAAAGCAAACAAATCAAAGATTCTGTCTTTCTTCTTTGAAAACACAAATAGACCCACATTTTTTCAGTTTAGGGCAAGGAACTAGTTACATGAATGGTTTGCTAAGGTTTTGCCAAGATTCTGTTTAAAAGCTATTTTTTATCCCACCACCCTTTTGGCTTCACTGTTGTCCTCTAGACTTGGCTGTAACGTTGCGCAGATGTTATGCTGCTGTGAACAAACTTTTTGATGGATTGTGTTTGCAGGTGGCAAAGGGCGCTGCATCAAACACAACCAGCAGTGGTTCACTCCAACAGAGTTCGAGGGTCTGGCCGGAAGAGCCAGCAGCAAAGACTGGAAGAGAAGCATCCGATACGCTGGAAGACCACTGCTTTGCCTCATACAGGTGCCACACAGAATTCACATAGAGGTCCCATTAAACTGCAGGAAACAAAAACAGAACACAGTATGTGAGTCTTTGTAATGAATTATTCAAAACAAATTGCATGTATGTATTTATTTATTTATTTGACTTGAGAACAGTGAGTATTATTTTCACATGGATTTTAGTATACCATTGAGTAATGACAGGATACAGAAGCACAAGATAAGATCAACTTTATTGATCTCACAATGGAGACATTTACCAGCAGCAACAACATATTTTCTTATTTTTGTCGAACCAAGGCCAACCAACCAGTGCAACTTTTGCCATTCCATTCCATTCCATTTTTTTCCGCTTCATCTGTTTACCGGGTCGCGGGGGCAGCAGTCTAAGCAGAGACGCCCAGACTTCCCTATCCACACACACTTCCTCCAGCTCGACCCAAGGCGTTCCCAGGCCAGCTGAGAGACTTTTGCCATAAAGTGATAATAGCATATGTAGGGTGAGAAAATGTCGATATCACACATAACTTAAGTTATGTACCTGATATCGGAGAATTGGATAAAAACAACCATGTAATAAATACAATAATTGATAATAGCTTTATTTAGGGGCACCAGGGAATAACTCCCAACTGATAACGTGCATATGACGTGACAATATCAATTAATTGGCTCATTTATTGATTAAGTAATCTCATGAGTCCTTTTATTATTTAATTAGCTAGTTAGTCCAATTCTCTTCAATAGAATCTGAAGGTAGTGAATTCTTTTATAAATCAGTGACCCAATTTCTGGAGTTAAAAGTACAAATATCACTTTCAGACAAAGATGGTTTTGTAGATTTAATGAAGTATACACAATACAGACTAGATATGAAATATGCAAATTGTCAAGAACAACATGAAGGAAACGTTGATTTCAAGATACATTGTTAAAATGCTAGGCTAAGGTGAGCTTAGCAAGGCCTTTGCCTATGAATGGATTGGTATAGGCTGAGGCCTGCATGTGTTCAGCCTTGGTAGGAGAAGTATTCTTTGAAGTATAGGTTTTAATAAAGCCAACAACTGTGTGTAGCAAGAGAGCAGATCATACAACCAGAATAGCCTTTGGTGAATAGCAGTCCTTGGGTCTTGATGGTGTTGGATGGAGGCTTCTTGTCCCCAGGGCCTGGACCATGCGGCTGCCTCATGCGGTCCTCCCACGATCCACAGTCTAGGTGCCAAAACTCAGCAACTTCTTCAGGTTGAAGCTGGAGGCTATTGAAGGGTTGTGGAAGTCCTCTCAGACGTGGAGCTGAGGTTTGAGGCCATCTAAGAGGCCCGAAGCCCCTTGGTTGCCTGAGCAGAGCCCAGGGCAGAGCCCAGGGCAGAGCCCAGGGAGATCTGGTCACTCTGTGGTTCCAAAGCAGACTGGTTTGTCTTCCCTGTGGGTCCTTGTAAATCTTCACATCTGGTAGAGTCGTTGGGGGAAGGGTGTTGCCATGGCACTTATCTCAAGACATTCTTACCCACAATAAAACCTGAACCACAAGGATTTACACACAGTGGAGACGGAAGTTATAATATGTCTCAATATACAACAAAATGTCTTTGATTGAGGAAAGAGGTCATTTTAATTTATCCTACACATATTTAGAAATATAATACATTTTGCAGGATCTTATCTTGGTCTACAGTCGAATGCAATCCAGCGAGCCAGGCCACCTGGTGGAGTGGGGTTTGGGTGTTGGTCTTTGTTCTCGGGCTATCATACATGCTAGCTGCTCTATATTTAGCTGTTCACTGTGGTTTGTTGTTGTCTGAAGCATACTTGTTGCTCCAGGATAATCGGTCTGACAAAACTCATCACAATGACAAGTGATTAACACGTTAAAATCACGGTCCTAGTTTATGCTTTATATGTGTTTTTACTGTTAAAAAACGGTTGTCCTGAACTTATAATTAACTTATATTATGTGTGTCCTCCTCATTTCTGCTGTTCTGTAACCTGTGGTGCAACACTGAAATTTCCCTTCTGTGGTGATAGAGTTGTGTTTTCCGAATGCGGAAGAAGCCCATTTGAACATATAGCTCAGGCTATACGTTCAAATGGCACAGATAGCTGGAGCGAATTTCCTCTCTATTGGCCTTTCTTCTGGCAGTGTTCGCTTTGTGACAAAATAGGGGCAGACATGTTGCTAATATGGTTGCTAGGACAAGCTGGATTTTCTCCCTCAAATGAAAGCATCTGATTGGTCATTCCTTGTATGGCTCATACTTGGACCACAGCTTTTTTAGCCCGAAATGGTGACACAAATGTTTACTGAGCTCGAGGGGTTTACTGTTCAATGTAAGTCAGAGTGAGTTGGAGCAAAACTTTGTCTGTGAGCACTTTCCTATTGGGCTTCATCGAGCTAGCGGGTTAGCATTGTCAATCTGTATACAGTCTATGGATCTAATGCAGAGTTTTAATGACAATGGAAAATAGGATAATTCTAATTCTAATGTTTTTCTTTAGGATCGTATCTTGGTCGCTCACGCAGCCTCCTGCACTTGTGCTTCATGCTGTGATGACATCCTTATGGTAAGTTTATTAAGATAAGATAAGATAAGATATATTTATATTTATTGATCTCACACAGGAGAAATGTACATGTCACATCTGGCATCGTAAATTAAAAGGAACAATCAGATACAGTGACATGAAAAAGTTAGATTTATGAAGATTTTTCTTTTTAAAGCATCGGTTGTTTGGATAAGAAAGGTCAGTTATATATATCATATTGGAGACAAACACTGTGATATTTGAGAAGTAAAATAGTTGAGAAGTTTGTATCATTTGAAAATATTATTATTTATAATATATTATACAATTATTTAAAGCAAATTAGGCATTTGCACCACATAATAATATTGTATGTACAATATCAATTTTGCAGGGCTCGATATTAACAGTTGTCCGCTTGCCCGGGGTGATCAGGTAGAGTACTTTAAACCATTCAGGCCGGGAACGCATTCCCGCATTTTTACCTTTGGAGCCGGGAGCGGACACGTCTGTATCTTTTTTTGACCCATTCTCTTCAATATCTTCCCGCTGACAATGTCATTTCTGTGAAATGTGTGACCATGGGCACTTTCTGTTGTTTGCTGCTGTGGCCGTTTTGTAATGACAGGCGCTTTGACAACAGCTCAGTGAATGCACAGCCGTAACGTGGTACCGAGCGCAGACCATAGGCGCGTGGACAGAACCATAGACGTACAGACAGAACCATAGACGCCCGGACAGAACCCTTAACACCATCCCCAGCTTGTTGCAAGTGCAGGACTCCCCCGTGTCTCCTACCGAAGCGCAACCAAAACTCACAAAATTATAGCTCGGGCACCTAAATTTCACTTTGTAATAAAAATGCATGTAGGTTGTGCACAAAAGTAAAATGTTGTGAACAAATCAAACAGAACACACCACAACAGGCATCTTGTTTTTATTTTCTATTCTTAAGTGAGTCATTATTTGACATTTTGGGCTGAGAGGGGATTTTTTTCCACAGTTAGTGCCACTTTATTGCCAATCTCTTGTTAACTCATTGTATTGAGAAATATTTGGGCAATTAACTTTTGGACACTGGGCAAGTAAAATATAAATGGTACTTGCCCGAAGTCAAGGCCTGGATATTGTATTTTGATACCGTCAGCATAATCATTGGAACCCAAATTTGGTTTTATAACCTCTGTGAACCTTGACCTCCACACACAAGTGAAGTGTTTTCCCTCTTTGTATTTTTTATGAACAGTGGCAACATGGGAGCCTCAAAACAATTTTGAATGACCTGAAAAAATATATTATTCAACATCATGGTTCAGGGGAAGACTACAAAAAGCTATCACAGAGATTTAAACTTTTAGTTTTAATTGTGAGGAATTGGAAGTTCACAGGGACAGTTTTAGTCAAGGCTCCAAGTGTCAGAACAAGAAACATGTCAGATGAGGTGCAGAGTAGTGAAAACAGTCATAGTCAACCCATATACCAGCTTCAAACACCAACAGCATCCGCTGCAGATGGTGTCACTGTGCATCGTTCCACTATTCAGCCCACCTTTATACAAAGGGATGCTGAATGGTAGAATAATCCGGAAAAGTCTTTTCTCTGCAGACTCCACAAACCGTGCCGCTTGAGGTATGCTAAAGCACATTTGGACAAGCCGTCTTTATTTTGGGATAAGGTGTTGTGGACTGATGGAACTAAAATCAAGTTATTTGGGCAAAACAAGGGGCGTTTTGCTTGGAGGAAAAATAACACAGCATTCCAAGAAGACATACCTACAGTAATATTGATGGTGGTTCCGTCATGCTGTGGTTCCATCATGCTGTGGTTCCATCATGCTGTGGTTCCATCATGCTGTGGTTCCATCATGCTGTGGTTCCATCATGCTGTGGTTCCGTCATGCTGTGGTTCCATCATGCTGTGGTTCCATCATGCTGTGGTTCCGTCATGCTGTGGTTCCATCATGCTGTGGTTCCATCATGCTGTGGTTTCATCATGCTGTGGTTCCATCATGCTGTGGTTTCATCATGCTGTGGTTCCATCATGCTGTGGTTCCATCATGCTGTGGTTCCGTCATGCTGTGGTTCCATCATGCTGTGGTTCCATCATGCTGTGGTTCCATCATGCTGTGGTTCCATCATGCTGTGGTTTCATCATGCTGTGGTTCCATCATGCTGTGGTTTCATCATGCTGTGGTTCCCTCATGCTGTGGTTCCGTCATGCTGTGGTTCCATCATGCTGTGGTTTCATCATGCTGTGGTTCCCTCATGCTGTGGTTCCATCATGCTGTGGTTCCATCATGCTGTGGTTTCATCATGCTGTGGTTCCATCATGCTGTGGTTCCGTCATGCTGTGGTTCCATCATGCTGTGGTTTCATCATGCTGTGGTTCCATCATGCTGTTGTTCCATCATGCTGTGGTTCCATCATGCTGTGGTTCCGTCATGCTGTGGTTCCATCATGCTGTGGTTTCATCATGCTGTGGTTCCATCATGCTGTGGTTCCGTCATGCTGTGGTTCCATCATGCTGTGGTTTCATCATGCTGTGGTTCCATCATGCTGTGGTTCCGTCATGCTGTGGTTCCATCATGCTGTGGTTTCATCATGCTGTGGTTTCATCATGCTGTGGTTCCATCATGCTGTTGTTCCATCATGCTGTGGTTTCATCATGCTGTGGTTCCATCATGCTGTGGTTCCCTCATGCTGTGGTTCCCTCATGCTGTGGTTCCGTCATGCTGTGGTTCCATCATGCTGTGGTTTCATCATGCTGTGGTTCCATCATGCTGTGGTTTCATCATGCTGTGGTTCCATCATGCTGTGGTTCCGTCATGCTGTGGTTCCATCATGCTGTGGTTCCATCATGCTGTGGTTCCATCATGCTGTGGTTCCATCATGCTGTGGTTCCGTCATGCTGTGGTTCCATCATGCTGTGGTTCCGTCATGCTGTGGTTTCATCATGCTGTGGTTCCATCATGCTGTGGTTTCATCATGCTGTGGTTCCCTCATGCTGTGGTTCCGTCATGCTGTGGTTCCATCATGCTGTGGTTTCATCATGCTGTGGTTCCCTCATGCTGTGGTTCCGTCATGCTGTGGTTCCATCATGCTGTGGTTCCGTCATGCTGTGGTTCCATCATGCTGTGGTTTCATCATGCTGTGGTTTCATCATGCTGTGGTTCCCTCATGCTGTGGTTTCATCATGCTGTGGTTCCCTCATGCTGTGGTTCCGTCATGCTGTGGTTTCATCATGCTGTGGTTCCCTCATGCTGTGGTTCCGTCATGCTGTGGTTCCATCATGCTGTGGTTCCGTCATGCTGTGGTTCCATCATGCTGTGGTTTCATCATGCTGTGGTTTCATCATGCTGTGGTTCCCTCATGCTGTGGTTTCATCATGCTGTGGTTCCCTCATGCTGTGGTTCCGTCATACTGTGGTTCCATCATGCTGTGGTTCCATCATGCTGTGGTTTCATCATGCTGTGGTTCCCTCATGCTGTGGTTCCGTCATGCTGTGGTTCCATCATGCTGTGGTGCCGTCATGCTGTGGTTCCATCATGCTGTGGTTCCGTCATGCTGTGGTTCCGTCATGCTGTGGTTCCATCATGCTGTGGTTTCATCATGCTGTGGTTCCTCATGCTGTGGTTCCGTCATGCTGTGGTTCCATCATGCTGTGGTTCCGTCATGCTGTGGTTCCATCATGCTGTGGTTCCATCATGCTGTGGTTCCATCATAATGTGGTTCCATCATGCTGTTGTTCCATCATGCTGTGGTTCCGTCATGCTGTGGTTCCATCATGCTATGGTTTCATCATGCTGTGGTTCCCTCATGCTGTGGTTCCGTCATGCTGTGGTTCCATCATGCTGTGGTTTCATCATGCTGTGGTTCCATCATGCTGTGGTTCCATCATAATGTGGTTCCATCATAATGTGGTTCCATCATAATGTGGTTCCATCATGCTGTGGTTCCATCATGCTGTGGTTTCATCATGCTGTGGTTCCCTCATGCTGTGGTTCCGTCATGCTGTGGTTCCATCATGCTGTGGTTTCATCATGCTGTGGTTCCCTCATGCTGTGGTTCCCTCATACTGTGGTTCCATCATGCTGTGGTTTCATCATGCTGTGGTTCCATCATGCTGTGGTTCCGTCATGCTGTGGTTCCATCATGCTGTGGTTCCATCATAATGTGGTTCCATCATAATGTGGTTCCATCATGCTGTGGTTTCATCATGCTGTGGTTCCCTCATGCTGTGGTTCCGTCATGCTGTGGTTCCATCATGCTGTGGTTCCGTCATGCTGTGGTTCCATCATGCTGTTGTTCCATCATGCTGTGGTTCCATCATGCTGTGGTTTCGTCATGCTGTGGTTCCCTCATGCTGTGGTTCCGTCATGCTGTGGTTCCATCATGCTGTGGTTCCGTCATGCTGTGGTTCCATCATGCTGTTGTTCCATCATGCTGTGGTTCCATCATGCTGTGGTTCCATCATGCTATGGTTCCATCATGCTGTGGTTCCATCATGCTGTGGTTTCATCATGCTGTGGTTTCATCATGCTGTGGTTCCCTCATGCTGTGGTTCCGTCATGCTGTGGTTCCATCAGTTGTGGTTCCATCATGCTGTGGTTCCATCATGCTGTGGTTCCGTCATGCTGTGGTTTCATCATGCTGTGGTTCCATCATGCTGTGGTTTCATCATGCTGTGGTTCCCTCATGCTGTGGTTCCGTCATGCTGTGGTTCCATCAGTTGTGGTTCCATCATGCTGTGGTTCCATCATGCTGTGGTTCCATCATGCTGTGGTTTCATCATGCTGTGGTTTCATCATGCTGTGGTTCCCTCATGCTGTGGTTCCGTCATGCTGTGGTTCCATCAGTTGTGGTTCCATCATGCTGTGGTTCCATCATGCTGTGGTTCCCTCATGCTGTGGTTCCGTCATGCTGTGGTTCCATCATGCTGTGGTTCCATCATGCTGTGGTTTCATCATGCTGTGGTTTCATCATGCTGTGGTTCCCTCATGCTGTGGTTCCCTCATGCTGTGGTTCCGTCATGCTGTGGTTCCATCAGTTGTGGTTCCCTCATGCTGTGGTTCCGTCATGCTGTGGTTCCATCATGCTGTGGTTTCATCATGCTGTGGTTCCATCATGCTGTGGTTTCATCATGCTGTGGTTCCATCATGCTGTGGTTCCGTCATGCTGTGGTTCCATCATGCTGTGGTTCCATCATGCTGTGGTTCCATCATGCTGTGGTTTCATCATGCTGTGGTTCCATCATGCTGTGGTTCCGTCATGCTGTGGTTCCATCATGCTGTGGTTCCGTCATGCTGTGGTTTCATCATGCTGTGGTTCCATCATGCTGTGGTTTCATCATGCTGTGGTTCCCTCATGCTGTGGTTCCGTCATGCTGTGGTTCCATCATGCTGTGGTTTCATCATGCTGTGGTTCCCTCATGCTGTGGTTCCGTCATGCTGTGGTTCCATCATGCTGTGGTTCCGTCATGCTGTGGTTCCATCATGCTGTGGTTTCATCATGCTGTGGTTTCATCATGCTGTGGTTCCCTCATGCTGTGGTTTCATCATGCTGTGGTTCCCTCATGCTGTGGTTCCGTCATACTGTGGTTCCATCATGCTGTGGTTCCATCATGCTGTGGTTTCATCATGCTGTGGTTCCCTCATGCTGTGGTTCCGTCATGCTGTGGTTCCATCATGCTGTGGTGCCGTCATGCTGTGGTTCCATCATGCTGTGGTTCCGTCATGCTGTGGTTCCGTCATGCTGTGGTTCCATCATGCTGTGGTTTCATCATGCTGTGGTTCCCTCATGCTGTGGTTCCGTCATGCTGTGGTTCCATCATGCTGTGGTTCCGTCATGCTGTGGTTCCATCATGCTGTGGTTCCATCATGCTGTGGTTCCATCATAATGTGGTTCCATCATGCTGTTGTTCCATCATGCTGTGGTTCCGTCATGCTGTGGTTCCATCATGCTATGGTTTCATCATGCTGTGGTTCCCTCATGCTGTGGTTCCGTCATGCTGTGGTTCCATCATGCTGTGGTTTCATCATGCTGTGGTTCCATCATGCTGTGGTTCCATCATAATGTGGTTCCATCATAATGTGGTTCCATCATAATGTGGTTCCATCATGCTGTGGTTCCATCATGCTGTGGTTTCATCATGCTGTGGTTCCCTCATGCTGTGGTTCCGTCATGCTGTGGTTCCATCATGCTGTGGTTTCATCATGCTGTGGTTCCCTCATGCTGTGGTTCCCTCATACTGTGGTTCCATCATGCTGTGGTTTCATCATGCTGTGGTTCCATCATGCTGTGGTTCCGTCATGCTGTGGTTCCATCATGCTGTGGTTCCATCATAATGTGGTTCCATCATAATGTGGTTCCATCATGCTGTGGTTTCATCATGCTGTGGTTCCCTCATGCTGTGGTTCCGTCATGCTGTGGTTCCATCATGCTGTGGTTCCGTCATGCTGTGGTTCCATCATGCTGTTGTTCCATCATGCTGTGGTTCCATCATGCTGTGGTTTCGTCATGCTGTGGTTCCCTCATGCTGTGGTTCCGTCATGCTGTGGTTCCATCATGCTGTGGTTCCGTCATGCTGTGGTTCCATCATGCTGTTGTTCCATCATGCTGTGGTTCCATCATGCTGTGGTTCCGTCATGCTGTGGTTCCATCAGTTGTGGTTCCATCATGCTGTGGTTCCATCATGCTGTGGTTCCGTCATGCTGTGGTTTCATCATGCTGTGGTTCCATCATGCTGTGGTTTCATCATGCTGTGGTTCCCTCATGCTGTGGTTCCGTCATGCTGTGGTTCCATCAGTTGTGGTTCCATCATGCTGTGGTTCCATCATGCTGTGGTTCCATCATGCTGTGGTTTCATCATGCTGTGGTTTCATCATGCTGTGGTTCCCTCATGCTGTGGTTCCGTCATGCTGTGGTTCCATCAGTTGTGGTTCCATCATGCTGTGGTTCCATCATGCTGTGGTTCCCTCATGCTGTGGTTCCGTCATGCTGTGGTTCCATCATGCTGTGGTTCCATCATGCTGTGGTTTCATCATGCTGTGGTTTCATCATGCTGTGGTTCCCTCATGCTGTGGTTCCGTCATGCTGTGGTTCCATCAGTTGTGGTTCCATCATGCTGTGGTTCCATCATGCTGTGGTTCCCTCATGCTGTGGTTCCGTCATGCTGTGGTTCCATCATGCTGTGGTTCCATCATGCTGTGGTTCCATCATGCTGTGGTTCCATCATGCTGTGGTTCCATCATGCTGTGGTTCCATCATGCTGTGGTTCCATCAGTTGTGGTTCCATCATGCTGTGGTTCCATCATGCTGTGGTTCCATCATGCTGTGGTTCCATCAGTTGTGGTTCCATCATGCTGTGGTTTCATCATGCTGTGGTTCCGTCATGCTGTGGTTCCGTCATGCTGTGGTTCCATCATGCTGTGGTTCCATCATGCTGTGGTTCCCTCATGCTGTGGTTCCATCATGCTGTGGTTCCGTCATGCTGTGGTTCCATCATGCTGTGGTTCCATCATGCTGTGGTTCCGTCATGCTGTGGTTCCATCATGCTGTTGTTCCATCATGCTGTGGTTCCATCATGCTGTGGTTCCATCATGCTGTGGTTCCATCAGTTGTGGTTCCGTCATGCTGTGGTTCCATCAGTTGTGGTTCCATCATGCTGTGGTTCCATCATGCTGTGGTTCCATCAGTTGTGGTTCCATCATGCTGTGGTTCCATCATGCTGTGGTTCCATCATGCTGTGGTTCCATCATGCTGTGGTTCCATCAGTTGTGGTTCCATCATGCTGTGGTTCCATCATGCTGTGGTTCCATCATAATGTGGTTCCATCATGCTGTGGGGCTGTGTCCAGTGCAGGGATCTGAATATTATTGAAAATTTGTGGTGTGATTTAAAACGGGCTGTCCATGCTCAGAACCCATCAAACCTGACTGAACTAGAGATGATCTGCGAAGAAGAATCAAAACTCTATTCAAACAACCAATGATTTGTAAAGGAAAATCATAACAATTGAAATCCAAACATTTTCCTACCACTGTAATGACAAGGGTTGAATGTCAATTTTAATCAATTCAACGTTTTTTCTTTTTAAACCATTCACTATTGATTTTCTTTCTCTTTATTTACAAAACTTTAAAGTCATACACTTACGCTATTTGTAATGTGTTTAGTAGTTTTGTAAAAGGGAACACCCAGGACGCTAATGCAGCATACGCGCAATGTTCCCTTGACTTCTCATATGTTTATACAATACATATTACCATATGTAATTTTCATGTTTAAACTTTTCTCTAATGGCTGTTCATTAGTGTTCTTTAAACAGAAAAGCCAAGCTGTGCTAATATTGTGCATTTTTATTGTCTTGTTTACTTTTTCTTTTGCAGTGCGCCAAAGAAGGAGAGCCAATGGAATCAGAACAAATTATTTTGGTGAGTTTTATGATGTATTTTGTTCGACAAAGACAAAAGTTTAGTATTCATTTGTAGAGTGACGCGCTGTACAAATAAACACAATATTCTATGTTAATATGTAAATAAATAAATCAAAAATTTAGACCATGTTCAACATTTCATATTAACTGAACAAATTAATATCACTTTGTACATACGTGTTTTGGAATATGAAATGTGTCTTACATTTTATGAAATGCTTTTACAAAAAAAAATGTGTCCAGCATACATAATGTAACTACTCAGTTACACAGGCCGCTCCATCTGAATGTAAAATTCCGACCGACATGAACACGGCGGGTTTCATTAATTAGGACTGTAATCATAGTAATTAAAAAGTTCTCTAAACGTCACGTAAAGCCATAGAGCGATACCCCTGAAGCGTCAGAGCTCCAGGGAAACCCCACACACGAAGGACTTGTCTCTCAGCTGGATTGGGTTCCCCTCAGGATTCCCCTGAATGAACTGGAGGAAAGGTTCAAGGAGTAAAGCCACCACATCACTGGTAGTACTGCTGCTGCCGCAAACCCGCCACAGATGAAGTGAAAAAAAAAATGGAGAAGAACACTGTCAGAACTAAACACTCACTCCATCGGTCTGTAGTGGGGCTTCTGAGAGAACGCATCATGGCCTGAGTCCTGGATCTACAGCATTAGCCCTCAATCTACAGCCTGAGACAAATCTTTAAAACATTAAATACTTTTCAACGTTTAAAAAGTTAAGTTAGTCTTTTTTTCCTGTGTTTTAGGGAGGCCCAGTTCGTTTGTTTGTCCCGTACAAAAGGAGGAAGAAAGACGGGGATCCTCCGGTCATTCCCCCAAAGAAAGAAATCCCAAAGAGCCTCACTCTTCCTCCAGGAACCTGTAAGTCGGCCTAGTCCAAATTCATCTAACTCGTTCTTCAAAACAGTTTAGTTCTATCACTAGTTTTCACATGCATGTTTTTTTGGCCTCTGTCACATCTGTAGATCAGCTATTTCATTGAAATAGAGAGGACCAGCCCTCACTCAGCCAATCAGCTCTCAGTATGTTGAAGATAAAATTGTGTTGGGGTCAGATTTTGTAATGAGCTTCTGTTGTGTTTAGTCACCGTCACTCCCAGCGGAGAGCTCACCGCCACAACAGGGACTTTGAGTTTTGAGCACTCCACGTCTGAAGAACCGTCTGCTCTGGACACACCGTCCGAGGTCTTCGCCAACGCCACAGGTAAACATGGCACTTTATAGTTATAGATCACTTAACAGTTTTGCTTTTTTGGCATGGGTAAACAATGCTATCGGCTGACCATATACATTTGCTACCTCCGGAGGTACTGTAGGTGTAGAATTTGAAAACTACCTGCTGTAACCACTTTAAAAGTCAGAAAACTGTGTGGTATAATGACAATGACTGAGCGGTACAATGACATCATACTATTACAGGACTGAGACAGGAGCTTTTAGACAGCATGGCAGGAGTTTGTGTCAGAAGTTGCCAATGGGAACTACGTGGGTTGAGCTAAAAACAACTCCAGGTCAGTCTTTGATGAGGACCAATGGAGTGATATGTTACAAGTCCATTTGCATAATACAGAGGGATTTTACTATTCCTACTATTCATTCAGAAGATTAGGGTTATCGGTGTTCTGAAACCAACTTTTTAAATAAGAAATATATATACATTTCGGATTTTTATGATTTATAATATATAATTTGTTTGTATATTTAGTAGCAATCAATCTTCCATAAATTAAATAGACAGATAGGCACAAAATAAAAATGCTAAATGCTTCATTAGTATTTTTCAAAAAGCTAGCTTTCCTCCAGTGGATTTTCAGCTGATCCGCTTGTTTCGGACCATGAATCCTCTCCGCTCCGGGCTGGACCAGTGCAAAACCATGAACACTGTACTGCAGCAAAAAAGCAAGAAAAATTACAATTGTAAAGCACAAACATCAACCGTTTCAGAGCTACTTAGGACTTTCTGCCGTTTCCAGCACATCCAAAAGTAAAAAGGAATATTATATAAAAGCATCAACATTTGAACAAAAATATGGGTATAAGAGGCCAAAAGATTTAAACTTTTACTGAACCGTATCATTTAGAAATATGACAGATCAAATTGAACGTTCTCTGTATCTATATGTATCTTTTGTGTCATGTGTATTGAGGAACACATCGTATTGGCAGGCTCAGAGAGCCCAGTCCTCAGTAAGGTTGTAATTAACAATTATTTTGATAATCGATAAATTGGACGAATATATTGCTTGATCCTGAAAGCTCAGTGAATATGAGATTTTTATACTTTTAGTTTGTTAAATGGACACAGATGTTTGCCTTACTCCCCCCTTGGACTGCCACCTTAACGTGGTGGGGGAGTTTGAGCACTCGGATGATCCTGGGAGCTATGCTGTCTGGGGCTTCATGCCCCTGGTAGGGTCTCCCATGGCAGACAGGTCTCAAGTGACGAGTCAGACGAAGCGCAGTCCGAAGCCAACCATGGACAGCACGACAACAAAAACCGTGACGTCGCCCGGCATGGCGCAGCCGGGGCCCCACCCTGGAGCCAGGCCTGGGGTCGGGGCTCGCAAGCGAGCGCCTGGTGGCCGGGCCTTAGCCCACGGGGCCCGGCCGGGCTCAGCCCGAAGGGATGACGTGGGCAGTCCCTCCTGTGGGCTCACCACCTGCAGAGGGGTCCGTGGTGGCGAGGTGCAGAGAGGACTGGGCAGCAGTCGAAGGCGGAGACCTCGACGACCCAGTCCACACACCCAACATCTGGCTCTTGGGACGTGGAACGTCACCTCACTGGGGGGGAAGGAGCCCGAGCTTGTGGGGGAGGTTGAGCGATACCGACTAGAGATAGTCGGCCTCACCTCCACACACAGCTTGGGCTCTGGAACCCAACTCCTTGAGAGGGGTTGGACGCTCCACTTTTCTGGTGTTTCCCGCGGGGAGAGGCGGCGAGCTGGGGTGGCCATACTCATTGCCCCCCATCTCAGCCGCCACGTGTTGGAGTTCTCCCCGGTGAATGAGAGGGTCGCGTCCCTCCGCCTCCGGGTGGGGGACAAGTCTCTCACTGTTGTGACGGCCTACGGGCCTAACGGTAGTGCAGAGTACCCGGCCTTCTTGGAGTCCTTGGGAGGGGTACTGGACAGTGCACCGCCCGGGGACTCCGTTATTCTCCTGGGGGACTTCAACGCCCATGTGGGAAATGCCAGTGACACTTGGAGAGGGGTGATCGGGAAGAGCGGCCCCCCTGATCTGAACCCGAGCGGTGTTCAGTTGTTGGACTTCTGTGCCAGTCACGGCCTGTCCATCACGAACACCATGTTCGAGCACAAGGGTGTCCATCAGTGCACGTGGCACCAGGACACCCTAGGCCGGAGGTCGATGATCGACTTTGTAGTCGTATCATCTGACCTTCGACCGCGTGTCTCGGACACTCGGGTGAAGAGAGGGGCGGAGCTGTCAACCGATCATCACCTGGTCGTGAGTTGGATCCGCTGGCAGGGCAGGAGGCCGGTCAGACCTGGCAGGCCCAAGCGTGTAGTGAGGGTTTGCTGGGAACGTCTCGCTGAGCCCCCTGTCAGACGGACTTTCAACTCACACCTCCGGGAGAGCTTCTCCCAGGTCCCGGCAGAGGAGGGGGACATCGAGTCCGAGTGGACCATGTTCTCTTCCTCTATCGCCAATGCGGCGGCTCGTAGCTGTGGTCGCAAGGTCTCTGGTGCTGGTCCCGGCGGCAATCCCCGAACCCGGTGGTGGACACCGGCAGTAAGGGATGCCGTCAGGCTGAAGAAGGAGTCCTATCGAGCAATGATGGTTCGTGGGACTCCTGAGGCAGCTGTCCAGTACCGGCAGGCCAAACGTGCCGCGGCCCGGGCTGTTGCAGAGGCAAAAACCCGGGACTGGGAGGAGTTCGGAGAGTCCATGGAGCATGACTATCGGTCGGCCTCGAAGAGGTTCTGGCAAACCGTCCGGCGCCTCAGGAGGGGGAAGCAGTTCTTTGCCAACACCGTGTATGGTGCGGGTGGAGGGCTGCTGACCTCGACTGGGGATATTGTCGGGCGGTGGAAGGAATACTTCGAGGTTCTCCTCAATCCCCCCGTCACGTCCCCCGTCCAGGAGGCAGAGGCTGAGGATGTTGGGGCGGATACTTCCATCTCCCTGGCCGAGGTCACCAAGGTGGTTGGCAGCCTCCATGGTGGCAAGGCGCCGGGAGTGGATGAGATCCGTCCTGACTATCTAAAGTCTCTGGATGTTGTAGGACTGTCTTGGCTGACACGTCTCTGCAACATCGCGTGGCGATCGGGGGCGGTGCCAATGGAGTGGCAGACCGGGGTGGTGGTCCCTCTCTACAAGAAGGGGGACCGGAGGGTGTGTTCCAATTATCGTGAGATCACACTCCTCAGCCTCCCCGGTAAGGTCTACTCCAAGGTACTGGAGAGGAGGCTTCGTCCGATGGTCGAATCTCGGATTCAGGAGGAGCAGTGTGGTTTTCGTCCCGGTCGCGGAACACTGGACCAGCTCTATACTCTCCATCGGATACTCGAGGGTTCATGGGAGTTCGCCCAACCTGTCCACATGTGCTTTGTGGATTTGGAGAAGGCGTTCGACCGCGTTCCCCGGGGTGTCCTTTGGGGGGTCCTCCGGGAGTACGGGGTCCGGGGTCCTCTGCTGAGGGCTGTTCGGTCCCTGTATGACCGGAGCCAGAGCTGTGTTCGCATTGCTGGCAGTAAGTCAGACCTGTTCCCGGTGCATGTTGGCCTCCGCCAAGGCTGCCCTTTGTCACCGGTTCTGTTCACTGTATTTATGGACAGAATCTCTAGGCGCAGCCAGGGGCCGGAGGGGGTCCGGTTCGGGAACCACAGGATTTCATCTCTACTTTTTGCGGATGATGTCGTCCTGCTGGCTCCAACGAACCAGGACCTGCAACATGCACTGGGACGGTTTGCAGCCGAGTGTGAAGCGGCTGGGATGAGAATCAGCACCTCCAAATCCGAGGCCATGGTGCTTGACCGGAAAAAGGTGCCTTGCCCCTTCCAGGTGGGTGGAGAGGTCCTTCCTCAAGTGGAGGAGTTCAAGTATCTCGGGGTCTTGTTCACGAGTGAGGGGAGGATGGAGCGTGAGATTGACAGGCGGATCGGTGCAGCGTGCGCAGTGATGCGGTCTCTGTATCGGACCGTTGTGGTAAAGAGGGAGCTGAGCCGAAAGGCAAAGCTCTCAATTTACCGGTCAATCTTCGTTCCCTCCCTCACCTATGGTCATGAGCTGTGGGTAATGACCGAAAGAACGAGATTGCGGATACAAGCGGTCGAAATGAGCTTCCTCCGCAGAGTGGCTGGGCGCTCCCTTAGAGATAGGGTGAGGAGCTCGGTCACACGGGAGGAGCTCGGAGTAGAGCCGCTGCTTCTCCACGTCGAGAGGAACCAGTTGAGGTGGCTCGGGCATCTGTTCCGGATGCCTCCTGGACGCCTCCCTGGGGAGGTGTTCCGGGCACGTCCCACCGGGAGGAGGCCCCGGGGAAGACCCAGGACACGCTGGAGAGACTATGTCTCTCAGCTGGCCTGGGAACGCCTAGGGGTCCCCCCGGACGAGCTTGAGGAGGTGTGTGTGGATAGGGAAGTCTGGGCGTCTCTGCTTAGACTGCTGCCCCCGCGACCCGGCAACGGATAAAGCGGAAGAAAATGGATGGATGGATAGATGTTTGCCTTATTCCGATGCTGTTCGTAAATATTAATTTCTCTGCATTGCCTCTGGTGCCTAAACCGCAGCAGAAAGTTATCTCAAAGTCATTATTGCATTGATCAATTGTCTGCTCTGTCCTTCATTTAAAAGTATACGTCCCTCTGTTTTTAATGAGATGTCCTGGGGATTTCCCATGATCCCCTGCAGCTCTGGACCATCCATCATCTCCCCCTCAAACCTCAGCCTGCTCCTGTTTGGTCAGTTTTCACTTCTCAGCGTCATGGACAGTGTCTGAGTGGGAGGATTGACAGTAATTTTGATTTTTCTATTCATTCTTTGTATTTTGATGCTAATGAGGCAAGGGCTATTCGATTGTCTATAGATTAGATTTGTGTGTGGACTTTATCTCTGTGAGGAAGATGATATGAAGACTTGTTTTCAAGCATTGCAAGAAAAAGCATAAGAAATAGTCAATTGGTTGTATTGCGGTTGAAAATCATTACTGGTAACTATGGAAAAGTGTTAATTCAAATGTCTAAGTGTAAGTTTTGGCTAATTTATCTAATACCCGGGCCTAAAAAACTAAAAACTGGTCCAAAATTCCTCAAATAGTCTTTTTTTTTTTATATATAAAGGTGTCTAGAAGTGGTAAAAATATTCACAAAACATTCTTTCAGACATAAGAATAATATGGTCTGAGAAAACAAACATTTTCTTGTTCAAAAATTGCTTCTTTCCCATATAGTTACCTTCAAACTGAAGTGGAAACAAGAACATAACATTGTTACTTCCTGAGTATTTCCTCAGTGATGGCCATCAAACTAATTTAATCCAAAAATATTTACCACAATTGAAATTCTCACTGTGAGTGAAGCTCTGAAGACCAGTGTCAAACTGGTTTCAGAAAGGGCCAGTGTGGTTGCAGGCTTTCATTCCAACCAAGTAGGAGCACCCCAGACTCCACCCATTTCCCAGACTTTCAAATGCACTTGTTAAATGAATGCGCAAATGCATCTTTTCACATTTTCCTGTGGAAGGGGCCTGGAGGGAAAAGTGATGACACATAAGTTTTAACAGCGGAGATAGACGTTACTACGTCACTGCTGAACTCACTTGAGCAAATGGTCTCAAGTGAGTGTGGTGTGCTTCTGCTTGGTTGGAATGCAATCCTGCTGCCACACCAGCCCCTTGAGGACCGGAGTGACACCCCTGCTATAGACAAAGGAGAGATTACTTCAACATGTCCAGTATGGGTATAACTAGTTTGTTAGTGTAAAGTAAAACTACACTTAAAAGAAAGGGTGACATGACTTGTGATAACATTCAATTTCATTTCAATGTATTTTTGTACAGCCCTAATTGACCACAGCTATTGTCTTGGAGGACTTTACAAAGTTGTCAACCCACCAGCAACAGATCAGAGAATCAAACAATTAGAACACTCAAAATGCAATAATAACAAACAAAAAGGAGCCAGTTGTCCATAGGGAGCGGGATTATCACTGTCTTTAGAAACTCCTGCATCGGCGAGGAACCACTCAAAAACCCTGTTGCAATGTGCAAAATCAATGAAAATGTTCGGAGGCAAACAAACCTTTTCCTTTTTTAATTAGGACTTAGACAGTCAGGCAGAAACAAGACAAATACATAGACTAGTACATTTAATCACATCCTATGCACCGAACAAAACCAAACAGAATCATGGCTTTCAGCTGCAAATCTCAGTCCAGGACATATATTATTGATATAATGCAATTTAGAGCATGGACCCATCTTTTTTGTTGGCTATATCTTTCAGATTAAATAGAACATGCTTCTATTTTTTGATAGTGCTAGATAAGAAAGCCAATATATCAATAATTGGCATTACTTGCTTTGAATATGAAATTGCTTACCTATCTCCAACTCTAATCATATTGAAAAGGTGGGATCAGTTCAAACTTAACAATATTTTGGAAAATGGAAAAGTGCATTGTTCAAAATGGACCAATTAAATTCCTCCCTGAGTGTGATGTCAGCGGGTGTCCACTTGAGTGACCTACATACTCCTGCATTTGCCTCTATGCTCCTGTCTTCAATTCCTGTTCTTCAAAAGGAGAAAAAGTATAACAGAAATCCTAAAAATAGCCTCCCATCGATCAGATGGCACGATTGGACAAGAGCCACGGGGAATCTGGTGCTTCATTCATCATTTTAACCGCGTTTGGGGAGAAATAACCTTAATATGTGGACATAACTCATTCTGTTAGAACCTTTTACTCTTAGCTAACAGTAAATATAATGATGGTAAAGTTCATCTTAAGTGATGTGTCGTCTTGAGACCACTGATTCCCACCATACTAAGGGTTTAAAGATTAATTGCAACATTACTACCCATTTAAGCAGCACAATAAGCAAACTCAGGAATTATTCATTAGCTATAATATCCTTGGTGGTGAATTTAAGATCTATTCATTTAAGATCTAGATCTATTTTTAAGATCTACACGTCTTTGTTTTTGTTGTTGTTTTGTCAACGTTTTTTAAGCGTTCTCCATTGTATTTACGATACAATACAATGCAATTTACTCTTGTATCAAAACAGTAGTCATCTCAGAGGACTTAACAAAACCATTGAAATCACCAACACAGATCAGAGAATCAACAGTTAAGACACAAAAAGAATATAGAACACATGTTGAATAATGTTCGTACATAGGTGAAACATAGGTCCAACAGACCCTCCTGCATCGGCAATGAAAAAAGTCATAAGAAAAAAAAAACAGTGGGAAAAAAGTGAGAAACCTCGGGGAGGCCCACATATTGAGAGAGGGATCCGCTCCACACGGACGGACGGGCTATAGATCCAGGACTTAAGCTACAGGTCTGGTGCAGGACTAAAGCACTCCCAGGCGGGTCGGGCAGGGCAGTCCGCAGGTGTAGATGGAGGAGGTCAGGTTCAGAGATCCTGTTGTCGCGCCATGAAACAGACAATGGGATGACGGGTGAATAGCAATGAACAGACTTCAGTCAAAATCCTAATAATGCGGACAGATAAAGTAGGAAGGAGGATAGTGCTCAAGTTACCATACTTCTCTCCGCAAACTGACTCCCTATGCAGCTTGACTGACAGTCTAAGGAGTTTAGCCTTCCCTGAGTCTTACCTTTCTGACCATATGCTAACTAAAGAGGACTGTTTTAGCCTAGCCTAGAACGTAGGGTCCAAGACCGGACGAGACCTGACCGGACAAACAACCTAACCAAATTCTAAGTTGAAGAAGAGTGTTTTAAGCTTGGACTTAAATGTAGAGACCGTGTCTGCTTTCTTAATGTGGACGGGAAGCTGATTCCACAGTAAAGGAGATTGGTAGCTAAATGCTCTGCCACCAACAGTGCTTTTTGAGCCCTTAGGAACCACCAGACGTCTGGTGTTTTGCGAGCGCAGTGCTCAGCTTGGTTAATTTGACATCAACATGTCTTGAAGATAAGAAGGAGCCAAGCCATTTATAGCTTTGTATGCCAAAAGAAGAATTCTAAACTTTATTCTGTTGTCCACAGGAAGCCAGTGGAGGGATTTTAACACCGGAGTTATGTGCTCCCTCCTTTTGGTGCCTGTTAAGATCCTAGCTGCTGTAATTTGAACACGCTGGCGGCTCTTCAAAGAGGTTTTAGGGCATGCTCCCAGCAAAGCGTTACAGTAGTAAAGCCTTGAGGGGACGAAAGCGTGGATCAGTTTTTCCGGGTTAAGAAGTAGAAAGTTAAGAGTCATCCACGTTTTGAGGTCCTTTATGCAGGCACTGAGCCTTTTCAACTTTTTCAACAATTGTCTGCATTATGACGATTCACCTTCTAGTCCAGGGGCCGTATGCCTAGAGATTCTGAGAGTCCTTTCAGAGAGCTCTTGCCGTTATCGACACCTACCTACAACAGATGTAACTCCAGACACTGGGATCAGACCCAGATGGTACATGTAGGGAAATGATAATTGGCCGGTGTTTACGGATGGCTAAGGCCAGGCTAAATGAACATGGGCTAAGGGCCGGATTAGAGTTTACAAGTTGAAAGTCTAGTCTAGTTCTCATCAGAAGGTTTTGGATGTGCTCAGGTGTCAATACAATAAAAGATAAGCTTTATTGTCCCCAAGTCAAATTTGCTCTGGGATACACAGATCTGCATGAATGAATAAAAACAAAAAGGAACATTACAGGAATATACATACACATAAATGTGCAGTAGTGCTTTGAACAGTGGAATTATCAGGTTTTTCTAGTAAAATGTCTATATCATTTTTTTTACAAGTTTGAAAAATTATAGGCTGCAACCACACCCATGCTATCACCAAAACTCATTTATGCGAGTTAATCCGTTTGTTATAGGAATAAATCTGTAATAATGTAATCTGTGTAATGTCATAGTGGTATCATTATCAGAATAAAACAGGAGCTTTTAAAACGAAAGAGCGGAATTACACGTGTCTCTAATGTTTGTTGAATTGCCTGATATTAGAGCTATTCCATTTTCGTTCTCCATGATTCTCTTCCAGTGCTCACGGCTTTACCTTCCCTGGGTGTAGCTCCGCAGTCGGTCCAGGGCAAAGTCCCTCTCAGCGCAGCCTCTTCTCTGCAGGGGGCCGGGCTCACGCTGGAAGTGAGTCCGGTGGGCGGGGTCAGTCCGTCGGGCAGCCAGGTGGACAAGAGCACCTGGATGTACCTGGAGGACATGGCCAACACGCTACTGAGCAACGTGCAGCAGCTGAAGAGTCTGATTGAACAAGCCAAACAGGGCGCGCTGATGGGGAAGGAGTGCAGGAGAGAGGTGAGAGGTTTTGGCATCTTTAACTAGGGCTGTGCAGTTAAAGCTGGGATACCTAACTTTTTTCATAGACATACACTGTGTTTGTTCCAACATAGAGTATTGCATGGATAAAATGTTGTGAGCAAATCAATCCACAGACACACTATAATAATCTATATTTTATTGTACACTTCAAAGAAAGAGCCCTCTATTCCTCAGTATTTGACACGTGATGATTGGCTGAATGAGGGCGGTCCTCTCTTTTCCACTTTTCCATCTAATAAAAGCTCATCTAAAGATCTAACAGCGCCCCAAAATAAATGTATGTGAAAACTAGTGATGGAAAGTGTTGAGAGATTGTATTACATGATTTCATTTTTTGCGGTTTGAAATTTACATACCCCAGCTTTAACCACGAGGTCGTTCGTAGTCAGATTAGTCCTCTTTATAGAAGCCACCAGTGAATCATTGCTATATATTTTGCATTTTATATCTCATTTATCTAATCGGATGTCATAAAGTGCGCACTCCAGCGGTTAAGATCTCATTCAAGTATTTGCTATTGTTATTATAGATAGGCAATATTATGAATTTATTTACTTATTTGTATCGTTTATTTATAAATGTTTTTTTTCATAGCCTTTTGATGTTAACATTTTATTTGGCAGATTTGTGAGTGAATCTATTGTTAATGTATCTATTTGCACCACCATTTATCAAATGTGCTATACAAAGTGGATTGGACTAGATTGCCTGTGCATGTATGAATCATGCTAATCCAGAATTTGCACTTTGAATCGTCCTAAAAACAGCTTCAAGTAAATAAATGATGAGTGAAATCTTGGTTACATGGTTAAAAGCTTGGTTTGGAGCTTGGTTTGTTCGTGTTAAACCGTCCCCTGAGGCTGGGACTTCTCAATTTCAAGCCATAAAATTCTGTATGATGTGTAAACAATCTTTTTCCTGGCGCTCAGACCATATGGCCAAGATGAAGAACAGTGCGATAATAAAACAAACAAGTCTGATTGACGGATTATGTCTTGGCAGTTCACCTCAACATAATTGGAAAAAGAAACATACATGCGTGTTTAAGCGTGGAGAACTGGATCAAGGTGTTTTATTTTTGCAAAGCTCTTAAAAGCTCATGTCTGTTAGCTGACAGATTGAGGGCTTATATGGATTTCTCTATTAAGCCTCTTCTTCACACTTTAGCTCTTTGGACAAAGTCGGCTTATATTCCTTTTGTCCACCTACTTCTGTTCAAGAATTTAAATCTAGTTAAGTAACAAGGCTTATGTGTTTGTGGGGGGGGGGCAATACTATGCACTTTTACAAACAGCCTATTAATTTGTGTCGATTATATTTTTTATTTTTTTATCGACACAAAAAACAGTTGCGTGGAGACATAATATGCAAAATAGTCCAAGATATAGTCGTGTTGCAAAAAGGTCTGCTAAAGTCTACTGTACAAACATTTCTAATATGTCTTTTCCCTGCGCTCCTAAAGGCAGCTGGCCTTGTCTCAGCAGTATTCAGTTCATGTGGGTTGCACTTGTGATTTGAAACTATATAAATTTACACTCTCAGTGTTGTTTTTTGTTCTTTGTTGTTGTTTCAGCCATTTCAATTCTTAGTCTTGAGATGCCATGTTCGTCAGTGTTTTAATATTTTCTATAGACAAAATATATCCACTGTTCACCAACTGGACCTGTGGTCTGAGTGAAGCATGTCTCCTGCATAAAGGGGTGGAACGTGTTACGGTGGAATTAATTATTGTAGTGTGCAAACGTTTTATAATGATTTTAGAATCATATCAAATAATGAACCAGGGTTGGAGACAATGGGCCTCATTCACGAATAACTTCGTAAGAAACTACTCAACTTTCTTCTCAAGTTGTCCTTAAGTAGATTTCTAAGAAGACCCTACGTGGGATTCATCAACGCACTCGTAAGCCACTGAATTGTTCGCAGCTGTTCTCTCAGATTGATGAATCCCATTTCCTCGTAAGTAGAGCGCGCGTGCCAGGTGCTTCATTAGCATAGGTACTTAGCATAAGTAACCGCCCACTAATGCCCATATAAGGGACTGCAGGGCCGTGTGCAGACGCCAGAGGAAACAGCAACAGGCCTAAAGCAAAGAGTTACACGGAGCAAAAGTCACCCTTTTTTCTTCTTTTACCAGACTGAGAATAAAGTTATAAAATGTTGACTTAAAAGTCGAAATATTATGATAATAAAGTCGAACTAGCAAAATTATGAGATTAATCTAAGAATATGATGAGATTAATCTCAAAATGTTATGAGCTTAATTTAAAAATATATTATGTATTATTTTAAAGATGAATCTCAAAATGTTTTGAGATTAATCTCAAAATATTTTGGACCCTGGGAGGAGATCCAGCGCGGACCAGCGCTGAGACCAATGCAGACCCGAGGAGAGACTGGAGTGACCAGCACACAGAAACCAGCGCGGACCTATAGGAGAGACCGCATAGACTGGAGTGACCTGACTGGAGAGACCGCATAGACTGTAGTGACCTGACTGGAGAGACCGGTGCGCAGAGACCAGCGCGGACCGAAGAGAGACCGCATAGACCAGACTTGAGAGACCAGCGCGGATCCGTATGGAGAGACCAGTGCAGACCAGTATAGATCCATGGGAGAGACTAGTGCAGACCCGTATATGGGAGAGACCAGTGCAGACCCGTATATGGGAGACACCAGCGCAGACCCGTATAGATCCATGGGAGAGACCAGCGCAGAGACTCAGCGCGGACCCACTAACCTCCTGCAGCAGCAGTATATATGCCGTTGTTCTGTGGCCCGTGGATAAAGAAATGCCCCCTATAAATAGGAAGGGGTCACTAATACACGGCAAGATTTCCAATGTATTTGATAAAGCGTTGGCACATTTCATTTCAAAATGAATTAAAAAGTAGGCCAGATCTGCAGTGAAAAAGGCGGTATATAAATAAAGATTACTAATAAAGATTACTACAAATAAATAAATACATACATCGATATGACGGACATATCACTGGAATGTTGTATTTTTATTCAACTTCACCAAAGAGGACAACCCCCGCATGTGAACATGTCGGCACTGAATGCGTACGAGTGCTCCTGAGGACTCGTAGGATTTGTACTTGCCCAAGAGAAATTCTGGTTACGAGAAATATTCGTGAATGCCACTTTCTTCGTAAAAACCGCGTAAGTAGGATTTACGTACAAATCTGTTCCTAAGAACCGTTCGTGAATGAGGCCCATTCTTAGGAGACAAAAGCATGATATGTGTTTTAAATGTTGGACTAAATATGTCTTTTACTTTCTTGCAGTGCTCTTTGAACCAGTCTTTTGAGTCTCAGATGGGATTTTCTCATTCAGATGACTCAGACCCTAAAAGAAGCTCAGACCTCAACGAGATCATTATGAACGTAAGAAAAACAAGTGTTTTCATAGAGACCAATGACACATGTGTCTTCATGAAAAAGGCCTATTCTCTTTGGACTGTTACCAGTTGTCACCATTCATTCATCATCTTGAGACATACAGGCCTACTGTGCTTTGTTCTGGAATATAGCATCATAATCTAAGAGATGTCTCATAAAAGAGACATTTCTAAAATATTTACTGTATGTTTTACACCCAGGTAGAAAATCTGCAAATATGGCCCATTATGAATGATAAACACAATGCAAACACTTGCTGTGTGAAGGGTCTCCACTGACCATGATTAGAGGTCTACATCCTCCAGTTCTCAGTGCTCTGTTGTGTCTTTAACATCAATCACAGCTTGGAGACTTTTGTTGGAATTGTGGATGAGGTTCTTTATAAAGCTGCCCATTCTTCTTGGCAAAAAGGCTCCAATTCATGTAAATTTTCGGGCCACCTTGCATGAACTGCACAATTGTGATCTCCCCAGAGCAGCTCAATTATCTCATATTTTGAAAATAGTTAGAAGTAGAACTTAGCACTTCAAATGCTGGAGCATGTGCGCAAGAGAGTCCCGGTACACATGAAAAAAATAATGATTCATCAGGCATATTTCCTGATGAAGGTCTCAGGACCGAAATGTAACATTTTACAGTGTGCGGAAACCACTATTTTTTCATATCTTACATGGCTTCACACAACCTCACACAACCCACCACAAGTGGGAAAATATCCAAAATATGCCAAAATGATGACATTTCTGCCTACTCCTATTTACCCTTTTATTTCTCAGTAAACATTGGCTAAAATCTGGTGTGTTTACTGTCGGGGATGAAGCAGACAGAGACGGATCGTGGTGCGCCAAACTCTGGAAGTTTATTTAAGTTTCTCCCAAGTTCCACTGGTTTACTCTGTTTCTTTCTCTCAGACAGAATAAAGGCAGTACACAGTTTATATAGTCATTGTCACGTCACACATCGAAAGACATACGTGTCACAAAGAGACAGTCACATCATAGTCATAACATGGAGTCCTTGTAGAGTCCTTGTACAGTCCTGCACGTAGGCCATATTGCTATCTAATACTAACACCCTCCCCTTTGATCACAAAAAATATTAAAAAACAAAGAAAATGTATGCATTAAACTCATAATCATCAAATCAATATCAGTGGATTTTATCCTCTATCCTGGGGAAAAAACAAACCAAAACAAATCAAAAATAAAAACAAACAAACACTATTGGACACACAAGAACTCAGCAGATTCAGTCAAAACACAGACAAAAACGAGCTGAGTCTCAAATTAGAAGCTAATTTCACTTTTCTTACTCTATACTTTTATTCTAATGCTGATTGTTTACACTACACTCAATCTTATTTCACTGTATTATTTTCACTAATTCTAATCTTAGACTGTGTACTTTCTAATCTATTTACAAATATGTTTGTATATTTGCTTCTATTGAGCCATATTCTTAAACATATATTTTAATCTCTCTGTGGTTTACTTTCATTATCAGTGGGATTTTGCTCCATGTCTATTCTACATTCTCAGGAATAACACTGTGAACACAGTAAGGCAAATGGTTAATATGAACATTATTATGGCGGTCAGTTTTCCAAATACATTTGTTGAACCAGGAAGTGATGTCACTTCCTCCTCTCAGGCAGTTTGGGATGAATGTACATCATTAATCAAATTAGTATTATTCTTACAAGAGCTAATCTATTTTAGCAGGTTTGGGGTTGGGGTCAGTTATACAATGGTGTTTGATTCTCTAATCTGTGCTGATGAATCTACAGCTTTTTAAACTTCTCAAAGATATCCAAATATCTACTATTTTGTTTTTGTGCTATACCCAAATGCATCAAAATGCTTTTAAATGCTTTTGAATCTCTGTTGGATCTAATCTATCTCATTAATCTAGGCATTAATCTAGACTACACTCATATGGACTTTTTGTATTGTCAACATTCACAGATGTTTGAAAACAAGTGAATTTGGCAAGTATCTAATAAAACTGTACATAAACTGTAATTAACTTTATTTACATTTGAAGTAAATGCTTGTGAAATGGTCCCTTCACCATTCAAATATTAGCACTGGCTACAAATAATCTCTATTTTATGGTTGATTTATCTATTCCTATTTTTACACTTTTGTGACTCCAATGCTTGGTTGCAGCTTGAGCAAAGGCATATTTCTAATCTGTGACTTCTGTCACTTTTAATAGCTGTAACATTATTCTGATTCTAATATTCTAGCTGCTCTATCAAAAGGATAACATTGTATGGTACTATTTTAACTCTTACGTGGAAATGTTTTTATGAACAACAAAGAAAATCAAATTCTACTTTTTTACTACTATTTAACATCTACTAAAACGCTACAATACTCATACTTTATCATTTTCAAAGTTTTTGTCTGTCAGATGTCTGAATACTTAACATGTATATTGCATTTGGTCACAGGTTCTGGTTGTAGCAAGAGCATCGGCAATAGACGTTTTCATTGGCTGGTTCTTGTTCTGCAAATGTCTGTGTCCAATAGATCACCAGATGTCCAGAAGCTAGGGACAAACAAAAACAAAAGAAAGAATCAAAAATACTGATTCAAATAAAGATTCAAGTGATAGACAATTAAAAATATTTGTTTACATTGGAGTAAACTTTTAATGCTTTTTTCTCATGTTCTGCTTTTTCATGTATCTATATGTAAATGTGAATGTGTGAGTGCATGAATGTGTGTATGTGTGTGTATGTATGTAGGGTGTGAATTTTGGGGTTGTGTCTCCAGACTCCTCGAACCATCTGTAGGTCTCAAAGGTCACACTGTGGTGTTGTAACCACGTGGACACACTTTCAACTGCCTCTAGGTCTCCACCTGAGGCCTCCACCCATCACTGCCTCCAGAAACCTCCACTTTCATGGCCCCGGTCTCACTCCCACTTACTTCTGTAGTGGGGGGAGGGGCGTAGAGGTGGCATTGTTGCCCTTTTGCTCCTAGCTCTGTGGCCTGTGGCTGGGTGGGCGTTGCTGTCCAGTGTCCACTCCAGCAGTCCAGTGACCCTCTACCAGAGCTGGTGCCAGCCTGGTTGGGGCCCTAAGCAGAAGTCAGCCTGGGGGCCCTACTCCTAATTCAAGAAACCTTCAAAATTAAATTAAGCAGACGTTCCATTACACATATCATTACTGTGGTCCGTGAGCCAGGTGCAAAAGTTCTTCTGACACTGAGACCAGGGAGACGTAATCCGTTTAAGTCCATTTATTGAACAAAAATAATAATAGAAAATGAACATTACAGTCCTCCAGTTTGCAGGTAGAAAATCTGTCTTCTCCCACACCTGCACTCAAAACTCAAACTGATGACATCAGAGCAGTCTAAATAATGGGAGTGTCTCTGATTTTAAAGCTGCTCTACCTGTTTTTAAACTTAGATATTTGCAATAGCTTTTTACAGTCTTTAATCATTATGAGACTTACAGTAACTTATAACATTTTAGAATATTTCTTTAACTTAAGAATTGTAACCGTTTAACTTTAACTTTCTAGGGTTTTAACCATTTTTAACATATAATCTGATTGACAAAAAACTATTTTATATTTTTTACTTTAAATTAAACACTTTTTTGTATTTTAACTGCTTTGGCTCTCACAATTACAAATAAATGATTCACACTAATCAAGCAATATAAGACTTGATTAGTGATTGATTCAACACAAGATAAAATAACATTTGAACTTTTCACACACACGATAAAAGATAAGATATGATAAGATAGACTTTATAGATCTCACACAGGAGAAATGTACAGGTCACATCTGACATGGATAGAATCACTCAGATTTGTGCAAAAGACAGAAGTGTGCAACATGTTCAAATACAAAAATAAACAAAATACAAATATTGTTAATATATAAATTTATATTTTATATAAAATATAAATAACTAGTTTCATTATTATCACCACTAGTAATAATATATTATCTTAATATTAATATCAGTAGTGCATTATGCTAACACTGTTAGTATTATGTCTAAATTAGAAATATAACAAAATACTCCCGATTAGCAAAGGAAGCACTTTTATTTTGAAGGTGTCCACCTTAACCACAAAAAAGAGACTGATGAAGTTGTTTTGGGACTCGTTAAAAACAGAAATAAAACATATCAGACACAATATTCAACTTTCTTTGCAGACAGTCAATGCGTCAGGTCGGCACCACACGTTTTTTAACCAATTGTTCCCGCAGTTCGCTGTCTTTTTTTCCTTTTTTCATAACTCCGCTTCATAGTGTCAGGCTCATGCTCAGCCTCTGCTGTGGCTGCGCGACTGACAACAACAGGGTGGAGGAAGGGGAGGGTTGAAAGTGCGACGTGAGGACGTAACGTTTGAGGATCACGGGAGACAGCAAGTGACAACTTAAACAACCAATCAAATGGCTGATTCCGGATAAGAAGGGCCTCGTAACTGCACGAGTGAGAGCGATGACAAAAAAAAAAAAGAGTCCGCACCCCGGGGCCCTTCCCGCTGCGGGGCCCTACGCATACTGCGTAGTCTGAGTATAGGAAGCGCCGGCTCTGCCCAGTACAGTGTGTGCCCTTGGTCCTGGAACACAACCTTATAGTCAAAATCAAAACAGCAGATATCAGTTTGTGAATGAGATTGTTTTTCTCTCTAAAATCTAAACAATTTTGGAGCGCTCTGAGTTTTTCAACATGCGCTATGTAAATATAGATTACTTATTATCTTACTACTGATGACATTTTAAGACCAGAAAAAACCCTTTAAACTTTAAAATGTGTATCATGTACTTTTGTACTGTGTGTTTAATTATCTTGAACATTTATCTCAGCATATATTCTACTAATTTAAAATAATTGCAGCATTTTCAAATTAAGTCAATATGAATTGGAGCACATTTTAGAGCCAGTCTCCTCTGCTGTGTGCATCAGCAGGAGGAGGAAGGTCAGGTGCATAGTCAAAACAAAAAAGTCACAGCTTGAATGTGAATTGGGTAGTTTTCAACTTAATAATATAATACTTTTACAGCTAATCCTAATTCCCTCTTTCTTTTTAGACGAAGTCTATGATCAATAATCACTTTTTGCACAGATTCTAATTTAAATGTTTGAAAAACGGCTTTTGTAACTAAAATAAAAACATAAAAAACAAACACAACTCACAAAAAGTTAAGAAATAAGCAGCAGATTTAAAAGAATGGAATTTAGAAATATGTTAGGTCTAAAAAGAATTGCACAGCTTTAGCACTAATCTTTGGGTTTCAAAAACATACTAATTCAAAACTTCTATTCCCTAATGGTGTTTAAAAACGTTTAACTGTGTCATAACACAATGTTCAATTGCAAATTTAGCAAATTTAACGGAATAACATCTATGAAAAGCCAAAATCCTAAAAGCAGTAGCTTTGCTCTGATTCAGAGCCAGAGTAGCAAAGGAGGGGGCCGTTTCCCTGACAACGGCAGCAAGATAGAGCGGCGCACACACACACAGGCAGAAAGTAGTGTTTTAGCAAAAATGCTTAAACAGAAAGAAGAAGAACTTTCAAGATTACTTTGTTAAGCAAATATAACTGATGTTGTTCTTTATACTTTTGTCATCCAAGTCTAGAAGTGGCCAATTTCCACACTAGTAACAAAAGGCACTCTTAGTGTTTAATTTCCCTTACGCTTCTATTTTATCGAGGTAGCAAACTAGTTTAAACTCAAAATCTCTTTCTAAAAAACAAAAACAACTGTTGGATACAACCCTCTCATAGCTTAACTGTAGATATAACTCTGCAAAAAATGTAAATAACTCACGAAAGCTCTCATAGCTCAACTTTAGATACAACTCTGCATTCTCCGGTGAACTCTGTTCACTCCAAAAACAAAAACTCCCTTTTTCTGTATGTAATTTAAACCGTGATCACTGAAATATTGTTGCTTCTTTACTTTTGTCATTTATCAAGCTTGGAATTGGTTAATTACAAAACTTTTTGTGACAAAAGGCCTCCTTAACACGTTTCCCTTTTTATTGCTTTTATGTTTACACCATGGTTTCACTAAGGATCCAACACTTTTCTCTGGCTAGCAAGGGGCCTCTACCCCGGTAATTACTCAAAAAAGGGCCTCTACCCTGTAATTACTCTTTTTCTCTTCTCAAGGGGCCTCTACCCCATCAGGTAGCAAACCTGTTTTTAATCTAATCTGATCTATAGATATATGACACTTGGTAGACCTCAAAACAGACCAAAATTTAGCTAGTATCCAATTATACAGACTTTACATATAAAAAGGTGTCTGCTTACCTTATTCTTGTCAAACAGGATCCAAGGACTGTCCGAGAGGTCTACCAAATACCAGCTTTTCCACGTCCAACCAGGTCATGAACCAGCGCTCACTAGTACCGGGAACTAGTTTCCATCGGCAGAGACCAATCACACGTCAAAAATCCCCGGAATGCGGACATGGGAAAACAATTTTAAACGCTCAGTCCAAAAAACAGGACACAAAAAAATATAGTGAGAGAGCAAAAAAGAGTCCCGGAGCTGGTCGCCTCTCCAGCCTGCTGGACCGCTCCCAGGCCCCAGACACTCTCAGCTCTCCCACGCCGAGAAAAAAAAAACAAAACTCCCTCAAAACAATCCAGAGAATGGCACACACTGAGCCGCGCATTCTCCACCAAATCTGTTAGGATTCAGCAGACAGAGACGGATCGTGGTGTGCCAAACTCTGGAAGTTTATTTAAGTTTCTCTCAAGTTCCACTGGTTTACTTTGTTTCTTTCTCTCAGACAGAATAAAGGCAGTACACAGTTTATATAGTCATTGTCACGTCACACATCGAAAGACATACGTGTCACAAAGAGACAGTCACATCATAGTCATAACATGGAGTCCTTGTAGAGTCCTTGTAGAGTCCTGCACGTAGGCCATATTGCTATCTAATACTAACATTACATTTATACGTTGTATCATGTGTGTTCATTAATATTGACTGTCCTAGTCAAAAGAATAAAAATAAATAAATAATAAACATAACATAGGAAGGTTTCCTACGGTGAGAAGACGATAGTTAAAGCTGAGGAACCTCACTTTCTAAACAATTTTTTAAATAATGTTATAAAATCCTTCTACTGTATTTGCTCATTCTTATAACGCTTTGCTTCGATGCCTAGTTTTCACACACATGTATTTTCGGCCTCTATCACATCTTTAGATCAATTTTTTCAAATGAGATGAAGACAGCATGTTCTGGTCTGATTTTTTCACATGTTACTTTCTCACAAGACTGTTGGGAGTTGAGATCAACAAAATCAATTATTTTTTAAAGAAAAAAAAGCTAAAAGTAGACCCTCCACCAGAAACTTTGTGCGGAAGTTTATTTAAAATTTTCAGGAGAAACGCAAGCTTTACAGAGATTTATGACAAATGTGCATTATTTCAATTTGCATGAACAAATATGCAAATAATGTGTATCTTCTTTGTCCCAATTTCAGTTGGTGAGGGCCATCGTTCACAATATCTTGCCGCTCAAAACCAAAGCTTCATTCTTTTGTGTGTATTATTGTGAATGCTGATTTTTAAACTACAGTTGAGCCTGGACAAAACACACATAGTTCAGACATTCTTTATACTTGGTTTCCTTCCAAGCGGAAAATGTCGTTCTAAGGACAGAGCACAACCACAGCCTCGTCCAGAGCAAATCTCACCCCAGATCAGCAGCAGAAAGGTTTCATAGAAAAAGAGGACACACCTTCAACAGGAAAGGGGGAACCAACAGAAAACAAAGGAACAATGAGACAAGACCTTCCTTTTTAACATGTAAAGTAATCCCCCTGTTTACATGTAAATAGTAAACCAAACCCAACTTCAAACAAGGCCCATGCTTCCTCTTGGCAAAATGGATTATCATACAAACCCCCCTGTAGGATTTCTGGAGCCACATATGATTCAATAAAATAATAACTTAAAAACAACATTCTAATGACAATTGTGCGCTATTGTTTTAAAACTTTGCTGGTTTCTTCCCTCCACAGCAGATGTGTGTAAACTGCGGTCGTGTGGCCATCACCGAGTGCACCGCCTGTCACAAAGCCAGCTACTGCTCCAACTTCTGCCAAAGGAAGGTCAGTTTGATACAGGAAACACTACATCTATTGACGTCATACAATACAAAACAACAATACAGTACAATACAACTTTATTATCTGGAGCTGGAGGCTGTGGCAGAATACAAGCTGTCATTTTTCATTCAGAGTCCTTGGATTTTTATGTTTCGGCAAGTTGTTGAACATTGTGTATTTTTATTTATTTATTTAAAACTTCTGTGGCCTCTCTCTTCTGTGCGGATGGTCTGCTGCTGTGGGTTTGCTTGGTGCGCCTGGGCCTGGTGGGAGATGGCAGTGTCGAACTTACCGGTGCGCGTTGGCCACTGTGACACATTTGTTTCAAAGAAACATATATAATGTGTGTATGTATGTATATATATGTGTATGTGTATGTATATGTATATGTGTATATGTATGTGTGGATATATGTATGTATATATATGTGTGTATGTGTATGTATGTATATGTGTATGTGTGTATATGTATATATATATATAAATATATTTGTGTATTTGTGTGTGTGTATGGTTACATATTTATACATGACAGGAACAACTATAATATGTGTGTATGAATATTGTATATGTATGGCTATGTCTGTATGTATGTGTGGGCGGGTAGGTGCAACCGTATAAAGTGAATATAGGTATTGGGGGTGGGAGCCTATAAGTTTGACTTCTTCCCACTCCTTTTTGAGCTTTAACAGGAGTGAAAATAAATAAAAATAATAAAAATAAAAATGTATATATACATTAATGTATGTATGTATGTAAATTTCTATCATGTATTGTATGTAATTGCTTTTAAATCTATAAATTGATTCCTGTTTATAAGCTTGAAATAAATCAAATCAAATCAAAATCAAATCAAAACCTTTTTTATGTTGCTCTAAAGTTTGAGTATTTTTTAGACAAAGATTTCAGAATCATTTTTATTGCCACGTAAGTAACAGGAAATCACAGACGTGGAAATTGCTTTGGCAGTCAAAGAAGAGAGGTAAAGAATAGAGAATAGAGTAAGGCATAATAAGAATAATAATAATAATTAGCATACACTTCTACGGTATAACATTTAGAATAGAATTATTACATTTACAGTCACTATGTACAATATACAAGTGCACATGGTGTACACAATATGCAAAGGCAGTGCAATAAGGTGACAAGAGGTAAAGTGATGTTATGATGGCATTAAAGTGACTTAATAAGGGACAGTAAAGTACATTATAGAAGTAAGATGACTTCTAAAGGGCGTGTGGACAAGTTATGAAGTGTTCAAGAGTCCAACAAGGGTAAAAGTTGAGTGAGTTTTGCGAAGATTATTGTTTAAGATTATAAATTAGAATATTATAGGGGCGACAGTGGCTCAGTTGGTAGAGCATTGGCCTTTGAGCCTGAAGGTCGTGGGTTCGAGCCCACCACAAGACTCTCACTGATGACTGCTGTCTTTGTGTCCTTGGGCAAGACACTTAACCCCACTTTGCCTGAAGCCCCCACCGGAAGATTAAGGCTCCTGTGGACTCACCACCTGCAGGAGGATCAGTGAGGGGCTGGTGCTATGTGTACTGGGGGCAGCTCTGACTACCACCCCCCCCCGACCCAGAAGTGGATTAAGGGGAAGAAAATGGGGAAGAAAACGGATTGTTTGGATTAATCCCCCTTCGATTCATTCCCTTTCACTTCGTTCCATTGCCGGGTCACATAAGCAAAGTTCTATGTTTTGTACATAATTTCCCACACATGCTTTTGCTTCACTTTTCCTACAAAAAGTGTGAAAGTAAAAAGATTATGAACATGTAAATACATTTGTGTATAATGTAAAAAATGCGCAAGTTTCTCTGTTTGGTTGCCAATTCCCGCTGTGATACCTTTTAAGAAGAAATATTATGCTTTACCCTTGTCCTAAAAAAAAGATTTTATTTATTTATTTATTTGGTATGGACATAACAATAGCATTGGACAAACCAGATACATTGTTTTTAGTGTTATAGCAAGACTGCGGACTGCGGGCGGCACAGTGGCTGAGTGGATAGCACTCTCGCCTCTCAGCAAGAAGGTCCTGGGTTCGAATCCCGGTCGGACCAGGGCCTTTCTGAGTGGAGTTTGCATGTTCTCCCCGTGTCTGCGTAGGTTTCCTCCGGGTACTCCGGTTTCCCCTACCACTAAAAATATGTCCAATAGTTCTGGCATGCGCCTCCTGTACTGGCGACCCCGCTCCCATCTCTGTGTGGAGTGAGAGACAAATGCCCAAAATTAACAATTGTAAACCGCTTTGAGACTCAGATCTGCAGTGAAAAGGCGGTATATAAATAAAAACTTACTGCTAATTTGCAACACCTGTCCATATGACCATTTACTTTGTCATTTCATGTTTTAGAATGTGAAATAATAGATAAATAAGTCGAAGATTGGAAAAACAAATGCCATTGGCTCGTGGTGTTAAAAAAATCCAAAAGGTTGATTTGCATAATATGTCTCCTTTAAATCAATTTTCTTTCCTATCCTCCCCCAGGACTGGAAGGACCACCAGCTCATCTGCACTGGAGCCGTTCACGACGAGGACCCGATGCAACTGCAGTGTTCTGAGTCACAAAAGTAGACAATATTTCCTCATTCTGGTTTTTCAAATAGATGCTTGTCCGGCAGAAAGGATTTAATAAGGATGTAACAGTAACCGAAATGTTGGGACGTCATATTTTTGTTTTCATTTTGCCGCATAAAGTTTCAGAATGACGCTTTAAACTCCTGTTCTGAAAGGAGAATATACATTTTTAATTCCTGATGTCAGTTCAAAGCTGTGGAGCGAATCATTTCTCCTGTAGAAACATCTGCGCTGTCCTCACGTTGCTAAATAAAAGTCCTGGCCAGAATCTTGAAATGTATCTAACTTGTTCCTATTTGTCACATCATTGGTAAAACAGCCAGAGAGCAGCCTTTCTCTCCGAAAAAGGCATAAAGTGACTATGTGAAAATTACATTCTACCAAGACATTTCCTCGAGTAATACAAGAGAAATGAAGAAGAAGAATGTGGGTACTACATGGGATTTAAATATATGGCCTTGTCTTACCTATTACCAAGATAGAATGGATGATAACTTTTACTAAAGGAATTGTCTGTGCATTTAAAGGGACAACTATAAGTTTCAAAGTAAATGAATTATTGCAAAAGAAACTATGTTATGTTGTTACATCCCTCTTAATTATTAATTAAATCAATTATATTGATGAAGTTTAACATTAGAGGATCAAACTTTTCACACAAATGCACCTCTATGCTATTGTATTAATTTATTTTTCTACCTTTTTTCTTGATGGAAGATGATTGACTAGTCCACTGTGTAAATATATGTACAGCACAACCCTATTTTGTAATAAAGCCTTTAAAATGAATATAGTTTCTTGTTTATTTTTCCTGTTTTCCTATTTTCTATTCTTCTATTTTGTCTTTTTATCTTTTATTTTATCTGTATACCAAGGACCTTTTGGAGAACTAACAAGTGGAGGGACTCTGTGAAGTTCAGGTTCTGTGGGGTTTTTTTTCTGATTACTAATTTACATATAGAGTAAATTAGTAATCTCTACACTCTTTCACATTTGTGATGCTCATCAGTCCACAGTTAGAGAAACAGGAGTAAGTTTGTCACTGTTGCTTCACTCCCAAGGACTGGTGGTCCACCAAAAATGAGGCCAAGAGTTCAGCACAGAATCCACAGAGAGGTGACAAAGAATGTGTCTGCAAAAGACTTTTCACGGGCACAGTCCAATATCTCTGCACTATATGTAAAATACTGGCCAAGAATGGTGAACTCCATGAGGAACATTTCTGCCAGTTTATTGTTTGAAAAAAGTCACTTGGACACTCCACAAGTTGAATTGTTTGTGAGGAACACACAACGTCATGTGCAAAAGAAAATAGTGAATAGCTCATCAACATCAAAACCTGATCCCCACGTGAAGCACGGTGGAAGGAGCATCATGTTTTGGGGCTGTTTCGCTACAGTACCTCAGGGCCTGGTCCATTTGCATTCATTTATGTAAAAATGAATTTGAAGTTTAACGGGATGTTTTGCTGGGAAAAAAGAGGATGGATGCTGCAACAGGACAACACAAGTAGATCCACATCAGATAGTTTCAGAAGAACAAAAGACACATTCTGGAAAGTCAAAACACCAAAAGACAGTAATTCATGCCAGACATCCCATGAATCTGACTGAACTGCAGCAGTTTTGTAAAGAGGAATGTCAAAAGTATTTCCAGACTGATCTGCAACTACAGAAAGAATGTGGTTGAAAAATAAGGGCAGGCAAACGGCTTTGAAATGTGTTGCTTCAGTGACTTATTCCTCCCCCTTGTGTGATTGTTTGTTAGAAAACATAATTGAAAATATGAAAACGCATAAGTGCCTGGGTTTTTGTAGTTTTTCATGTAATTTTGAGAAAGATCAAGACCACGTTTGATGATGACTTTATGAACAAATGTGATAAATTGCATATTGCTATATTGAATCATTAAACCTTAAAGTTAAAGGTTTCCCTGTATGACAAACCAGTCAAACCAGACACTCAAAAACATTTACAGTGAGAAGCAAACCAGATCAAATGAATATACAGATTTAGATAAGAAAACCTTTATTAAATTGCAACATTTTTCTGAATATACAAAATGCATCATGTTAACAGAGCACACTTCTCATCGCTCCCCAAGTCCATCTACAAAGTCCATAGCCAACACTGCAAAATGATTTAAAATATATATAAATGCTTGAATTAAGTTTCTTTTCTTTCTTTTTCTTGACTTGAGCACATTTGACTGTCTTAAAACAAGTTCCTTAAAGCATGAAATGTCTTGTTTCCACTTAAAGCAACGGTATGTAACTTTCTGGAGGAGGAAAACCATCTGCTTGATTTATCCATGGATAAAGTTAGAATGACACTATGGAACTATCTTGGTTGACACCGGTATCAAACTGTAGCCAAAGGAACTATGTACTGTGTATCCTGAAATACAAAGTGCACCTTAAACTTAAAGCTGGGGTACGCAACTTTAAAACTTCTGAAAATGTAACTAATATAATCTATGTAACTTGTTCCTCGCTCTCAAAACAGTTTGGTTCTGTCACTAGTTTTCACATGTAAGTTTGCGTTGGCCTCTGTCACATCTTTACATCAGCTTTGTAAGACAGAAACGTGCAAAAAGAGAGGACCACCCTGACTCCTCCAATCAGCTCGAAGGCCAAAGAGTCAAAAAGTGACTCACAGGGTTCTTTCTTACAAATATGCAAAATAAAAGATTTCTTACTAGATATAGACATTGTGTTGTGGTCTGAAACATTTTATCTTTACTTTTTCTGTTGAGACAAATCCATCCATTTTCTTCCGCTTCATCCGTTGCCGGGTCGCGGGGGCAGCAGTCTAAGCAGAGACGCCCAGACTTCCCTATCCACACACACCTCCTCCAGCTCGTCCGGGGGGACTCCAAGGCGTTCCCAGGCCAGCTGAGAGACATAGTCCCTCCAGCGTGTCCTGGGTCTTCCCCGGGGCCTCCTCCCAGTGGGACATGCCCGGAACACCTCCCCAGGGAGGCGTCCAGGAGGCATCCGGAACAGATGCCCGAGCCACCTCAACTGGTTCCTCTCGACGTGGAGAAGCAGCGGCTCTACTCCGAGCTCCTCCCGTGTGACTGAGCTCCTCACCCTATCTCTAAGGGAGCAGCCACTCTGCGGAGGAAGCTCATTTCGACCGCTTGTATCCGCGATCTTGTTCTTTCGGTCATTACCCAAAGCTCATGACCATAGGTGAGGGAGGGAACAAAGATTGACCGGTAAATTGAGAGCTTTGCCTTTCGGCTCAGCTCCTTCTTTACCACGACGGTCCGATACAGCGACCGCATCACTGCGCACGCTGCACCGATCCGCCTGTCAATCTCACGCTCCATCCTTCCCTCACTCGTGAACAAGACCCCGAGATACTTGAACTCCTCCACTTGAGGAAGGACCTCTCCACCCACCTGTAGAGGGCAAGGCACCTTTTTCCGGTCGAGCACCATGGCCTCAGATTTGGAGGTGCTGATTCTCATCCCAGCCGCTTCACACTCGGCTGCAAACCGTCCCAGTGCATGTTGTAGGTCCTGGTTCGTTGGAGCCAACAGGACGACATCATCCGCAAACAGCAGAGATGAAATCCTGTGGTCCCCGAACCGGACCCCCTCCGACCCCTGGCTGCGCCTAGAAATTCTGTCCATGAATACAGTGAACAGAATCGGTGACAAAGGGCAGCCCTGGCGGAGGCCAACATGCACCGGGAACAGGTCTGACTTACTGCCGGCAATGCGAACACAGCTCTGGCTCCGGTCATACAGGGACCGGACGGCCCTCAGCAGAGGACCCCGGACCCCGTACTCACGGAGGACCCCCCAAAGGACACCCCGGGGAACACGGTCGAACGCCTTCTCCAAATCCACAAAGCACATGTGGACAGGTTGGGCGAACTCCCATGAACCCTCGAGTATCCGATGGAGAGTATAGAGCTGGTCCAGTGTTCCACGGCCGGGACGAAAACCACACTGCTCCTCCTGAATCCGAGATTCAACCATCGGCCGTAACCTCCTCTTTAGTACCTTGGAGTAAACCTTACCGGGGAGGCTGAGGAGTGTGATCCCACGATAATTGGAACACACCCTCCGGTCCCCCTTCTTGTAGAGAGGGACCACCACCCCGGTCTGCCACTCCATTGGCACCGCCCCCGATCGCCACGCGATGTTGCAGAGACGTGTCAGCCAAGACAGTCCTACAACATCCAGAGACTTTAGATAGTCAGGACGGATCTCATCCACTCCCGGCGCCTTGCCACCAAGGAGGCTGCCAACCACCTTGGTGACCTCTGCCAGGGTGACAGAAGTATCCGCCCCAACATCCTCAGCCTCTGCCTCCGGAGCGGAGGACGTGACGGGGGGATTGAGGAGAACCTCAAAGTATTCCTTCCACCGTCCGACAATATCCCCGGTCGAGGTCAGCAGCTCACCCCCCGCACCGCACACGGTGTTGGCAAAGAACTGCTTCCCCCTCCTGAGGCGCCGGACAGTTTGCCAGAATCTCTTCGAGGCCGACCGATAGTCATGCTCCATGGACTCTCGACCTCCCCCACAAGCTCGGGCTCCTTCCCCCCCAGTGAGGTGACGTTCCACGTCCCAAGAGCCAGATGTTGGGTGTGTGGACTGGGTCGCCGAGGTCTCCGCCTTCGACTGCTGCCCAGTCCTCTCTGCACCGAGCCGCCACGGACCCCTCTGCGGGTGGTGGGCCCACAGGAGGGACTGCCCACGTCGTCCTTTCCGGCTGAGCCCGGCCGGGCCCCGTGGGCTAAGGCCCGGCCACCAGGCGCTCGCATTCGAGCCCCGACCCCAGGCCTGGCTCCAGGGTGGGACCCCGGCTGCGCCATGCCGGGCGACGTCACGGTTCTTCTTTTCGTGCTGTCCATGTTGGCTTCTGACTGCTCTTCGTCTGACTCGTCACCTGAGACCTGTCTGCCATGGGAGACCCTACCAGGGGCATGAAGCCCCAGACAGCATAGCTCCCAGGATCATCCGAGTACTCAAACTCCCCCACCACGTTAAGGTGGCAGTCCAGGGGGGAGCTGCCACCTGTTGAGACAAATAACATGTATCATTTATGGGGGGGAAGTTAGGTGCCTCAGTTTTAAAGCAATTGCATCAAACTTTCGGGAGGTGAAAACTCATCTCCTGGATTCCATTCATGAGTCAGGTTTTTGGAGAGGCAATCCCACTAGAGACATACAGTCCCATCCAATGAAAAATGGTTTGCCTAAAACCTTACTGTGGGTTTAAAACACATTCTCGTTTGGAATGAGACATTGCTGTTCAATTGGTAAATCATGATTTCAGGTTGGAATACATAACTTTTGTTGTTGTCTCATAAATACATTGTGTTTGTCCCAACAGAAGGTAAATAATTGTGACAAATCACACCACAACATGCTGTCTTCATCTTATTCAAAAACCGTTTCTCTTTTACATACTGGAGCTGACTAAAAAAAATAAATGCATGTGAAAGTTAAAGATAAAAACATTTTTGATACCAGGAACTAGTTACACGGTATGTTGTTATAAAGGTAATTATTTTGTGGTTTCAAAGTAAGGGACTCCAGCTTTAAAAGTGATGTAAACAACTAAAATTATTGAAGTTTTAAAATAATGTATATTGCACTATTGTGAAGAGTAAGCATTTTTCAAAATGAAAAATGTTTCCCCCTCTCCCCTTTGCATAACTACGAACAGTGGGATTTGCTCGAGGAACCTGGTTACTCATGTGAAGAGCTGCGGGGGTGACCATTGGCGGGTCTTCAGAGTTTGAAAAGTAACGGACACTCACTTTAAGGCAGCCAATGTCCATCAAATCAACATAAATCTTGCCTAAAACAAGCAAATACATTTTTATTTTTGCCATTTATTGCAGAGTATAGATTCAGGAGCAGCATCTGCGCAGACACTTTTTGAAGTAGTTCCTGAACTCTGTGTTGAAGACGGTGTAGATGACCGGGTTCAGAGCGCTGTTCACATATCCCAGCCACGTGACGATGCTCATCAGCACCGGGGGGATGTTGCAGTCCACACAGCGAGCTCTCAACGTGTGGAGCACGAAGAACGGAGTCCAGCAAAACAAGAAGCAGCCTACAGGACAGAGACAGGACAATAATCAGTCATTATATCAACAACATGAAAAGTCCTGCTTCGTGAGTGCACAAGTCAAACCAAATAATCAAGTTTATTTATAAAGCAGAATTCATGCAGTTTAACAACTCAAAGACCCTGTGCTTCACAGAGTCATATGCACAGCTAAACAGGACAGTTTTCAGCCCTGACATACACATTCCCAGAGACTGTTCTAGATTTTAGCACCACATGACTTCCCATATTAACAGGACCAGACGGTGTCTCTGCCGCCTGAGACAATGCACTAGTGAGCTCACTCCCTTCTTCACAGAGATCTTCAGCACCTCCCTGGAGTCATGCCACATCCCGGCCTGCTTCAAGTCCTCCATTATTGTTTGTGTCCCTAAGAAGACCTGCATCACTGGACTTAATGTCCATCTCAGGTCCCTCACCCCCACCCTCCTGGACCCCCTGCAGTTCGCCTACAGAGCCAACAGATCTGTAGATCATGCCATAATCCTGGCCCTACACTTCCTTCTGCAGCATCTGGGCTCCCTGGAACCTAGGCCAGAGTCCTGTTTGTGGACATCTGCCATCAACACCATCCTGCCATCCCTGCTCCAGGACAAGCTCTCCCAGCTCAACGTGCCCGATTCCACCTGCAGGTGGATCACTGACTTCCTGATGGACAGGAAGCAGCGAGTGCGTCTGGGGAAGAATGTCTTGGACACTTTGAGTTCAACCACTGCACCTCCAGCAAGGCCGACATAACCCTAATTAGACTCATCTCTGACAACGATGAGTCCGCCTACAGGAGGGAGGTGGACCGGCTGGTGTCCTGGTGCAGTGGTAACAACCTGGAGCTGAATGCCCAGAACACAGTGGAGATTATTGTGGACTTCAGGAAGAGCACAGAGCAGTCTGTTACAGGAGTCTAACCTACTGGAGACAAATGCATGGCTGAGAGAAGTTTAAATATTTGGTTTTTTAATTTGTAATCAAGCTGTGCAATGCATTGCATTGAAAATACTTGTAATCAGATTACTCAAAAGTAATAACAGTGATAGTTACTGTATGTACTCAGATACCAGTTGTAAAGTGTATACTTTAAAGTAGCAATATGTAAGATTTACATGTCACGTCATCATTAAATGGCCCTAATATGTCAAAAGGAATTAACAAACAATGCTCTTTTCAAATAGTTCTTTAACTGATAAAAGTAGTTCAGCCGGGGTATTTGGATTTCAAAATGAGTTTTACAGCCCCTAAATTTTGTAATTGTTTTTATTCTCATGTCCTGCCCTCCACCGTTTTACCAATCAGAAAGTCTGTGATCCGGGTTGCCAGAACTCACCGCGTTGAGCTAATCTCACTGGTAAAGTAAAATGTGGTCTCAAATCATAAATAACAAAACAACGAATAAAACGAGGATTTCTATCTTTGTGAAAAAGGTGCTGGCTATAGATTTGTTGTTGACAAAACTAGATTTGTCTGCATATCTGGCATTCTTAGTCAGAGAGAGTGGGAGAGGTTGCAGTACCACTTTTGGCCAGATTTTTACATACTGCTCCTTTACATCTGTATGTTACACTGGTCCCGTTTTGCCCAAAGCAAAGTAGGTTCACAGGGGTCCATGCGAGAACACCTAATTACAAGGAGACCAGAGTAGACCGCTGGGAGTCGGGAAAAATGGACCGCTCAAATCTGCGGTGCTCAGGGGTCAAAGGATCACAGTAGTTTCCAAGTCCAGAGGGTCTTGAACTGCACCAAAAATGGGGTCAGTGGTGGTTTCTTTTTATGATAATGGTATTATGTCTCACACAGAGCTTTGAAATGTGCCAACACAATTTGCACTTCTGCTTCTTATATTTGACGCATGATCAAATATAAGAACCAGGAGTCCAGATTTTGGTTTCAAACGGCATGATGAAAAAAGGAATATCCATCCACTTTCTTCTCCTTAATCTATTTCTGGGTCGGGGGGGTGGCAGTCAGAGCTGCACCCAGTACACATAGCACCTGCCCCTCACTGATCCTCCTGCAGGTGGTGAGTCCACAGGAGCCTTGATCTTTCAGCGTGGCCTTTGGGCAAAGTGGGTTTAAGTGTCTTGCCCGAGGACACAACGACAGCAGACATCAGTGGGAGTCCTGAAGTAGGTCTCGTGGTGGGCTCGAACCCACAACCTTCTGGCTCAAAGGCCAATGCTCTACCAACTGAGCCACTGTCGCCCCATATAAGGAATAATGCTATAAAAAAACGTTGCTTTATAGCTACAAACACATGATAGCAATATTTTTGCGTATAAATCATAATCATTATTTTGAGTACCCAACTTTCAAACCACAAAATATCAAACTATGTCATTAAATCCATCCAACGGAAACAGTTGTCCTAGCTCTACTTTTCATGTGCATGTATGCTTTTTCAGACAGAAAAGTAAAAAAAAAAGAAGACCACCCTAACTCAGCCAATCAGCTCTCAGCCCAGAGCATCCAGTGGTGACTTAGAGGACTCTTTCTTTCAAACATGCAAAAGATGATATATTTTTAAGCAGCTATAAACAGCATGTTGTGGTATTTCAATTCATACAAAATAATGTATAGGTACCCCAGCTTTTATATAAGGATAGGATTATGGTTAGTTTTATTCTTAAACTTGTATATTATAGTTATGCAATGAACAATGGGCTCTATGCGCGCACCACTTCCACGTTTTAGCTAAAGCCCCACTTCACTTCCTGTTCGCGGGAAACAGCTTGAGTTTCACTGGAGTTCAGCAGTGGTTTACACGAGTTTCCCAAATAATGCTCAAACGGGAATTAAACTGTGAGGATACTGGTTTTTGGGACACAGCAGTGCTCTTTGATTGTGCTGTCATTGTGTTTTTATAAAGTTTATAAATCTCTCTGAGTGGCCACAGTCAAAGCTCTACCTCAGAGGGAAAGCACAGCGACACTTTTGGGTCAGTCTCACAGCTGAATGTATCAATCTAATCACTAAAAAACGTCACTAAAATCCACCTAAAAGCCAAAGGATAGGCAGGAAGTGAACGGGCTGATCTTTGTTAACAGGACATGACGTCACGCCTCCCCGTGCATTTAGCCCATTAGGTTGACCAATATTCAAACTTGAGTACTCTGAATGGACCATGCAAAAGAAAAAAAATCATTTTTGTTCAGGTATTTTCTGTAACGACTTGGAAATCTCCCCAACATTTTCTTTTGTGCTGAAATCACAAGCCTCTTCATCAGCCGGCATTACGTAACTTAAATTAATGAATGAGGGGACATCTTTGGCTGCTGCACCGCCTCTGTCCCCTTACTCGCACCTGCATCCCCTCACTCAGGTACAAAGTCTCCTGGGTTTTCTCTCCTGATTGGATTTAGATTAGCTCATCAGATTAGAGATGTGTGCTAAAGGGAAGCACTTCTCCGCATTAAGGCAGACGCCGCGCTAAATATAGAGCAGTGTGCACCGGGACCTCAGCCTGTGTCTGAGGGACCAGCGTGCAGGAGAGTTACAACCAGGCATGGCGAGATTATTAGGTCAGTCTTTATCTGTGACTGTTAAAGTCAGAATATAGTAAAAAACAAACCTTTTTTAGCAAACTGGCTTGAACTGGTCTGCGAGTACATGTGTTTGTGTCTCTTGGGCTGAGAGATGTTTGGCTGAGTGAGAGTAGTCCAGTCTTATCCACTTTTCTGTTTGAAAAAGCTGATCTAAAGATGTGACAGAGGCCAAAAATAATACATACATGTGAAAACTAGTGATAGAACTGAACATTTTTGACAGAGCTGAAGTGGATTTCTAACATGATCTATTTAGTTATGGTTTGAAATTGAAGTAGCCCAGCTTTAAAGATGGAGCACAACTGGCTATCTTTTGCATACTTATTAAAAAAGAGCCCTGTGCGTCACTATTTGACTCTTTGGCCTGAGAACTGAGTTAGGGTGGTCCTCTCGTTTTAATTTATCTGTCTGAAAAAGCAGTTCCTAGAGGCCAAAAGTACATGCCTTTCTGTGTGGAGTCTGCATGTTCTCCCTGTGTCCTTGTAGGTTTCCTGGATGGTGATGATCAGAGGTTTTGATGCTCCAGTGTGTTTGGCTTTTGTAATCACCGCGAGTGGAATGAATGGAATACACTCGCCCCCCCCAAAAACGCTGTAAAGCACTTTGGGATGACCTTGTTCTGTTTTACGAGCTAGCAATGACATAGTAAACATTTGTTGGTGGTTTGAAAGTTAGATACCCCAGCTTCAAGCATAACTCATTGATTTATGGATACATTGCTGAACTCATGCTGCCTCTATATCTGGCATAATAAAAAATAAACAGAGTGGTCTCTTAAATGGGTTGTTAGGTTGAGTGCAGCGGCCTCCAGGGTAGAGAGAATGTGGGCTGATGGTTGTACCTGTTCGACCTTGATTCAAAACAAAAGGGGGTTTGGGTTTTGGGGTTCTGGGATGAAACGGTGCAGAATTAAACTAAAATTCCCAGAACTCATAAAGGTGTGTTCTCTAATGAATAATAAAAGAAAACAGAAGCAAAACAATCATAGATGCTCACAAATAAACTAATTTAAGGTTTCCTGATATTTATCCAAATTTGTTCTGTCCTACAGGTTGCAAACTATCCCTTTGTAAATCACTTTAGTATATAATCAATAATAATTATACTAATGCATTGCTTTTTTGGACACTCACAGACATTCACGCCATAGATGGTGGTAGTGGTTTCAAACTACTGTTGTAGCCACAGCTGCCCTGGGGCACACTGACAGAAGTGAGGGAACCAGTATGTGCCATCCGGCCCTTTGAAAACCACCAATCATTCACACACACACCAAACTCATTCTGGTCAATGTAGGTCAAGTGTGTTGACTAAGGACACAACAGCAGTTTGGCAGTTTACAGCCACAGTCACCCCACTGCAATACCTGCTGTTCACAGAGGTCTCCCATCCATAGACTGTATATATTAACTGACAAAGTTACGCCTATCTCCGCCGTTCTAATGGGCCAAAAAATTTGCTCTACTGGAGCTATCCAAAATGGCCGCGAGTGGTCCCGCCCACAAGAAATTTGTGAAAAAACGCATCTGCGCAACGAGAGACTTTAAAAACTCACAGCGAGTAAATTAGAGTGGTCCAAAAAAATCCACCCCCCTCAGCATTGACACACATGTGGAACGGAGCTTTAGGCCAAGAGCCAACATTTGGTCCATCCTGTAAAGACGTTTTTGAGAGGTCTGCCAATGCTATATGTTAGCATTGGCTAATTCTACTTCTGGGTCCACCCCCATCGGCCCGGGGTGGTATTGCAAGCATGTCAGCGCACGTCATTTTGGCCACTTTTGAGCCGGGACCCGCCCCCACTGCTCCCATCACAGTACTAACCAGGCCTTGTCCTGCAAACAGTAGCTTCAGAAATCTGGCGCATGCAAGTATGGCATGTTCTTCTCATGAGGAAACACAGGAAGTGCGTGGCTAATGTGGTTTGCTGCAGACAGCCTTATCATTATTGTGAAAGTTTTGTGACGTGTTTGGACCCACGTTGACTTTTTACCACGGGAAAAACTAGAACATGTCAAAAATAAAAGGTCTAAACACATTTCAGACAGTTATGAGGAAAGTACCTAGGACCAGATGAAAACAGATTATAACGGACTACGGCGGGTTTATGACTGAAACCTGCTCTCTGAATTACTAAAAGCATTTAAAAAAGAAGTGATGGATGCTTTGACTGCTGCTAGTTAAAATTCACGATTTAAAGCTGCACTAACTGACTTTATTTTCGTATTCATTACGAAAATGCTATCCATATCCATGTAGTGCATTGGGATATACGTCCTTTTGAAGAATAATTAGCGCAGATTTGTGCTGGCGTGACATTATATTTTAGATTGAGTTTTGATGAAACAAGGAAGAGATGTGTTTCGGGTCGCAGATTGTGACCAATCACAGCGGACCACTGGCCCCCACTTTCGTGAGAAATCTACAGGTCCGTTAACATAGACGGCTAAGTTAGCACAACAAGCGGCGGAGCTAACGTGAAACTTCCTCGTCTTCGTCACCGGTTACTGCTTACACAGCGAGACAGCCATCCAAAAGAAAGTCTCGTTCCTCCGCTCTTCCCGGTTCTATCGTTCTATGGTCACGCCATCCACGTGCAAATCCATATCCATGTATTATCCATATCGGGAGACGCTAGCTCCGTCCCAACAGTGGGTGTGTGTGGGGGGCGATAGCTTCGTGGGTGCGGGGAGGGGAGCAGAAAGAGAGAGGCCAGCGAGTCCGCTGCTTCAAAATCCCAAAGTCAGTTTGTGCAGCTAATATTTTAAGACAACAAAGTGTTTATAGGGCGCTTAAAGAACAAATTAAACACAATCCCAGTAGTTGTTTTGGAATTGAATGTTTTCAAACATGAAATACTTTTAAGTACAAAAGATGGATAAACATGGGAAAGAGAGAGAACTAGTGCCCACACTACCGGCTGCTGTGGGAATTGGCATTCAGCAAAATTTACATCCAACATGACCTGGGCTAACTGAAGGCAAAATTTAGAGGTAAAAAATTACGTCGATCCATGACATCATATTCTAAGGATAAGTCATAGTGTCCTAAGAATGGAAAAAGGAGTATTTGGACAGATGGGGCGGGGAGACCGTGTTTGTGCCAATTTTTACCACCTCATATTAATTAGCATGCTTTGCTAATAACTGAATCTATTCCATGTTGCTCCCGAACCTGATCACTCTGGTTCCAGTCTAAATGCTGGTGCTTTATCCGGGCATCTCGTAGATTTTTACTTTCAAGCTTTTGAACCGCAATTGTAAATTAAAAGACACATCTTTTGCAAATATAATCATGCAACATTGGTTTACTTAATGCATTTCACTTTTGAACCTGCTCAACTGCATGTATTCACAAGACATTACATTTGTGTAGCACCATAAAAGCAGCATGTTTTCAAGTTTTGCTTTTGCCTCACACTGTACTTTTCCACTAATGTGGCATGTACTGTACATATACAAATACATTAATTTTCCTATGCTCTTAAAAGTACCAGCTGGTCATGGTTTTCATGGTTAGAAAGAATAAAGCATAAAGTAGGGCTGGGCAATAAATTGAATTCAAGCATTTAATTGCCTTTTGAAAAAAAAAAAAATTGTGAAAAATGTGAAAATTGTGAAATTGAATGAAGGATATTGTGAGAGTTCAAGCAGCACATGAAGTATATTTGCAATATCAGCACAGTCTGTACAAGATACGTACTGGGGGAAACAAATTAAAAATAGTTTTGAAACTTGAATATTGAGCGGAAATATCAAAAAATATTTTTAAGGGCAAAGTCTGTCTTCGGTGACTTTAATGAAAATCGATTTAGAATAGAAATCGTCCAAAGCGAGATCTTACTTTTTTGCCATATCGCCCAGCCCTAGCATAAAGTATCGAGGTATTTTTCTGTTTTTTCACACCTCAATCATGTCTTAATAAATTAACTGGAATACACAATGTGGATGGAGCTGAAAACAACTCCAGGTCTCTTTTTGAAGAGAGTTATAACATGGCTCAGAACAACTCAATAATAATTTAACTTCTTCAAAAAGCACAAACTTACCCACTACCACTGGCAGCACCTTCATGGCTTTCCTTTCTCTATTGTTTATCTTTGCTGTTTTCCTCCTGCGCGGATCTGGATCAAATTTGATTTCGGCCAGACTCACAGCTCTCATGCGACCGTCTGAGAACTCCGACGGGGCCAGAACTTTGTCCACACGATCCTCCGGCCCAGTCTCCAGCATCTCCCTCTCAATAATCGGCGGCAAAAGTGGCGGTAACGACGCAAGCGGAGGCAAAGACGCAGCCGCCTCTTGCAGCTTCCTACACGCCTGGATACTGTCTCGTAATTTGGCTTTCCGCGCCTCTTCCCAGCGCCGTAGTCCACGAAACATGGCGCAGTAAAGCAGCAGCATGATGGGACATGGAATGAAGAACGAGCAGACGGAGGAGTAGAGTACGTAATCGTCGTTTTCGAGCTTGCATTCGCCCGGGTCGCGGTTTGGAACGTCGTTGAGTCCAAACATGATCGGAGAAGCCACGGCCAAAGCCAAGATCCAGGTGGCGGACAGCAGCACGGTCTGGCGCAGGTCCACGTGTTTGCGGTTGTAGTTGAGAGGGATGGAGACGGCGATGAACCTGTGAGCAAATACATAAAAGAAATAGAAAGGCTGGGTTACCTGTGTTTTTGTTTCATGAATAACACAGAAAGTGACATAAGTAGAACATATGACATGACAAGTACAGTAAGTAAGAGATATTACATCCTGCTTGATTTACATTTAAATCCAACGTGGCGTGGTCTAACTGAGGGCATGCAATTCCAATCTTTGAAAGTAAAATGTTTTGAGCAAATCAGGCCACAACTTGCTGTCTGAGTCTTGTTAAAAAACATGTTTGTATCTTTGCATATGTCAAAGAAAGATCCCCGTTAATCACTACTTGACTGGTCCCTCTATTTAATGCTTTTGTCTGAAAAAGCTGCTTTAAAGATGCATAGAGCTAAGAAAATACATGCATGTGGAAACTGGTGATAGATATTGTGTTGAAAGCAAGGAACTAGTTAGATGGAGTCATTATATTGTTAATTTTTTTTTTTTTTTTTTAGAAAATCCTGTTTAACTAGTGAAGATACTATTCAAAATAACTTCCATGTGTTAGTAATTAAGTTTAAAGAAGTTATTGATAAATCATGACAGGGATGTCAGAATAAAAAGCCGATTAGATGGCAGAAATAACACGTTTCTGAGCGACACAATATAAGACAGAACACAAGTTTTCAACAATCAATCAAAAAACCACTGTCATTCGGTTCTGCTCAGCCTAGGTCAGTTTAAAAGAGTCAACGGTCCAACGGGACTTGCAAACATCAATGAAACATCTAAATGAATTGAGTAAATTCTCACTTGAAAGTAGAAAAAAATTCTACTGTATGCAAAAGAAGACATGTTTTGCAGGTTCCATTCGCTCTTTTTTTTAACTTAAGCCAAGAAAACAATGACTTGATTCTAAAATTTACTGGCTCATATTTGAATATTGTTGGCTGTGAACATGGATTGCGGGAGGAATTATATAGTTTGGAGGGCCTGCTTTGGAGCCGAGTTGAATAGGCCTAGTGTAGACCATGTACTGTAAGTCCATGTTTAACAAATATTTATCTATTGAAACAGTAGGTCATGTACTTTAACTAGTGATGAACTATACACATAAACAAGACACCAATGCATCTTTCTCTGGTCCTGATACAGCCCTGTAGCAGAACTACATAATGTAAGTGCAATGATCCCTGGACCCTCCTCATACAAGTGTGAAGGCTGAGCTGTGATGTCACTGTCACCTCATCTGCCCTTTGCTCTCTCAAACCATGACTTTTATAAATAATATTCAGAAAGCCTCCATATCTGCAGTCATCAGTCTGAGTGCGGCACCCAAAGGTCATTGTATGGCGGTGTATCGACAGGAAAGGTCCCATATCACCTGGAGAGTGACAAGAGTGAGTTATGGACGTTCTCTGTCCTGCTCTCCTCCATCACAACTGTCTCTTTATAAAACATAAATCTGCGTCGGGACATCCCAACTGGAAAAAAGGGCAGGATCATCTCGTATCACAGGTTCAGCTCAGACTAAGGACGTGCACATACGTTTAATGGGTCTCATCCATAACGCAGTATAACTAATAAATCTGTCCCATAGACTGGAAATAGGCAGACATTGCTAAAGCCTTAGCTCAGTGAAGCCCAGTAGGGAGGTGCTCATGGCCTCAACTCACTCTGGTTCCTTTTGATTTACATTGAAGAGTCAACTTCTCGAGCTCAGTAACCGTTTGTGTCACGCTCCCCATTTTAAAAATCCATGGTTTGGTACTCGATGATCCTGATGTTTATGTTGTGATATTTTCTTTGTTAATCCAGATATGAGCCCTAACAACTGACCAATCAGAAGCCTTCTGTCACCAAATTTGGCTTAAGCTTGCGAGTTACGCGAGTGGGGACAGAGGACCAGTCTGCTCCTGATTGGCACTTGGCAACTCAGATGCTGCTACCAACGAAATTTGCATAAATATGGCTCCACATTCCTGCTCCTGCTCAAGCTCGCTCTAATCACCCTCTCCCGCATTACGGCTAACACGATGGGTGACACCAGTTCACGGTCTGTGATCCGTCCTGAAAAATATATTCTCATAATTTTTGTTTTGTTTATACGAGAGAAAAAACGTAACCAGAGTTCCAGAATATAATTTCCTTTGACAACAAACAAAGTTTTTATGTATAACAAGACTTTTATCCAAAATTTGCCATTGGGTCAATAGAAATATTTTAATGGATCTAAAACAGTCGAGGAAAAAAAATTACACAAAGTAATTTTACACATAACTCCTGGTTTCTTCTGCATTTTATCTCTCCCTCGCTTTTATGTGATTTACTGCAACTGCACAAATCTTTTGTAATATAACATGAACATGGTGTTCAAAGCTTTCATGTGTCATTTTTAGTGTGACAATACAAAAAATGTAAACAATTTTTTCAAGAACCACCTATTGTGTTTGCCCATTGTTGGAGGGAATGCAAAATACAACACATTCTGTATGACATTTATCTGTGAAGGAAACACAAAATGGGCAGACAGTGGCTCAGTTGGTAGAGCATTGGCCTTTGAGCCTGTGGGTTGTGGGTTCGAACCCACCACGAGACCTACTTCATGACTCCCACTGATGTCTGCTGTCCTTGGGCAAGACACTTAACCCCATTTTTCCTGAAGATCAAGGCTCCTGTGGACTCACCACCTGCAGGAGGATCAGTGAGGGGCTGGTGCTAAGTGTACTGGGTGCAGCTCTGGCTGCCACCCTCCGACCCAGAAATGGATTGAGGGGAAGAAAATGGATGGATGGTAATACAAAATGTTATAAAATGATCTGACGAAGGCTAAGACCGAAACTTAATAAATACTAGATCTTTTGGACATCTATCCGAGTGTGCTGTGTATTTTCCAATACAATACAAAATGTTATGACAAACCACATGGATTCTTTATAGGAAAAAGATACCTCAGCTTTAATTGGTCTTGGTCCAACCCTCAGCCCTGTATAAAAGAGGGGGCAGCTAACTTTCAAACCAAACTTTAGTTCTATCCCTAGTTTTCAAATGCATGTCCTTTTTCAGACACATGAAAAAGTGAATAAAAGAGACCAAAGACCACTCTTACGCAGCCAAACATCTCTCAGCCCAAAGAATCAATGAATGACTCACCGGGCTCTTTCTAACAAGTTTGGAGCCTAGTGATGGAAGATAAACACTTTTAATAAGATAGTCAGCATGTTATGGTCAGATTTGTTCTCAAAATATAACATTTTCTCTGCTGGGACAAACACATTTATAAGGAATATAAAGTTATGTTCCCCAACCTTAAGTCCTGGTTTTGTCTAGTTTAGTCCAGTCTTTTGTGTAGTCCTGGATCAGACCTGTCAACGCTGATGGCGCAAAGGTTAAAGATGGAGGCGGTACACAGCATTACATCCATCGTCATGAGGCAGTCACATAGAGTGGTGTTCAGGGTCCACACGCCGTCCTCAAACTGCAACAAACCACAGAAAATCATAAAATCTGTCTGTAGTGAGAAAGGAATGATGTCATTGTGAAAAGGTGAATTATTTAAATATATTTGGAACATTTCAGTATTTATTTAAAATTTACTTAAAATGACGTCAGCACTTGTTCAGTCCCCTCCTGCATGATTTATGGAAGGCATATTGTACAAAATTGACTTGTTTGGGCTTTTAACCATGTTAAAAGTGGCTTTCTCATTAAAAACAGACCTGGAGTTGTTTTAAGATCCATCCATGCTAATATCAGGAGCTGCTGGAACAAACATGGGACTCCACTACTTCTGTCTAAAAGCTCCTGTCTCATTCCTGTATTAGTATGATGTCATCACATGACTCAGGGCACATTTACTTTTAAATCAAAAATATTTCCCATAAATTTCTAGTTTTGGCCATGTCTCGGGTGAATCTGTATTCTTTATAAAATGCCTTTGCTTCAATTATTGTTAATTTTGGAAAAAACAAAGACAAATTGCACTCCTGCCTCTGGTGGTAGCATATGGAGCACACATGCTGAAGTATTGTTTATACCATCATAATGAATATATTATTTCACATTCTAACAAATGAAACAGCAAAATGATCAAAAATATTGCGTAACATGTCTTCTTTGAACCATACTGAGAGACATTTCAAGCAAAGCAATACCGTCAATAACATCAGCCCTTTTAAGCTGGGCCATCATCAGGAAAACTGAGAAATTCCCCTTTAAAGAAACCTGTTTGCAAATTTCAATATTTCATACTTTGGTTTTGGGAACAGAAACTAATTAAAAATAACAAGGTATGCACTGATGAAGGTGAAGGTTAAAGCAGGAGATTGAAGCACGAAAGGAGAGGGCTCACACAAACAGCCTGAGTAGAATGAGAAAGAGGAAAACAATTATGTTGATTTTTGCTCAATAACAGGTATTTTTTAATATTCCCATTTTCTCTGGAGCCTCCATGTAGGAGGAATCTAAGATATCTGACAAACCGGATAGTGTTCATCTCTGTTTCTGCTGAGTCTAATTTAGGCTGAAAAAAACTGCAGATCCAAATCATGAGTGAGCCGCCCGCTGGCTGTCGGCCTACTGTCCACTGCGCATGATAATGTCGAGATAATGAAGGCAATCAAAAGTTATGGTGAGGTTCATAATCTATAGTTAACTGTAACTTTTACTTGGACTTTAGACGGGTTGGGTCGTTAGATGTTTTTACATCACAATTCTGAAATGATGACATACATTTCAAATAATTACTTTATTTTCACTTTAATGTGATTTATTGTTCTAAAATTTGTGGAATGGGGGAGATTAAACAGCTTCAAATGTCTTTAGAATTGTGAAGAAAAGGAAAGTATGAATAAGGAGGGATCTTTCTCAGACTTGTTGGTCAAGGATCAACACTTGGAGCCAACTGGGAGCCAATTTGTCCAGCACTGCGCCTGACTTTATGTTTGACTTTCTTTCATGACATCGTTTCAGATCAATTTGATGATTTCAAATGTATTAAATAGATAAAGTGAGCATTGGGTGTCATATCCTCACTGTATCACAGGCAGAAGCATGTTAAGTCTTCTTAAGGAGACATATCATGAAAACATGTAACATGTCATTGTACCACTACGACCAAAAACTCAGTGATCACAGAAATCTGCCCCTAATAAAGTTCTCGCTCTATGCAATTGCAAGGCTGTGCTTGCAAATGGTAATTTTCAAATTAGGAAAAAAACAAACTTTGGTAAAAGTGTACTTCTCCCTCCGGTGGGGGCACAGAGAGTTCTAGGCTCTTCACCATATTTTTTTTTCTTGAGATATCTTTTCACATTATAAAACATGAAATGACAGTCTTAGTAAATGGTCTTGTATCTATTTTAATGGCCAGAAATGTATAATATGCTTTATTTTTCCCAATTAGCAATAAGTGAAACAATAGACAAATCCTATGGGTCGAACTTTGAGGTGGAATTCAAGAACTCTGTATGAGATCTAACCTTAAACTCCACAATATTGTTTCTGTACATATGATGGTATAGTCATAGATGGAGCAAAGTGACCCCCCAGGTTGCATGAGATCTTACAACAAAAGCGGATGTAATTACGACGGACTGAAATGTGTGCATATTTGACCTGTGCCCTCTCCATGTTTGGGGTATTTTGTCGCTGAGGGGCCTCCATGTGAACTTTAAACCCACAGAGAAATTCCATCACTGTCCTTTTTCATTAGGGGACAAAAAAAAGTATTTACTCATTTACTCAATTTTCAGAGTGGAGCCAGCGAGGCGTGCTTTATTGGCCAATTGGGTTATAAGTTCACAGACAGGGAAAAGACTCGGCGCACGTATGTTTTGGTACCACTTGGTGTGAGCTCAGTGTGCAGACAATGGAGCCATTGTGAATACGACAGCCATAAACATTTGCTTTGTATGTGACATAGGATTACAATATGTCACAAATATAGTTGAAAAAACACCTAGCTTACACTGCAAAAAGTAATGAAAAATGACTCAAAGATTTCTCAAATTTGGCAAAATATATCTTAATATGAGGACATTTTGACGCCTTAAATCAAGATATGCATTTGAAAGGGACAAGCAAAATGAAATGTCTCCCTTGGAATGAGAAAATAAAGCAGCAGTTCTTGAAATAAGACTAAGTTGCTTTTCCTATTAGAAAATCTTGTTTTAAGAGAGTCAGAATGTACTGAAATTTAGACAAAAACCACTCAAAAGCAATTCTTTCCTCACATTTGATCACGTTTTGCAGTGCAGTCCCTCCCTGTCAAACAGTTCATCACATCTTTAGATCAGCTTTTGACAGACCGAAAAGTGAAAAATAAAGGACCAACGTCACTCAGCCAATCAGCCCTCAGCCCAAAGAGTCAACGAGTGACTTATAGGACTCTTTCTAGTAAACAAATAATTGCATGTTTTCCATAAGGTTAGGACAGCATGTTGTGGTCTCATGTGGCCGATGTTTCTGTTGGGACAAACATTTATTAAACTAAATTAGGTAGGTAACCCAGCTTTAATGGATAATATTGTTGACAAAATCTGTATACAGGCCAACACATACAAACTTGTGAAAACTAGAGATAGAATCAACTGTTGTGAGAGCAAGGATTGTATGACATGGTTCAGTTTGTTGTGCTTTCAGAGTTAGGTGCCTAAGATTTAGGAGGTTTTGATGAAGCGTTCATCACCTGCTTAAGAACAAAAACACTTTTCTGGAAAAGTGATTGGACAGCCACAACACAGACACTTTTATCTTATTTTATCTTATTTTAAAGCGCAAGTGTTTAGAGGCAGCTTTGTCCCAGCAACCGTTGTCTTGATAAATAAAATATCTTGGCACAAATTAAATGAAAAATGCACAGTGTTTTTGTCCCTTGCATGATTGTTGATGCCTCTTAAAAGTCATTACAAACCTGATTTACAGATATGAATAAAGAAACCTTACAACAATGTTATTGCCTTCAGCAATGTTCTTCCCTTTAGTTGACCTTTAGGAATAGATTTGGGGCTTATTTCCATGGATATTGCAACTTGTTGTTTTACCTGGAATGACTATTCCAGGTAAAACAACAACATCTAGAGAGCGAAGTGTCTGCGCCGTGAGGAGTGAGCAGGTGTTATGTTGGAAAGGGGCTTTAAAAGATCAATCGTTCAAACACAAATGACAGAGACTTTATGGAGACGTTATGAAGGTAAACAGATGAGCTGCAGGCGTTTTTCTATGTTCAATTTAGAAGTTTGGGAACTATAGAAGAAAGTCTGGACATAAGAGGAGAGGGAGAGAGTATTGAAATAAGATACTGAGGTTTACGGGAAAATGTACATTGATTTATGGATGAGCAGAAACCCTCACAATCAATCACTTCTTTGGAAATAAAAAGACAAAGAGAATAGATAAACAAAAGAACAAGAAAGAGAGGGCCCTTTTCCAGGACAGATGGGTCAAGTTGGTAAGCTAGCTCAGATGTATACGTTTCCAAAATGAAAAATACTCTTTAGTTTTGCTGTCAGTCAGCAGCAGTTTGTCATGTCTCTGCAGCTCTGCTTTTGTACAAGTCTCTGCATGGCCTTGCACTAAAGTACATCTGTGCCATATGAACCAACTCACGGAGCACAGGGACTGGCCTCCTGCTGGGACTGTATGAGGCACAAGGACCTTGTGGGCCAAGGAACACAGGGACTGGCCTCCAGCTGTTGTCCTGAGTCAGGACTAAACATAAGATAAGTTCAGATAAGCATGCAGTCAACACTACATATCAGCTAAAACCTGAAATTGTCTTCCTGAAAACGCAGGTTCAAAGTCAGGTTCAAAACAGTTGTTCATCTGTGGGTGCAGCAGCTCATACTAAAGTACTTTGAGTTGCCTTGTCGTCATCACTACAGTTAGAATCAGAGGCAACAACAACATTATGTCTTGTGCTGTGATCTACTGCCTGTGGCTTCAGTGACTTGAGTCTCAATAATGACATCAGTCCTGAAGGTCATAAAGTGATAGTGCAGGTGGTCTATTCCCTCTCGCCCTTTGACCGCGTGTAAGCGCCTTAGTGCCGGTGCCACGCGCACTCACCTCTGAATACACAAACAGCGGCAGCACGAGCACCGCGAGCATCAGGTCCGCCACCGCGAGGCTCACAATGAAGTAGTTGGTGGTGGTTTTGAGGGCGCGCTCCGTGAACACGCTCACGCACACGAGAAGGTTCCCGCAGATGATGACGATAATGAGCAGCACCCCGAACACGAGCGCGGCCACATTATGACCGCTCAACGCGCGCTCCCCCGCGGTCCCGTTAACCACCATCTCCCCCGCAGCTCCTCCACCTCCTCATCAGGTCCAGCCCGCGCCCGGTGCCGCCATGGCGTCCTTGGAGTCCCGGGACAGGGCTTGGCGCGCGCTTTGGCTGTGCGTAAAGGGCAGAGAGAACCAGAAGCGCGCTCCAAACTCATGCAGTCATCGCTAAACTAAATTATCCTGAAGAAAAAAACAACACAAAACTCTTTAAGACGAGACAAAACGAAGTCTTGGGGCAGAATGTCTTCGTCCCAAGTTATCACCAGTCGCGTAAAAGGGCACCGCAGCCAAATTAACTGATTAAAGCCGCTTATGAGCTGCGCGCTACGGTGTCCTGGTCAGCGCGAGCCGCGTACGTCCATCTGTCCGCGTGTCTGATCTTCGTGCACGCGCCAGAGAGAGAGAGAAAGGGCACAAGGCTCCAAAGTGAAAGGAACAAGTTTTCCAATCAGAGACACGTTGTTGTCCTACATTATATAGACAGGAGGAGTTTCAAAAGTGCATTTAATTCTTGAATAAAGAGCACGCAGTCAAAGCAGAAGGGAGAGAAGTACAAACGTCCACATAGCGGGTATCTAACGTTATCCCATCAATGTGGGAATGTAGAGCTTTGTGCCAAAATGTGTCTTCGTCTAAATTAATTTGAACTATACGAAGTCATTGCCTCGTTGAGCTCCTCTGTCTGTTCTGGGAGATATATCAATATACTGTACATTAATCACAATGAGATATATCAAGCCTTTATTTGTCATAATGTTGATAATTGGTTCACAGCTTGTAAAAACACAAATAAAACATATCAAAACATTTGAATATCTTGAAAATGGATTGTAAGCCATAACCATCAAAATTTTAGAAAATAAAGGCTTGGCATATGTCATGTACGCGTCATGTGGTTTCACACGGATTACAGAAAGATTCTAATTTTCTGAGTTTCACCTGCATTTCATGAAAATGTTTTATTTTAACCATCTGTAAGTAAGACGTGTGCGGGAATCATTCTCATATTTTAACTGTCTAAAATGTGCATGGACAATATAGGTTAATTACTTATCTGCTTATCAAGTCTGGTTTGTCAGTATATGGCACATTCAGATTTGTTTGATTTTATTACATCAAAAATAATCCAAAAGTAACATTCAGTGAACTCTGTGGTGTCATCAGGGTTATCTAGGTACATTTTTGTACAAGTCCAGTATTGATTAAAGTTTGAGGCAACACCTTCACTCCACCACCTCCTCAACTCTGCTTGTAATTGTTGTTTTCCAAAATGACTTTTTGCACTTGGCGTAACCAGCCCAAACATCTAGACCTGCTTAAAATGTGGAATTGGGGCACTGAGAAAGCTCAACGAGTTTCATAAGTTATGATTATAGGTAACAGCCTGATTCAATCAGCTTAACTGGGACAATACATATTTTCACAGTTTGACCTGAAATACAATGTATGTAAATATATTTATGTGATTTTACAATTTATTTTTTTGGTGGTTACATCTACATATTTTGAATGTGTCCCTTTATGGTTTAACATTTTAAAGTGGAGTCATTCTTAATCAAAAACATAATAAAGATGATAAAGGTATGTTTATTTTAAATTACCAGTTTGTATCTTTTTTTGAATAGCAAAATCTTTAAAAATTAGGATCACACATATTTTATTAAAACCAGATCCAAAAATACGTAGTCATACATAATACACAGACTTTGTTCTGTTTCTAACTAAACCCCAGTAGGTGGATTACATGAGGAATCTTTGCTACATGTGTCAAAGTTGTGAAGATTTTGGCAACAAGTTTCCTTTAATAATACCTTTATTAGACCACTAAGAGTTTCCATTTTTTGTCCCAAGAAGAATCTTGTTTGAGTAATATTTTGTGATCAAATCCGACCAAAAAATGCGTATTAGAATATTATTAGAAAATTTGACATATTTTACATTCTGAGAGCTAAATGGCTGAGTGAAGGCTGATACTCTCTTTTTTCACTGATAAAACTGATCTTAGAGATGTGACACATGCATCTGACACCTGCTGATAGAACCAAACTGTTTTAGAACCAGGAACAAGTGACTTTGATTGTACTAAAAAGTGAATATTTTTTGTGGTTTCAAAGTTAGGTACCTCAGCTTGAAAGATGTATTGTGAAACTTTCCTGATGGGATCTACTCACAGCTTGTTGCCGTACAGATATTTGCTTGACAAAATAACAACATGTAACAAGAATATTATGAGTTTTTTTTATTTTCTATTTTTTTATCAGAACTGGAATCAATATAGAACCTATTAACAAGAAGGTTAATGACGTTAATTGCTTTGGTCTTCCCAGTCACATGCAAGAGTTCACATCGCTGCCCTCTGAGGATAATTCAGAATGACCTGGTGTTGATCTAACTCACGACCGGCCCCTGGTGACCCCGTTCTAACCCCAGGAAGCTTCACATTCTGAGGATTAACGCATTCTGACCAAAAAAAAACATTCCTCTGGTTCTACAGTATGACCCATGTGTCCTTATACGGACGTCCTGTGAAACTATGTGTGATTTTTCCTTTCATCTGCTTTTCCTCCACCACCTTCTCACATCCTCCTTTTCCAGATTTACTTTGATAATACTTGTACTAGAAGGGCACATATTGTGAAAATAGGCTCATACAATACAATTACAGTGCCTTGCGAAAGTATTCGGCCCCCTTGAACCTTTCAACATTTTGCCACATTTCAGTCTTCAAACATAAAGATATAAAATTTAAATTTTTTGTCATGAATCAACAACAAGTGGGACACAATCGTGAAGTGGAACGAAATTTAAATCTGGCCTTTATGGAAGAGTGGCCATTTCTCAAAGATATCCAATAAAAGTCTCTTAAAGTTTGCCACAAGCCACCTGGGAGACACACCAAACATGTGGAAGAAGGTGCTCTGGTCAGATGAAACCAAAATCAAACTTTTTGGCCACAATGCAAAACGATATGATTGGCGTAAAAGCAACACAGCTCATCACCCTGAACACACCATCCCCACCTCAGCTGTAGTTATCTGCAGTTCATCCAGAGCGATCATGGGCCTCTTGGCTGCATCTCTGACCAGTCTTCTCTTTGTTTGAGATGAAAGTTTGGAGGGACGGCCGGAGATTTGCAGTGGTCTGATACTCCTTCCATTTCAATATAATTGCTTGCACAGTGCTCCTTGAGATGTTTAAAGCTTGGGAAATCTTTTTGTATCCAAATCCGGCTTTAAACTTGGTGTGTTCCTTTGTCTTCATGGTTCTCTCTGCGCTTTAAACAGAACCCTGAGACTATCAAAGAGCAGGTGCATTTATACGGAGACTTGATTACACACAGGTGCATTCTATTTATCATCATCAGTCATTTAGGACAACATTGGATCATTCAAAGATCCTCACTGAACTTCTGGACTGAGTTTGCTGCACTGAATGTAAAGGGGCCCAATAATATTGCACGCCCCACTTTTCAGTTTTTTATTTGTTAAAAAAGTTTAAATTATCCAACAAATTTCATTCCACTTCACGATTGTGTCCCACTTGTTGTTGATTCATGACAAAAAATTAAAATTTTTATGTTTGAAGCCTGAAATAAGGCAAAATGTGGGGCCGAATACTTTCGCAAGGCACTGTATTCCTTTAGGATTATGGAATTGTATGGTTTTTAAATAAATGCAACATGTGTAAGTGTACTTTATCTCAGTGAGTGAGGAATTTGAAATGTGATGTTCCTTGCTGCAGCGACTTCACTACGATAAAGTGTCAATTCACCTGAGGGCCGGTCAAGTCTCTCAAGGTCAGACAATTCACCTGAGGGCCGGTCAAATCTCTCAAGGTCAGACTTCCCTCTCCACACACACTTCCTCCTGCTCATTTGGGGGAATCCTAAGCAGTTCACAGTCCCTCCACCGTGCCCTGGGTCTTCCCGGTACAACTACACAAAACAAATGCCTGAGCAACCTCAACTGGCTCCTATCGGCGTGGAGAAGGAGCGGCTCTACTCCGAGCACCCAACCCTATCTCTAAGCTACTCCATGGAGTAAACTCATGTGGACGACTTGTATCCGCGATCTCGTACTTTCGGTCATTACCCAAAGTTCATCACCATAGGTGAGGGAGAGGATGTAGATCGACCACTTCACATCAGTCTGATACAGCGGGCACATCACATACAGTGCCTATATTATCATTATTCCACGACATGCCAGTGAAGAAGTAGGAAAGAATAAAGCCCAATTTGGGTACGTCACAACCACATTAGTGTACTAGTGCCACAAGTTGAGAAATACCTCTTAAAAAACTCCAAGGTTCACACCTTTGGAAAACCCTAACCCTTAATGTAGCTGATTTTATTGAAAGAATCTGGTCTGGGATAAGTGACTTAGTATCAATTCACTGTAATTTTGTCTCCATTAACCACAGTTGTCAACACAAAATTAACAATTACACGCTTACAACATTAGAACAACCGAGACAAATATTTTTTGTGAAGCTCTATCCACTTTTATACAAGTGGTCCCTGTGGCCAGTCCATGAATAAATGAAAGAGGGGATATCACTTCAGTGTTTTAAAAGTGTGTCACCTCAGCTGTTCTGGGATCAGTGAAGGACATTTAACCAGAAATATGAGCCTGAACTTCACCCTCTGAAGGACAGTGTACATGTAAACAACCGCTTCAGCCTACGCAACTCAGATCATACATTAGTGCAAGATGCCAAAGCTAAAGCCTGTGTAATTATATATGGACTAGTAGCAGTAGTATTGCACATGTAGTTCTTTGGTGCTGTAGCCTGGGCTAGCCTAGCCGTGGCTGCTGCTGTCTCTCTTTCGGTCGGACACTGTCTCTACTCTCAATGCTATTCTTAAAACAGTCCTCCTCAGTTTAGCATATGGCTAGGAAGGTAAGACGGCCAAAATACTTAGATTGTCAGTCAAGCTGCGTATGTAGTCAGTTTGCTGGGAGAAGTATGGTAACTTGAGCCCTCCTCGTTCCTTCCTCATCTGTCTG